TAGAGCATGGATTTTCAAACTGGGTTCCTAGGAACGCAGGGGTTCCCCAGGGTGCCCTTATTGGTTCCCCAAGTTCCCAAATGTCCCCTGCCATCCCTGCCCCTAAGCAGTAAAGCGTTTCTTCAGTTTAAGCACTATTTTAACAGATAAGAACCACCCGCTGATGCATAACTAAAGTAAAACCTCGGTAATTCAACCCCCGCTAATTCGGAAATTAAGATAATTTGAACTGCCGATTTGGTCGCGTCAAACGTGTGTATTAGTCAATGGCACCAAACGCTCATTAATTGGAAGGCAGTGGCACGCTATGGTTAATTCGGATGAATTCGGCAGGTGCCGCAAGCTATCACCTGTTCCAAAGGGTATGATCGCTATCCATCCGAGGTGCACACGTGGTTTTTCCAATGGTTCTTCGCTCTTCCGGTTCTCCAAGTTTCGCACCAGTTTTGCTCTGGATTGCTGTGAGTCAGCGTGCTAGTCTCCTGGCATGGAAGCGGCAGAAGTACAGCTGCAACGGAAAAAGAGTAACACAAGCAACCGATGACCGGAGCGGCAAAATCGCGACACGCGGCGCTATTGTTCCCGAGCGCGCTGATAGCAACAGTGATGTTTCATGCCTCAAAGCGGGGGTGGCCGGCAGAAAGCAGCCCATCCTAAAGCCCGCATTTTTACAGCTATCTTATCCCTAAATTTTCTGCCGGCCACCCCCGCGTTGAAACATGCAACGTGACTGACACTCTCGCTATCAGCGCGCTCAGGAATAATAGCGCCGCATGTCGCGATTTTGCCGCTCTGGCCATCGGTCACTTGTGCTAGTCGCTTTCTGTTGCAGCTGTACCAGGCCAAGAATTTAGCAACGAAAGTGAAAATACTGAGGGCCTTGAAAGGCGGCGTCCCTCGACAAGAAGTGATGGAAAGGTACGACATCAAGAGAAGCACTTTGGCCATGTACGTGAAAATTGAGGCCGAGATCCTACAGGCTTTCGAGAGCGAGAAGTTCAACGCGAAAAGAAAGCAGCTGTGGAAGGCGGCGCACCCGAAACTAGAAGAGGCTTTGCTGCCGTGGATCGTCAGCGCACGGGATGCGCAGCTCTGACAGTGCGAGTGCGGTGGAGCACCTGACCGTGCCCAGGAAAGTTGTCGTCTCCGCCCAAATGTCGTCCAGAAAGCAGGCGGCAATAACAGATTTCTTCTCAAAATAAAGGTATGTCACAGGGAAACATTTTCGGGCAGTTTTCGTTGTCCTTTCGATATTTCGACTTTTGGATAATTCAGACATTTTTGCCGGTTCCATGAGATCCGAATTAACGAGGTTTTACTGTACGAGCCAGATGCCCCAAAGTGTGCACATTACTGTTCACATGGTCAGGAGGCTTGTTTACTGCTTTTCTGCACCAACTTCGTGACAAGGGCAGGTTTTCTTATAAATACAGGTAACTCTCCCGGCGGTTAAATCTCCCGCAAGAGGGATTTTGAGCTCACGTGACCGTCTATGTGGGGAAAAGGAACTAAAAGTATCACGCGGCTACCGCGAGTCCATCCTCACTTAGAATATTAACCCTTTGAGTGTCGTGCCCAAGTATACCGTAAAATACCGGGCAAGTGCCCACTCATAATTTAGAGATAGCCGCAAAAAAAATGGGGGATGGGGGCTAGTCCGGTCACCAATTTTACATTTATATGTACTGTATGTATTTTCTCAGAGCTTACGAATTTGGGAATGGGCACTTAATGTGGAATAAACGGATGCGTGGTATTCTACGGTACTCAGGCGCTCCCCGGCACACCCCTGCCCCGCCGAACTATACTCTTTTCGAGTTTTTAATTTATTTCTTGCCGCTCCCACCTTAAGTTGATAAAAAAAAAAAATTTTGCTGGAAGCGGAATTTTTGGATAAGATTCCGAGTTTATTTTCTGTCAAATTCAGAAGGTGTTTTTCCCAGTTTATTTTTTGATGAAATTTCAGTTTATCATTGTTCAATTCAAAAGAAAGTGCATGTATCAATTAATCTTTCTTCAGCCGGATTTGACATTGGTGCCATTGGCAATACTAATTTGTACCAAGACAAGTTGGAAACAAGTGTTGCTTCGATCAACGTTGATACCTTAAAATAAAAAAATTCCCGGTGTTGTCACTGGGAAGCTCGTATTCATCCCAATCCTATCCACCAATCTATACCCCGCGGCTGTACGGGGTGGAGTGGTAAAGGGTGTAATATATAGAAGCTTCAACTGCCCACCACCTCTTCCCCCTTCTATGAAATCCCTATTCGACACTTTCAGCGATGGTGGTACCACAGTGTGAAAGTTGCTCTCCCTAACTCAGGGATGATAGGCTTCAGAATAAAGGTGCTTGCCTACATTTCCTGGCGTGAAAAAATTAAGTAAGGCTCTAATACTGCTCGTATATAGCAAAACTAGAATTACTTGCGCGTCGCAGAGCCAGCCTCGTTCTGCTGTTCTACGACGATCATTAAGATGACAGCCATCTCGATAGGCTCTAGTGCGCCCCCTATAGATCGCGAAAGTTGCGAATGGTTCATAGCTTTCACTTACAAAAGCACAAACCCCCCCTTCCTCTCAGAAGCACCGATTGTTTGGCCCAAACTGAAGACTGGAACAGTGGCTTTTGTCGTGACTTGAAAGTACAATGACCCACTATCCTGAATGAAGCTTAGCGAGATAAACGGCAAGAAAAGATCCATTTTGTCAATGGTTCGAGAAGACTGGGGTGGCATTTTCTCGGGACCATTGAATCAGTGCGCTGAACAAGCTTAATTGTAAAATTGTTTGTTTTTTCTTCTTTTTGGCATTGGTACATTGAAATTCTGAGTTTATTGGAAAAATCGAAATTGATGAAAATCTTAAAGGCAGGAGTTTTTCTGAGTTATCCGAAAACACAGAACCTTATCTATGCACAACCCACTAACTATATCTTTTAGTTGTGGTTTTGCCTTTTGACGCCAGGTGAAGTTTTCTGGAGGCAACTTCTTCCGTATGTATTTCCGAGTCAACACTGTTTTTGAATGGCGAGCCTACGTGCTTCAACTTCGCACTCCTTGATGGATGCTGAAATCCAGAAACTGCTAATGAATTCAGAATATGATGACAGTGAAACTGAGTGTACTTGGGAAACTTGTGAAGTGATGCGAGGTGCCACTTTGCGTGGTGCCGTGTTTCGAGGAGTACCGCACAAAGAAAGTTTTTTAAAATGAAGAACTTCAGAAGTTAAAGCCCTCTTTGAATGTCAAGCAACATAAGCTGGTAAATAAATGTACATATTGAAGCATGCAACTGCATTTCTGCATCCAAACATTTTTTTGTTTTTTCGTACAGCGAAAAAAACTTGGCACATGGTGCATGCTGGGACGAAAGAAACCCGGCATTTACCGCCGAATTTACAAACCTCACTCCAATTGAGAGGCCCCTCCACTTCCTCGAAGAAGGTGCAAGGGCCGGCACTGGCCAATCGCGACGGCGGATCCATTATCGCGGTTGGCCAGTGCTGGCCCTCGTGCCTTTTTCGAGGAAATGGAGGGGCCCCTCAATTGGAGTGAGGTTTGTGAATTCGGCGGTTAAAGGGTTAAAGTTAGATTTTGCGCATAAAAAAAAGGCGAAGAGACTTGAAATGTAAGTTAAATGAAAAGCATTCATGTATCATACTTTAGAAGCGGCATGAAAAAGTCATTTCTAGGGAAGGTCGTGTTCACTGAGAATTAAAGAAAACAACAGGTAAGGCTTCTGTCTGTCACGTGGAATCACCTGGAACACTAGGTACTTTCTGCCAACAAAGCCGGTCACATGACCCCAAGAACCCTCTTGCTGGTGAATTAACCGCCGGGAGAGATACTTGCATTATCAGCAAACTGACCCTGGGGTCTGATTTTGGTCACCACGAGAGCGAGATCTAAATTGCCTCTCACAAAGCAAGCAAAGATAGCATATATAGATGGTTTGTCTGCTAACACGAGCAAAGAATGTGGTTTGTCTGCAAGGAAGCACCATTTGCAGATGGAAATAAAACAAGAAAACACAGTACGTCGTCTGCTATTTCACACTGGAAGCCATTGACAACCCGCACTTCTTTTGCAAACCTCAAGCTGCAGTACACAAGCTGACTTCGACCGGTAGATGGAGTACTAAGGACAAGCACATCAGAGGTTGCGAGACCTTTCTTGCTACTTGGTGAGACTGTCTCACCAAGATTTTGCTTGATTTTGAACTCGCGAACGGGTAAAAACTGTCTCACTGGTTGATTATGTGCAAGCTGTGGCGCCACGTCCAATCAGACGCCAAGAACTCTCACTCTCAGCTTGACGAAAATTAGTTAAAGGGATACTGAACCGATATTTCGAGCTCACAAAACAAGGCTGGACGGATAGGCGGGAAGCTGCAAAACCCAAAAGCATCACTCGCACAGTGATATCTTATTGGATCGCCGTATATTTGTAAAAGAAGTGCGCGATTGAACACGGCCGACAAAGGGGGGGGGGGGGGAGAGTCAGGTGTTGGTCAGCGTATCATATGCTTAAGATCCCCCCCCCTTTCCCGTTTCCACGCCCTAAATTTTTACACATGCAGAATTCAAGAGGGGGGTCAAGACATCTGGACCCCCCCCCTCTGAATCCGCCCCCGCCGACAAGACAAGGCACGTCACGACTCCCATTCCCTCTCCTTCTCACTACGTCCCGTCGAGCTGGTGATTTGAAGCGAGGAGGAGAAGTGAGGCCGCTTCCCCTCATTCTCAAATTCTACCGGAGGACGATGACATCAAAGACCTCGCGTGATTGCGCCCTTCTTTTCCAAAAGTACAGCCATCTGTTTGAGATATCGATGTATGAGTGATCTTTTGGAGTTTGTAGCCTCCCATTCAACGCTTCTGCGGCCTTATTTTGCAAAATCTAAATTTCGGTTTAGTATCTTTTTAACCATGGGAGAACTGGGGGCTTCTCGAGGTTGGAAAGTTTGAGGACCCCTGCTTTAGATATATCAAACCTCACCTGACGCACTCAAAGCCACGACAACTCCAAGCATGTTTTCTGCTGTTGTTAAGTAATAGAAGAGGGCGTCACCAATCGACATCTGCAGTGTGTCAAGGGTTACACAGGCTGCCAGGGTTTCAATAGTAAAAAAATTAAAGGGCAACTCCGTTTCATTTTTGATATTGAGAAAACTATGCAGCTTTCTTCAGTATCATCTAGGAAGACCACATGTCAGATATTATGATCTAATTCCGTCTACTATATATTTCAAAAACTGGCCAGCAAACTTTCAAATGAGATAAGTTGCCGAAATCTGCTAGCTCTAGCGTGCGACATGAGGCGCGATCAACAGCGCAGTCAACACCATGGAGTAAAGAGAACACTGAGCCACTATGTCAGAGTCATGTCTACGTCGTTCTCCCGTTTTTGTTTCTGCTTCCCAGAGCAAAATTAATGACGTCATAAGTTTCTCCCCTCGGTGTTGGCTCAATGGCGTCTACTTGATCACCGTAACACGGATTCGCTAGTTTGCGCTGCCCTGCATGCTTCTCGGAGCTGAGAGCTGGGAGTAGTCTGTTTAGTCTTGCCACTTTTGCAGTTTGAGAACGTCTTGTTTATGATATGAGCGCGGGCCGCGTCTCCAGTGCCTAACTGCGATGCGTGGCGAAAGACCCATAGACTCACAATGTTGTGTTGCTGCCTGCTTGAACTACCAGTTGACCAGCCCGGGGTAAGTCATTGTCGCCAAATCGCAGGACAATGATCTGTACCAATTGCTTATGCTCATGACACTAATTTGCTCTTACTAGCTAAATCGAACTGTGTGAAAATATCAGTTGCGCTGGGAAACCAAATGAATGTGCACTGGAGCATACTTATCACGGCATTCATAAATTTCCGCTGACTATTTTGCTATTGACAACGAACGTGTAGTCTGTTGTACAGCTCGATAAAAGTACACAATTCAGGCTACTAAAGCAGGAGACATGTGCACGGTCAAATGACCACCGCGTCAATTGCACTATGTGCTGGGTGTTTCCCAGTGTACGAGTATATGTCTCGCACCTGCAGAAACAAGGCACGAAGACTCAGCTTTTTTTGGGAAAATCAATGTGAACTTTGAGATTCATGTGCCAGACCTATGAAGGGCATCCGGCATGCCCCAGCGAAGGCCTGATGATTAATTTGGACCACCTGGGGATCTTGTGACGTGTAACCGAGATCTCGGTTACACGTCACAGGTGCCCGCGACAAATTGCAGGCACCTCCGTCGAGATTCCAACCCACCAACTGGGGATGTGCAGGTTGAGCTATATATTAAGGACATTTTGTGGCATTTAGAAAAAAAAAGGAGTGCAGCACACAGCTTTGATCGGTGCTGAAAACCCGCAAGCGCATGGGCACACCACCTTCATTGCCAAAAAAGTCCTCCCCGTGTTATGAGCTTACGATGTATCAATAAAGATTTTCTGTTCACGGTGTTCACATAATATGGGTGGTCCCTTCCTGCCGAAAACTTTGCTGTCGTCAAACTTTCGGTGACACATTATTGTGGCGTGTAGGAAAAACAATAATTTGGTACGTCACCTCACACAGCAGAGCTTCGTGGGCTGTACGATGGTTGTTATAACTAAGCTCTATTGCGTCAACGTTATCGGGAGGACAAGTGAATGCACTACGCTGTTGACTCTGCTACAGTTCATTTGTTTGTTCGGAAATTGGCTGTGACATGTTCGTGCATATACATGTGTTGCTTAGTATTCCTCAGCTTCGACAAATGCTTTCGAAATATGCATTTGAGAAAACTAACTTTTTTTTGGAAAGCTCAAGCTGGGCCAGCAGTGGTGCAGACGTCGTTGGCGAACTACATTAGTGAAAAGTGCGAAGCAGACGACACTTGCACTTTGCTCTGCGTTCACCTGTCACGTGGAGGACCACGTGACCTTTCAGACTACACCTGGTTCGATGTGACGCGCACATGACTCCGACGACACGAGACCAATGTTATTTAAACTAAGATTACACAAATAATATTCCACATTTCACAAATCCAAAGACGTAAGGCTGTTTAGTAGTACTTTGGGAAATGAAATGACATGCAAGCCTTCCTGAAATTGAGTGGAGTTGCCCTTTAACAACAACTCTCCAAACCCCTCGCTATATTTAGAGGAAACAAAACTGCAACAGTCATTTTAAGCTAAAAGCAAGAATTCATATGCAAGGGGACATGAAGAGTCCCTAAAAAAATAATTATCACCTAAAACATAACAAAACATCACATGAGAAAAAAAAAAAAAGCAACCGGCTGTGGCATTAAAAAAAAAAAAAAAGAACCAAATATGCATTGCCTTCAAGAGTGATAGACGAAAAACAAGAAAAAGACAATTCTTGTTCCAGCAAGGTCCGAGTCCACTCAAATTTAGCGAGCTTTTTCACCATTTCTTGAATGTTACTATTCAGTCACCATGCAGTGCCTTAAAAGTTTTGATTGAGGTAACTTTTTAGAGCATAGAAAATACTCATTACCGTTCCAGCAGGTCTGCATATTTTACTTCTTTCACAATGACATTGTTAAACACTCCAAGTCATATAGCGAAGGACACATGCAATAAACATGGCACATGCACCCAACAAACGCGATCAAATAGCAAACATTTTACTACACCACAGTTTCGTGCTAGCACAGAGAATCATGGCTTAATAATGAAAGGATACCACTCTAGCAAGTACGATGTCCCCCATCCGGAAGCTCTTGTGCATTTCCACCTGCAATAAATGCAGAATACTACTTTTAGCACAAGCAATGGCTTGGAAAGCACAGATCGATTATGTCCAAACTTTTTAGTGCCACCCTTTTTAGTTTCTTCTCCCTTCTACAGAGATTTAGGTAATTTCCCTGGAAGAGACATTACAAGCCCAAAGGCAAGTGAACTTGCGTAAAGCTTACACAACAAAAAAGGCTCAAAAGTGAGGAGACAAAGAATATAGAATTACTTAAAAACAATGTATTGGTAAGGTTAAATTTTACACACGAAAGAATAAACAAAGAGGATGGAGAACAGAATATGACATCTTTCAACTATAGTCTGTTTCACCTTATGATGTACCGCAGGAAAGGCTACAAGCGCGAGCTCCTTGCTCTAGGGCACATCTTGGCGGCACAAGCTCTCATGCGTTAAGAGCAGCTCCCAACGCTATGAGCTCGCGCTTCTAGCCTTCTCTGCGGTACAACATAAGGTGAAATGGAGTATAGCAACAACAAGAATGAAACAAAACTGCCCCCCCCCTCAAGGCGTCTAGTTTTGCAAACACCTTTGGGGGCGGTTTTTATTTATATATTTATTGAAAGTACCCTCAGGGCCCAAAGGCATTACAGAGGGGGAGAGCACATACATAAAACAAAGATAGTAAAATAGCAACAAGTCAACAATATTAAATATATACCAAACAGAAAAAAAAAGGTCATGGGTCACTGCTAAAATAGTTAGTGATGGAATGGCTAAACAGGTTAGCATCAGTTATAGTAGCAATCAACCCTGAGAGGTGGTTCCAGTCCTCTGCTGTGCGGGGTAAAAAAGAAGATTGAAATGTTGTGGTAAATGAACTTGGAACTCCAACTTTGTGCTGATGGTCAAGACGGGATGAAATGTAAAAGGGGGGGAGTAATCATCTGATTGCATAGGAGAGGATTATGAAAATGCATTGTATGAAATAGACATAGGCGTGAAATTTTACGTCGCAAGGAGAGAAGTGGTAAACATAAGCTATTTTTCATCAATGTGACACTAGCAGTATGGTGGTAGTTGGAAAGAATGAAACAAGCTGACCTATTCTGAATGGATTCCGATTCAGTGATTAGAGTATCGTGACCAGGATCCCAGATGGAGGCTGCATATCCTAATTTAGGCCTGATTAATGTTCTGTAGAGGATCAATTTTAGTGAAAGAGGTGCCAATGAAAAGTTGCGTTTTAAGTAGCCCAACACGCAGTTAGCACGGGTAGTGCAGTATGGTGGTAGTTGGAAAGAATGAAACAAGCTGACCTATTCTGAATGGATTCCGATTCAGTGATTAGAGTATCGTGACCAGGATCCCAGATGGAGGCTGCATATCCTAATTTAGGCCTGATTAATGTTCTGTAGAGGATCAATTTTAGTGAAAGAGGTGCCAATGAAAAGTTGCGTTTTAAGTAGCCCAACACGCAGTTAGCACGGGTAGTAACAAACTGTATGGGGGGTTTCCAAGAAGGGTTATTTGTTAAGTGAACACCAAGGTACGCCATCTAGGTGGTAACAGGAACTGTTGTTAGGTTTACAAGACACTCTCATGTGTTTGCATTTACTAGTGTTTAGTTTCATTAGCCATAATTCACACCAACGAAAGACAGAGTTAATATAATTCACACCAACGAGAGACAGAGTTAAAGGGACCATGAAATGATTTTAAAATCTAATTTCATCCACCGCACGTCGTAAAAGGTGTGAAAAGAAACACAAAAACACAAAACTAGGGAGCCAAAAAATATTATTTGCTATAGAACTTTTAAAAGAAAACTGGACTCTTTTGCGACTTCTTTCCTTCGAAAGCTCTGCCTTTTCACTACGATGCATCCGCAGAAATGGAGCAAGTCAGCCGAATCCACGTCGCCTATTGGGTAAGAGCCTACCTCACCAGCACCGCGATCGTAAACAATAAATAGCCGGCGAATGTTTCCTAAAAGTTTTGTTAAATAATATTCAGACCCACATCTTGTAGCATAATTAGAGATGTGTGGCGAAAATTGCCAAATTTGATAATGCTGAGAGCGAAGCGCCATCTATCGTGTGGTAAACGAAGCAACTACTGCGCGTGCGCAGTAGGGCAGGGGGGCTATGTTGCGCTTTTTGGACTCCCAGGAGACTAGGGAGAGGGAAGTGACATGAACGACACAGCAAACGCAGATTGGGTGTTGATTTCGTTTTCTTCTGTCAACATCCAATCTGCATTTGCTGTGTCGTTGACGTCACTTCCCTCTTCCAAGTCTCCTGGGAGTCCAAAAAGCGCAACATAGCACCCCAGGGCTGGCAGGGCCGAACTCTGACTAACTGAACGTTAATTTTTCTACGTGTTCATCTCGCGCGTGCCGACTTCAAGCAGCAAGAAAAAAATGTACTTAAAACAGACCACAACGAACAAGAACGCTGGATCCACAAACACCCGAGAAGAGCGACAACAGCCGCGAATCGCGCTCCGACGAAGCTCTCAGAATATAGGCCTAGCAGGCACTCCGACTCGGCGCAGCGTTGCTTCGTCGCAAGACCGTCTGTCTGCCTGCGACCGGCTGGCGTGCTGAATGGAATATGCCCGCGCTACCCTTGTGGGGTACCCTTGTGGACCCTTCCCGTAAAATAGTTTGATCGCTGACCTCAATTTTACGTTAAGAGGTGAGGTCAATCTCTTCCCCTTGTTTTCCGAGGCAGTGTTGACGAACACTCGTCGAAAAGGGACCCTCGTCGATTCTCTCTTCTTGTTTTGTGTGATATAGAGCTGAAATAAACGCTGTATGGATTACCTTCGTAACACGGTATGTACACTTCGTTATTGGTATGCCATTTTTATCCTGACAGACTGCACGTCACTGTCGAGCTGTAACAGTTCGTGAGAGGTATACGTGCAATACCGGTCCAACCTTTCTTTGCCGAGTGTCGCGTCAGTATCGAGTTGCAATCATAAAAGATTGGTCCCGAAGCGCTTACCAACAGCGCGAATACAGCACTTCCATCAAACGCGCGCGTCCGCTCCGAGTGTTAACAGGTATTTATGTGGCTCTTGCTGACACTCGTAGTTCAAACGTATCTTCTTTAACGTCGGCTTGCTCCTGCATCTCCGAGACCGCGAAAAACGCCGCGGCAATTTGTTTCCATCTACGTCGCTTTGCAAACGACTGACACTGGCCGCCTTTTGCCAACAATGACAGTTGGGTTGACTTCTGGAGTCTTCACCGGAAGACTCGCTGCACTTCCCAACAGGCATACCGGTGTATGGGACTAGTCCCATGCTGTCGCTGTAGCGCAACATATCTCGTTGAATTTCGCTCAGCTGCGATGCGGCGATGAGAGGCGCCGATTCAGAAAATACATCGGTGACATCGGCGCAGTAAAACCTACCGGCGCACCCCAACTCGTCGCCGCTAATGCTCCCATCTCCTACTGCCGAGAGAACTTCCGGTTCCGGAAATAGCGTACGTCACGGCTTGTTTCGCGGTCAAGAAAAAGTTGATATTTCATTAATTTTTTGTGTAGAAGTTAATAAACCGAGACGAAAACGGATGCCTGTTCGGCATTCAGTGAACATTGACGGTTTAATGTAAAAGTTATCTGGAAAAAGTAAAAAAGTCATTTCATGGTCCCTTTAATATCACACTGAAGTGCAGACAGGTCAGAATCATGACAGATTTCACGGTAAATTACACAGTCATCGGCGAAGAGACAAACGGATGAAGACACATTAATGGGAAGATCGTTAATATAAATGAAAAATAGTAGTGGGCCTAAAGGAGACCCTTGAGGAACTCCAGAATTCACAGACACAGGTGGAGAGTTTTTGTTGTTAATTGTTACAAATTGTGAACGGTTATTCAGAAAAGACCAAATCCGTGAGAGAACGTTAGGGTCAATGTTAAGTTTTGCAAGTTTTAGCAGTAATAGCTCGTGACACACCTTATCGAATGCCTTGGCGAAGTCTAAGAAAATGCAGTCCACCTAGGAGCTTCAGTCAAGAATAGAATGAATGTCATGAGTGAAGAATAGGAGTTGGGTTTTACACAATAATGATTTATGAAATCCGTGCTGTGCTTCAGTGAAGAAATTATTTGACTCTAGGAAATGTACGAGTTGGGAAAAGATAATGTGTTCCAGAAGTTTACATGGTATGCTTGTTAATGAAATTGGACGATAGTTGTTAGGAATCACAAGGTAAAATACCATCTTGCAGCGACTGTTCAAACAATTTGGAAAGGATAAGAGATGAGTATAATTCAGTGTTTTTCAAAAACTTGGAATTAATTCCGTCCACTCCTGATGAGGATGCTAACTTCAGTTTATCTATAATTTTTGCAATACCAGCGGGATCAACAAAGATGGCTTTTGTTTCATTCTTGTTGTTGCAAGTTGAAAGATGCCATGCTCTATGCTCCTTCCTCTTTCTTCATTCTTTTGTGTGTAAGAGGATACAGACACCAAAGATGTGTCCACACAGCTGTGTTTGAACTTTGAAGACTTGCTCTCGGTCATATCGGTAACCTCTAAGCTTTAGAGCTGACGATACAGAAAGAATAAGTTAATAACGATGTGTTTGCATTAAATGAATGTTAACTCTTTCCCGACCGCACCCATAGAGTGTCGATCACCTGTAATCGATGGGTGCGGAGGCTCATTTCAAAACTCCCATGGAGCTCCCATGCTTGCTGCATATCTCCTACCGTAGAATACCGTGCATCTGCCAATTCCACATTAAGCGCCCATATCCAAATTTCTAAGATCTGAGAAAATATGTACAGTACATTTATATGTAAAATTGATGACTGGACAAGCGCCCATTCCCCATTTTTTTGCGATTACCTCTAAATTTTGAGTGGGCGCTTGCCCGGTATTTTACGGTAGGTAGTTTGAAAAGTACAGATTTGGTTTCTGTGTTTCTATTTCCGTGCGACAGTGATTTTTTGGCTGAGCATGAAACCGATGGCGCGTCACCATTGTTGACCCATAGCCGCTTCTACGAGTTCGGCGTGCGCTCACAAACGTGGCAATTCTCGCAAAACCTCCATTGATTTTTCTAGCTCTGATAGCAGCAGTGGGTCTGATGAAGATGCCATTTCATATATAGTGCAATCCACTTATAATGATACCACATATAACAATGTACTGCTTATCACAATCAGTTTTTAGAGGACGATGCGTATTTGCATGGGGTATCCATTCCAGATACAACAACAATCAGTTATAACGACAGCATTTTCGGGTTTTCTCATTACCGTTTTAAGTGGATTGCACGGTACTGCAGTTCTGATTACCTGTGCTTCACATATTGAGAACTCCTTAGCCCAATGGCACGCCACAATTATGAGGGCTCACTTGTCATTTGGTAGCTTTAATTCTTTTTTAGCTAGTACTCTAGGTTTTTACAGATTCTTCTTATCAAAATAAGAAATATTTTGTTTTCTTTTTTTTTAGTAGTGTAGCTATACTATACATTTAGCTAGTTTAAAACAACCTTTAAAAAAAATTGTGCTTGACAAATTAAATTTTTTGTTCAAATTCAAGTCTCTCCTTTGATGTTTGCATCATTCAAAAGACAGCTATTTAGCTTCATTTGTATGTGTGACATTAAATTGTAAACCTAATACAGTATTTTTCGGTGCATAAGACGCATCCCCAATTTTTCGCAAGTTTCTAAGTAAAAATGAGTATATAAGACGCACCGCCGAAAATTTTGGAAAAAAAAGTGTCTTATACACCAGAAAATACTATAGTTTCATTAAAAAAAAAAAAAGCGACACAAAACATGCATTTTTTTTTTATGGTCAGGATAGAGTGAAGTTTGCGCTCAGAATAATATAATAAGGCCATTTCCATGAACAATGAACTAAGCCCACATTACTAAATATTTTATTATGTCATACTAGAGGGTGCTCACTATACTGCGTTTCATACTTGGTGTAAATCACCATCAAAGCTGCTGGCACGAATTAATGGCTTGATCTCCCCGTTCATTTGCATGTCCTCTCGCACAAATGAGCCAAAAGATGAAGCCATGTGCTTATGCCAGTAACTTTGACTGCAATATATTACTAATGTGTGAAACAGTATAAAATCCTGTTGCATCATTAAAATTACAATGGCTTTACCCGTAGACTCACACGCTTTGCTTTGAAATGGCCAAATGCAGTAGCCAAAATAATTCCCATGAACTATGAAAAAGGTTAGAGCCAATCAGCCTTGCAGAGCTCAGCTCAGCGAGGCTGGTATACAAGGGATTCAATTGGTTGTTTACTCAGCACAGCTGTTCTATGTGGACAGGCATGTTTTTGTTCCACCATATTTCATGGAAAATAAAACTTATTATTATTTTAAACTATTTTCTCGAGAGTAAAGCAAACTTCCTGCCCTGCAAGTTAATCAGAAGTTGCCAATATTTCTATTATTGAAAAACCCTTTCTCTCAAAAGAACTCGGTACAACTGAAGTGAGGCGTCGCCATGATTCAGATTTAGAAATGTGATCCATGGAAACACTTTTTCTTCTGCCACTCAGCAGCATTTCTAGTTAACCGGCAACAAGTGCTACCCTACATGGCGCACGTTACCATATAGTTCATGGCGCGCAAAATGCAAATGGGCACTATACTTGTCAAATCGACTTACCTTGTCCTTTTCTGTCTCATGAACATCTTCTTTTCTGAAAGTACATATTTAAGTTTAGAAACAGCCCTTGGAGAATGAAGGGCAAGGGCTACGAAGATCACGCACCTGATGATTCCGCGGAACGGTTCCCAGAGCTCACAGTCTTCTATGGCAATGATGGAACACTTGCAGAAACGATGAGTAACGGCAGTAATTTTGGCTGTGACTATATTTCCTGGAGTTGGGACGTTCTTATCCATTGATCTCTGCACTTGGACAATCTTCTGCAGAATGAGAGACAGGCGAGAAGCACTCTTGGTAAGAACCGGTGAGACTTAGACCCGCAGCTTCTATAGTGACTCACGGGGTCAGAATGGCAGGGAGGTTTCTCGGTGCATGAGCTTCCCACCTTCTATAGCACTTGGGCATCTCACGAGCCTCGAGTGTGCACGTGCGCCAAAGCACAGTGGAAGGCAACGAACGCATGTCGGAGGCCGAGCATCCGAAAGAGACACCCCGCCATTCTCCTTCCATCGGTGACTATAGGAACACTGATTTACTAAATGTGGTAAGAACCAAGCAAAGGCAACCAGATAATTGTACTTATTTGGCTATTGCTACAATAAGTTTCGTTATATCGTAGAAGGATTTATCTCAGCATGCTTTATCTTTCTTGGAAGTACTTCTACTGTGGCCTCCTCAAGGGGAACTGGATGGACCAGTTTCTTTCTCAAAGTATGGGGAGCATGCGACTCCTAAAGAGGGTGTGCCGCTCTGCCTTTGAAGCATGTTGGCAGCGCCAACGACGCGCGCAAGTATGACTTTGCGTTTAGACGCGGCATCTGCTCCTCCACATTCTAATGTGATCACTGCGTCCATGTCTTCCCGTAACTGTGTTCCTCGATCTGACCCCGGAGTAAACGTTTCATACCTTGATTTTCAAAAACCAACCTGCACTCAGCGTGCCTGTGTTCTCGTGCAACACGATCCGCAGGACTGGCTTGAAGCTCGGATTTACCAGTGTGCTCGCAGAGTAACCGGTGATGACAGTAACTTAGGACCATGTTTTCTGTGTACCTGTGCCTATAATGCTTGCGTTCGACAATGATCTGGCAACTGCTACAGAACGACAATGTCGGTGATTGATGGAATCAGCATGAACAGTTTTCTTCGCTCCTCATTTTATCAGTGCTCTTCTCTCGCTGGCGGATCGAGCGGGGCCTACTGGGAATGAGATGATCACAGCTTTTTTTGCCAGCGTGCCGACAGTGGCCCCGAACGCTTGTATAGCACAATGTTCAGCTAAGAATACATTGATTAGAAACGACCGACGCAGTGCTTGCTGTTTGTCGGCTGCTACACACGATGTGTATGCAAAAGGGCTGATCGCCGGATAAGGTCAACCCAATGGTTTCAAAGCTAAATGCAGTTTCCCAGAGCTCGGAACGAGCAGCTTTCAAGCAAGCTTACCTTGTCCTTCTGACGCTCGATTGTGAAGCGACCGGCCAGACTGGAATAGATGTAGCCATGCTGGACATAAGTGCCTTTTCCACCAATGAAAGAATCACCAGCGGCACATAGCCTCTGTCCTAAAGAAAGATGAGTCATCCAAACATGAATATCTAAATTTCACTTGCTGATCTATCATGTATTCTGTACATCTAGGGTTATCCTTGGAGCTCCAGAAAAGCACGAGAAATTAATTTAAAAAAAAATAATAAGCTCCATAACAGCGGCACCTTTAGTAGGCTCGATAAATATTGCCAGTCACAAACATACTTCAAAAGGTGCCACGGATGTAGCTATTTTGTGCAAAAGCCAAAAACAAGTTTTGTTTTTATTTATTTTGAGTTGAAATAGCTGTTACGATGAATTTCGAATTTGGGCTTAAGACAAATAATTCGCCCAGAGTGCACTCTCTCTTATTAATCATGTTTAGAAATAAGGGAAGACGCACAAAACACGAGGACGGACAAGACGTCGTGTCCGTTTTCGCTTACTTCTCACCGCTACCATCAAGCTCTCCAGCTCAAGTATTAATCGTCTCAGGCGCGCAGATTTCTGGGTACAAAATACCAATCTCACTTGGAGAAGCACACTAACCTGGAATACATGACATTTCAAATGATGACACTAACACAAACCCAAAATGCGTATGCAAAGCAAGGCGCAACTGAATCGGAGCAGTGCGGGGCCAGCGGGGCGCGGGGCCGCGCAGTTGAGAGCACCTTTGGGTGGATGGATAAATGAATCCGGCTGAGCCCTTTGGATCGGGCGGTAGCTTACGCCACCTAGCCATTTTGTTTTACCATTTAAGCTTAGAATATTTTGAATGTGAAATCTATATTCACTCCGCACTGCAAAGAAAGTGAGGCTATAAAACCCCCTTGCCATCAGTTAATAAGAAAATACCTTGTTTTCTCTCGCTTTCTGCCACCATGCACTTAATCTTTGCTTGGTAATCTCTACAGTCTTGAAATCCACTCTCCCTTCGCTGTCTACAAAACCCAATGACTTTATTAAATCTATGTTGTCTTCGGTAGGCATAGGGTGAAGCCCTTTACAGTAGAGTATCAAGTGCTTAGCCGTCTCGTCCTCCTCTCCACAAGCAGTGCACACTGTATCCATGGTATCCATTTCCTGGTACTTCGCTCTGTATGTTCTGCTGGTTCGCAGGACACCCGTCCTCGCCTCAATGCTCTCCCTCTAGCCACCGATCTCTTTCTGTGGCCTTAACCACTGGCCTTAACTTTCTTCTTAACTGAGACTCACAAAAACTTTCCTCTTAATTTCGTAGTGCGCTGTCTCCACTTTGTGTCTATACTCCTCATGTATAAATAGCTGAAAACCTTTCGTGCCCATTGCTCCCCATCCATTTGCCTCAACCGATCCTCAAATTCTATCTTGCTCACCGCTTCCCTGCTCTCAAATGACGCCCATCCCATGTCTCCTTGTACTCCCTGGTTTGGCGTTTTGCAATGTGTCCCCAAAGCCAGCCTACCTACTTCGCGCTGTTTTATTTCTAGTCTTGCATGCACTTCGGATTTCATGCATAGCACTGCGTTTCCAAAAGTCAACCCAGGCAAAAATCAGGCCACTTCCAGCTGGAAGTGGACTGATTTTTACCTGGGAAGCCAGGCACCATGACCTTTTTCCAAATCTCTCTCACCACCTCATACCTGTTGTAATTCCAAAGTGCTCTATTTTTCATCACAGCTGCATTTCTGTTGCCCTTACCTACTATATACTTTTCATGCTCACTGAGATATTCTGCACCATCATATATCCATTCTCCTAGATACTTGTATTTACTAGCTCTCTCAACTATAATATTCTGTATCTTCAGCCTCTCAACTTCATCATTGTTAAAAATCATGACTGCTGATTTTTCACTACTGAATTCGAAACCTAACTCCTCTCCTTCCCTACAACAGATGCTCATTAATTCCTGCAACTCTGTCCTGTTGTTAGCCATTAGTACGATATCATCCGCACACATCAATCCCCGTAAGGACTGCTGAATGTTTTGGCCTAGCTTACTGTACGGTCGAATCCAAGCCCACTCTTCTCTAGTTTATCCTCCAATCCTCTCAGATACAACATAAACAGCAAAGGCGATAACAGGCACCTCTGCCTATGGCCTCGTCTTATCTCAATTTTTCCCGTCGCCTTTCCTTCCCATGTTATAATCACCTTATTATCTTACCAAGCTGTGAGCGCCACCATGCGTCACCTCACGTTTTGTTCGTTTTTTCTTGCGTACGTCCGAGCGCGGTGCCTGTCTGCTGTCGATTTCTCGTGGCTTTTGACTCGCGGATTTAGCAGCGCCACACAAATTAACATTGTGGACGTGATTGTCGATGGGGTCGCAAACTTTTGTCGCACCTGATATTTAGGTCAAACTTTCAGGGTTCGACTGGTTTGAACCGGTCGACGAACCTTCGACTTGCTTTCGACCAGATTCAAACAGTTCGACTTTGTGGACAGTGTGGCCAGACCTTGATACAAGCATGTCTAGGTTCGGAGATTTTTGTTTTTATGCAAAGGGTTATTTTAATTTGATCAACAGTTGCAATTAAAAGAAACTAATTCTAATCACTGCAAAAGTTAATAACTTAATTTTTTGTAATGTATTAACTGAAATAACCAATCAGCGCTGCCCTTAATTCATCTCTTAGCCATCACCATCCAATCCGAAGCCAACTGGCCAGCCTGTCGCGCATGCGCACACGAGTCGAACCTTAATACAAGGTTCGTTGAACTTTCCACTAAAAGTTCGACAAAGTCAAACCTGGTCGAACTCGAACCTCGGCCGGTTCACGACACCCCTAGTCGCGACGCAGAAGCCCAAGCATCTCGCGCTTGCGACGCCACCAAGATACAGTCACAATTTATATTTCACACAAAATGCTGTAACTTTAGAAAAAAACAAGTTTTTTGGTCCAGAGTACCATTTTAGATTTGTTTAAACATGAGAATGCGACGCGAGCGGTTGACCGGCTATATCCGCTTGCGTCGCCTCAGCAAGAGAGGTCTCATGTACTGACCTTCGCCGAGAAATGTTTGCGCGTCGCAAGCATCAGGTTGCCGGTGATCGTTGCCAAACCGAGTACAATGCTGTCCCGTATTAAAAATCACAGTCGCGAGAATGCCGCCGACGTCGCACTCACGACGCCGCCAAAGCAGCCGCCAACATAATCCTGGAAGCCGCCATTAACTCTGCTCGTCTTGGCTTTTGCCAACTTCTCATCACGAATCCTCCTTGGAGAAGTGCAAAGACTCTTTGCCTACGCACGTTATTTCCGAGAAATAGCGCACACTAAAATTGCGCACGCAAAGCGCAAAACGTGGTTTGTGTTCAGAGCATGCGCAGTGGTGACGACGCTATTCTTTGCATACACAAAGCTTTAGCGTGCGCTATTCTAAAACTCCCTAATGACAGTTTCAACGAGTTGTGCCTTTTTCCTGCTATGCTGCGCTTTCGTAAAAATGTTCACGTGTTCTTAAAGACAATTCTCACTATTTACACAAGGTTTTAAAAAAAAATGTCATTATTGAATGACGATGAACGAGCAGAAAATGTGTCTTCGGCACGCTGCCGCCCAGCCTCCGCAATGCTCCAAAATGTTGATTTTCCGTGTCCCAAGATGGCCATCCGATGGCTGGATTCGCGGAGGGGGGAAGCTTTATCTAGCAATTGCCATAGAGATCAGTGGCTATTTCACTGTGGATAGCACAGCTTACGCTCAGAGCCGTGTATACAGAGAGTTTGGTCAATGGGAGGCGCGGGCAGAGCCACGGCGTGCACCAGACGCGGAAAGTGGGCTTGGCATGCTCTCTTGGCCAAACTAGAAGCTGAAAAGAATCCCCTAGCGGTGGTAGCGAGAAGCAGATTTGGTCGATTTATTAAGCGCGCAAGAGTTAAATGTAGTAACCCTTTATGGTCGAAAATAGGGTTTTGCTGCTCGGTCTGGGGACCCGACAACCAGGCAACTGGTTGCCTCCCTCGAATCGGTGCAACGTCGCGCTGCCTTCCCGAACACCATCCTATCGAGAACAGAACATCTTCTCCATTCAGTTGGCTGGGACCCACTTCAACTTCGGCGTCAAGCGGCAACCACACGGTTCCTAGCCACTTTTCTGCTACCGGACCCCTTTCTCCCTTTTGCCTCTTCCCTGCGGCGTACCCGCACCGGTGGTCTGCAGCCCCTTTTGACCCAAACGCTCCGTCACTCGCACTCCTTCGCACCTCGTGCAGTGCAACTTTGGAGGCCTCTCCCCGCGGCAATCACCAGTTCACCACCAGTCGACAGTGCCTCACTACAAACATTTACAAAGAGCGTCACAGCCCACCTGTGGAGCATCTAACTCAATTTGGGTTCTCCCACGGAACTTTCCCCTTTATCTATGTACCGGTTCTAGTTATTTATTATTTTTCTTTTTCTGCCATAGAGGCACTGTGGACCCCTTGGTATGGGCGTAATGCCCGCTCACAGTTGACAAACGTTTCGATCATGATCATGCAGAAAGATGTAAGAAACAAATGCGCCACTCGACTCTGTTTTGCTTGCACAGAGTGTGATCGCTCGGAAGGCAGATTCTCGGCCCTTTGCGCTTGGCGTACATATTATGTCATCGTTCCGCTAGTCGCACTCTTCCACCATGATTTTGAATGACCGTGATTGAAACATCACATGCACCATATTTTCAGTCACCAAGAGTTACTCCGATGCACTTATCAGGTTTGTTCCTCGCGGCCACCGCCAGGGTATTATTTCCGGCTTCTGGTTGGCCACATTCAAATTTGTAAAGATGCCCTGGAACACGCCCAGCCTGCTTTCAGCCAATGGCGCCTCCTCATTTGTCTCCTATACTTCCCAACGAATGGCCAAACTCTCTACATATACGGCTCTGCTCACACTTAGCACGTCCCCCATTCGGCTACAGGATTCTCTCTTCCTTTCCAAACACTTTCTCTCTCTGTCACTCTTTTTATTGTTGATTTTACAAATTTTATTGTTGAAAGAATTTGTAACTTGTATTTTTTATATTGTTCATCTTGACAAAAGTGAGAAAACTTACATCTTCCCCCAAAATACTGAAATTTCGCTGTGCAGCCGAAAAGAAAAAAATGCAATATTTCCCCATCTGCAGCCGTGTTCATATCATTTTCTCATTTCCTTGAATAAAACACGGGGGAAAAAAAAAGTATTGTCTTTCATTTGTTAGTTCACAGAGATTCCCACAATTAATTTGCCAAAGTGTGAAAATCATTGCGCCACCCCTTTAAATGTTGATCCTCAGAGCAATTTTATACTTCTCTGGACTTATTTCCCCAATACAAGAACATCTTCATTGTGACTACAATTTTTTTTTCGTCTGTGCTCTCGTTCTCATCAGCGAAAGCCAAGTACTCCCATGCTAGATCTGTGGCCCCTTCTGGGAGGGCACGACCAAGTTCCATACCTTTGGAAGCTCAACCAGTGAAACAGAGACAGGACTAAATTAAAAAGGCTTTATTGACAGACACTCGGTGAACACAAACATGGAGCACATTACAGAGAGGGCCAGGAACAGCTGGCCATGTATTAACAAGAGTGAAGATGCTTACAGTAGGTATGATGCAATGACCTGCTAAAAACCCACTGTCTAAGAAAAGGAAGTCCTCCCCAGTCTCTGTCTGCCCCCCCACACGTGCCCAGAGTCCTGAGCGTTGGTCACACGCCCCCAATGTTGAAGCGGCGTAGGTCGGCTAGGGGTTCGAGCGGCCGCACGGGCCACACGCGAGGCTTCTTGATCGCCAGTGCCTCGTTCCAGAGCCTCTCTAGGCGCAGCACCAACGGATAGATGTTCTGCTCGATCCACTCGGCCACGGTGTACTCGTCAAAGACTTCGCGTAGCACATCGCGTGCCTGGTGCACCAGTGATGTAAGGCTGTACAGTGTCGACGAGTGGTCTTCCAGGACTTGGTCCACTCTGCTGGGTAGCGTCAGGTTGCGACGCACATTGTAGTCGGTGACCCAAGCCTTGCCGATCGTCACATCGTGGATGTAGTCTTGGGCCTTCTTCACTGTCTCACTGTGCGTCTGGGTGAGCCGAAACACGGCAGAGCCCGGAAAGAAACATCCGTATCCCTTCTGCCAGAGAAAGGGGTCGCTCTGAAGGTCCATAGGAGAACGCGAGTGGGTGCACTTTAGAAGGCTGTGATACCTTCCCTGGAGATCGCTGCTGTAAGCCCCGTTGGTTAGCACCAGTAGGTTGAGGATGAGCGAAGGCAAACCAGCAGGCAGCAGCTCGCACAGTGTGGCAAAGTGGTCGTAGCGTTGCCAGCCAGTTATCACTATGCCTCGGAAGCGAGGGAACTTGGCATGCTGCTCAGACATGACCTCTAGCCACCCTTCATTGTTCTCCAGGTGCATGCGGGCATTAGGCACTGTCAGGGTCTCTCCAAAGGCACCCTTAAATGCGCTGGCTGCCCAAATGGACTCGAATGCTTCGCTGTACGTGCCCCAGTTGTTGTAGCTAATGAAGCGGTAGACGTCCTTCACGTACGACCACACCATGGGCTCGACCAACTTGCCCAGGGGCTTTAGTTTCTCGGCACTGATTTGGCGCAGCATGTCGTCCCAGATGATAGGCAGACGGCCGTGCCGCTCCCGCACATGCCGTGCCACCCGCTGCACGTGGCTTAGAAACAGGTCCTCCCTGTCCCGATGGCTGCAACGTGAGCAATAGCCCATATGGAACACCTCATCACAACCAATGTGCAGCCACTTAGCCTTGGGATGCAGTTCCAGCACCTGATCCACAATGGTGCTCACAACCACAAAGCTCTCGTTGCGCGAAGGGCACAGGGCTGTCGGGTGCTCGTCTATCTCGCGCACATGCCTAAACTCGGGCAGCTTGAGCACAAACTCCAGGTGTCCAAAAGTCTGTACCAGTGGTATCACTTCCAAGCTGTTCTCCTTGGCTGCAGCCAGAATCTCGCCAATCTCTGCCTTGGTGTAAGCATTCTTGGCGCGGATTGGCTCCAGTGAGCCGTGGTAAGGGAACATGTCCTCATACTCCAGCAGAAGCCCGTTGGCACCAGCTTCCCGGAGCAGTGGAAACAGTTGCTTCATGTAGGCCACCTTCGGTGGTGCGCCCTTGAGGTCAAGGTGAACAAAGCGTAGCTCGGGCACATATGCCTTGGAATGGGCCCCAGCCGGGAGCTGGGGCTTTGGTTCAGGAGCAGGCCTCTGCTGCTGGCCAGCCCACTGCAGCTCCGCAGGAACAGGAGCAGCCATACCGATGGGAGAGGCAAGCAGAGTCTCCGGGCGGACGTTGGTGGTGCCCAGCGAGCTATACTGGAGCAACACCACAAGGATGACCACCAGAAGCACTCCAAAAAGCAGGATCGGCTTCCTGCGCCACATGGCCAAAACAATCTGATGCACGCAGAGCTTTCCAGTGGCAAACATTGCACTGCTCACTGCAGGGACCTGCAACAGATAATGACTGTGAGGGTCACACATCTGCATCAAGTCTCAAGGACACACAAAGAATGCATTGCCTGTGGCTGTCCACACGATGAAACTGCTCAGTTTGCGACTCATAGTCACAAGAGTATGAGTAGTATGAGCCTTGTCGCATTGCTCACATCCTATGAACCAGCCTGCCCTCAAACCTTTGTATCCTAAAGAGCAAGCATGCCAGTGGGCATTGCACCAATATTTCACGTTCATCCACCAATTCTTTGCACGCAAGGAAGCTGGCATGGACATGGCACAGGCCAGCTGTTCTCGCAGCTCGCATGTGGGCATGTGAACTTTAAAGGTGTAATATTAACTCTAAAGAACAGCTGTTTGCATCAAAATATAGCATTTGGTATTTTAACACCTTTGTATCGGGCACAAGCTACCGCTCAATACAAAGGGTGGTAGTTGGCGCATCAGTCCATCCACACAATACCAAAGTGACCAACGTTGTAAACGGTGGCCACCACGTAAAACCTACAACTAAAAACATTAACAAGTTTTCCAATAGCAATGACAAGTTTTGTTGGTGTTCCATGCAGCCAATAAATAGAGGATGCTATTATTCAACATATAATAATTACAAATGGCATTATGCAAGCTCATCATCAATAGATGCAGATGCGAAACTCCTACACACAGCTAAAGCTTCAAAGCAGCTCCAGATGAGGTGATGGGGAGCACCCAAACACAACACAAACATACTTCAAGGCTTATAAAATTAAAAGCACAAACAATAGACGAAGCCCAATAAGAGAGGCGAACAGGATGAGCACTTACTCTCAACTGCAGATAGATTTTATGGACACATGCCGATGGGCAACGTCATTAGGCGACTCAGTGTGTTTTTATCAGTGGTTGTTAGCTTTAGCTGTTTTTCAATACATGTTCAGTCGAGAGTAAACGCTCATACTGTTCGCCTCCCTTATTATCCTCGTCTATTGTTAGAGCTTTTAATTTTATAAGTCATGAACCAACTTGCATATTTCGCCACTTTAGTATACTTTGTGCATGGGCGTACCAACCGGGGCGCCCCCCCCCCCCCCCCCCCCCCAGTTCTCAGAGCGGGGGGGCAAAGCATGTGTTTTGCCCCCCCCCCTGAAACAGCCGCCACAGGGCAGGGCAAACACTGGCCGGCAACGCCCAAGAGAAACCAAGGGCACCGCCCTCCCTCCCTCCCTCCCTCCCTCCCCCCCCCCCCCCCCCCCCACCCTGTGGGGGGGGGGAAGGGGGAAGGGAAGGGAGGGGGTTTGCCTCTTCACTCAAAAACAAGTTCGTACGCCACCGACTTTGTGACCTTAGAATCTCAACCCCGAAACAAGGACGTCTGCATAATTCCTAAACCCCCGAGACATGGACGCCTATACTCCATCTTACAAATGTCTGCAATAACGACAAAGGCATAGGCATGCGAGCCTAGCTCAGCAGTATACTTTTGTTTGTACAAGGACTCATGCATTGTAGGCACTTTCTTAAGTGTCCTCGGGCCCATGCCCGTCTTCACTGCAGATGGTTGTATCTAATTACTACCTCTGTCCAGTTTTGAGTATCTACCTGTACTGAAAATGTATGTTCCTCCTTGTGGACAATGATGCTTGCCAAAATGAAATAATGAATTTGCAATGGTTAGACACAAATGCTTAATTCTAAGTTCTTTTTTTTTTTAAAGAGTTTATTTATTATATTCTTGTGCATATATGGTGCGCCGGTTTAAAAAACATGGCTTTTGACCAGAAGAAATCTAACTGAACAACCGCGAATGCAAGTGCACGCCGTTACATCGCCATGTCGTAAAAACAGAAGCAAACCTCCCACTCAAAACACCTGGCCTCTAACGCTAGACATAACAAAGGTCATGCGGGAAGGTTTCCCCAACTGTTGTGCAGCTGTAAACGGTTCATTACAACATAGAGAGCTTCCGCAAAATGACTCATAAATTGAAGGCCGGTTAAGGACATTCATGCCTTTGCTACCCCAACAAACGCAACCTAAACAAGCTTTTTTTTTTTTTTTTTTTTACTTTTTTTATGGCGGCGCACTGAAGCAAGCCGAGATCGGATATCAATGCACGCACAACGAACGGGCAAGCAATTAGGAAGTCCTAGCCACACCATCGCAAAACCTTCGAGGTTTTGAACACGAAAATGGCCAAATCGGCGCACACACCGCGGAAAAAAAAAACAAAAAAAAACGGTAGATCTGCACGTTCTGGAACAACGTGAAAGGCGAGTGCTTGAACAGTCTGGCAAAATCGAAGCCGTGCCTGGACTAGAGCAGTTAAACGCTTCGATGAGTTGCGAACGATAACACAAAAATCGCGAAAGAAAGATCAAACGATAACAAGGAAAACGCGCGTTTCTCGACAGAGCCGAGAAACGACATTTTTCAATAAAATTTTACCGAGAATGCAAACGCCACATTACCCCCATGTTAACGTCATTATTGAAGACGACGGCGAAGCACTGCTGTGCGGTGAACGATGACTTCTAAGATGAAGGGGACATCCGTTGACTAGGACACGACAGGCGGAAAACTGTTAAAACCGATTAAATCCAGGCTGCAGCATTAATGCGGATAAAACTTGCAGGGTTATGTAGTGACGTAGTCCCCGTGTCCACCTCCGGTAAGAAAAATCTTTGCTTTTTTTCCCTTTTTTTTTTTTTTTTTTCTTTCTTTCTAACGAGAGACGCGCCGCGCCATCTACGCGGAGACGATGTTCCAGGACGACGGTAAGACGGCAAGGAGGAAATAAAAAGTAAGGAAGAGAGAAAGCCGCCTGAATTAAATTTGTGAAAACACGTGCAACGTGAGTAAAGCCGTGCAACCACAGTTCGCTGGTTTAAGAGGTACACATTTGCGTAGGACTGCCGGTCACTTTCGAGCACGGTGTCCTCCAGGCGCATATGAATGAAAATGAAAGCCGCAAAGCTACGTAACGCACAAGCATTGAGCACGCGCTGCGTCATGATTCGATAAAACAGGCACGTTTTTATCGAAGCTCGGTTTAGAGAACCGGAAGCTCGGTGTAGAGGGACGCTGTTTAAAAACGGGTAGCGCGTGATTTACTGAGGAGCGTTCTCGTTTATCCACCGCTCGTGGCGACCGCGCGAGGGCGCCAGGTTAACAGGGTACATCTAGGGAGGCTCTAGTGAGTGAGGGTGAGAGCAACTAAAAATCGGAGAGCGTTTGTTATTTAATGGCGGCCCCTGAGGAAGGGGGCGGGTTGGATGGATGGATAAATGTTAATGGCTATACCCTTTGTAACGGGCAGTAGCTTGCGCCACCTAGCCTAAGTCTAAAAGAGACATAGGCCAGGTGGGAAAGGATATGCACCAATGTTGCCTGCACGAGAGCAGACGCCCGCTCTGTTGCTCCGTGTGCCTTTCCTCCTCTCGCCTCCCCTTGCAAGCAACGAACGCCTTGGCGTAGCCTTTCTCGCTTCAAGCAGAGTTGCCAGACAAGCAGCAGCCTCCAAGATGGCGGAATTTACCATTTTTCGCTTTAAACAAATAGTTAACCAATCAGAAGTGAGTCACGTGACGTCAATTTCCACGCTAAAATTGGCGGGGAACGCTTCTCGCTAAAGTTAGCCAAAAAATTTCCCCGCTAAATTCCCGCTAAAGTTAGCGGGAAAATTTTCCCGCTAACTTTAGCGGGAAACTTAACCCGCTAAATTTAGCAGAGAAACTGTGACGTCCCATAATGCAATGCACGCGGTTACGCCGACGGCGATGCCGCTCAACCGAGAAACAAGCACCTAAGAGCTGCGCTCTAAAATTGAAAAAAATAAAAATAAAACAATGCCAAAAAGAAAAAGAAAATTAACTGTCAGTAGCTGTGTACACGCATCATATGAGGAGGGTGAACATGGTGAACACCTGCGATGCGCCGCTAAGAAGCGGAAGCAGATTTTTTTTTTTTTTTTAATCTCATATGTGAATGACCTCTCATATCGAAGTGTTGACATTTAAAAAAGAGCAACACTTTTTGGTGTAAAGCCTACAAGTAGAAAAAAATACTGAGCCAATACGGCAGACATATCCAGGAATGCCCATGTCACATGAGCGAATGAAGTTTCAGCGAACAGTGGTCATTTGAGCGAATTAACGTTTTAGCGAATGACGTATCACTGGGGCACGTGTTAACCCACACGCACCTCTTCTTCGTCCACGCTGCTTCGTGGTAAGTCTGCAGCGGTTCGTTATAAAAATGTTAACACACCTGGCCACCCATACATGCCACTTCGCGGTGGCCGACTATTCGCTAAAGTGTCACTCAATGAAAAGTCAGGGGCAGGACTTGGTTCGCTAAAACACCATTCGACCAACTGAGTGCCGCCACCTGGAAAACCATGTTCCAGGTGTATTTTATGAAAAATTCTTCAAAATAAGTGCACATTCATATCCTTTTAAATTTTTTTTTTGTTATGTGATCATTTTCAAGAGTATTACAATCTAGTAAAATAAATAACCTAAAATATATGAGTCTAGACTGGTGTGCTTCAAACCTTTCTATACTCCGGTTCGTCTTATGTTGTACCACAGGAAAGGCTGTAAGCGCAAGCTCCTTGCTCTGGGGCAGATCTCGGCGGCACAAGCTCTCGTGCAGTAAGGGCAGCTGTCAACGCTATGAGCTCGCGCTTCCAGCCTTCGCTGCGGTACAACATAAGGTGAAACGGAGTATAGCACTCTCGCAAATATTCCACATATTGCAAAGACCCTCAAAAAGGCAAGGAAATCCTAGGGGAAACAATAGCAAAGGTAATATATATAGCCTCTTTATCAATTTGTTTACATGTGTCAAGTTTCTATAGTCAATTGGGGGAGAAAATAAAATAATTAAAACTAATTGCCCTCGTATATCTAAATAAAAAATGTGCACAAAGATTATGATCTACAAACGTTACCCAGTCTACTTTGAAGAAAGGGACAAACACTAACATTGTTGTGTCCGTCCCCGGTCTTAACAATATTCGTCACATTGTGATATAAGAAACTCCTTTGTGTTGGTACATTGTGTGCTATACAATGAGCCCAGCTATTGTGGTCTCTAACAGCAAGAAAGGTGTGGAGTAGAGAAAAAGAAGCGAACTCTGCTACACTGAGCAGATGTTGTAAACTCCGTCATAAATTTAGGTGTCTCGCTTCTCAGCGATGAGGATCGATGCTCAGCCTGACCTACATCGTTGGGTATTACAGTTGCCAATTTTAGTATTGGTTGTTCTTTGGCACCTGGCAATGTACATTTTAGTTTATCTTCATTTACATGTGACACCCCCAACTCTGACGTGCACAATAAAAAAAAAAAAAAAAAAATTGTAGCATGTTAAAACAAACCTTTAAAAAATATAAGAGCAAGAGATACATTGTTGCAGGAGGAAAAGCACAAAGCAAAGCCACAATGAAAATGCAAGATTACTCCAATAGAAAAATCGAAGATTAATATGGCAGGCTGAATAGGTGGCACGGAGAAAAACTCGCAAGACAAAAATGCACAAAAAAAAAAAAAAGCCAATTGGAGAAAAGCTTACCCGACATAGCTTACTGCAAAAACATTGGATGCAAGAAAAGCTCAACAGCTTACATGGATTCAGAAAAAAGCTCCTGCAAATCTGTGAGCGGATTCAATCTTGTTTCTTTACTGCTTGCTCTGTGGTTGGACCTTCAGAATGTCCTATTGTCTTCTCATGCCCACAATCTTTTCAGACTTGCGACTTTCCAGATCTCCTTCTTTGCTTGGAATGACAGCACAGGTGTTCATCCTTACTTTGCCACCATGCACACTGGAGTAAAAAATTAAGGATATGCCTCTTGTCACGTTGTCCCTGAAGTGCACTAGTCACCACTGCCTAAGCTGTGCCAATCGACATATTTCACCATTTATAAAAAATGCTTTGAAATCCAGCCCCTTCCAATCGGCAAACCAATGTGATATTTTCCCCCATTTCAGCTATGCACATAATTACGATAAGTTCATGTAAATGTCTGCCAGGATTTGAGGGTTGGTCAAATAATGCGTTCAGAGACTAATCAATACATAACTTAATTTTATTTTGTTCTATATGAATTGAGAAAGTTCAGACAAACTTCCTATGCATATCTATCAGAGGTAGCGCTATCAGGACTGGCTTGATCAAAGTGCACAAATACAATGAACTTTAGCGCTCTGTCCGCACCAGAAGCATGCGGAATGCTAGCACACAAGACTGGTGACCAGATGCTGATTATGACCTGCTCCATTCTTTGAGCTAGCCAGCCTAATTATCTTTGATTTATGTCAAGAGTTCTGCTTTGTAGAGACAACTGAACCATTTAGCAAAACAAGACCCAAAATAAAAAATAAAAAAAAAAAAAAAACCCTCATTGTTCAATGAATCCAGAAGCAGCACCATTCTTGATCACAATGTAAGCACTTTTGTGGCATAAAAAAAAAAAGTTACCAATTTATCACTAAAGATGTTTAAAGCATGTTATTTTACCAGTCCAATAACTTGTTCTAGAAGCAAGAACTGCAACAAAATAAATCTTACCACAAACATAGGCTCTTTAGATTTACTTTCAGTCAACATAACATATATTTCATGTCCCAATCAGTCCCCTTCCAGCTGGATTATGGAACTGGTCCCAGCTGGAAATGAGGCAGTCCAGCTGGATTCCAGCTGGACCCAGTTGGAATCCAGCTGAACTGCCTCATTTCCAGCTGGGACCAGTTCCACAATCAAGCTGGAAGTGGCTTATGTCCAGACGCAGCCGACGCTATGGGGTAATGGGACCAATCAAGAAGCGTCAAAAGCGCAAGTCACTCGGCCTGATGAATGAACATGAACTGAAACACGACAAACACTATGATGGTGAGCTTTTGAAGCTTTCCGATTGGTCCCATTAGCTCGTAGCGTCGGCTGCATCTGGACTTAAGCTGAAACGAAAGTATAACTGCAGTCACCTTTTCATAAAATGTAAAAGGAAGGGTGCAAAGTTGAATCCAAAACTGGTCCCTTCCCCACTCTTTAGTGGACATTTGTTTACATTTTGCACACACATGCAGCATCATTCGTTCACAAAAAAGTAATACTATTCAGGCAATCCACATGGCATAACAACCCGGCTCATGGCAACTACAGAGTTTACATGGTCACCAGATGGTCCCACATAGATAGGCCATAGATTTTCCAGTATTCGATCAGTTATAATGAAAATTGCCGGATGTTTTTCTGTTCATTTATGTAAAAAAATATCTCTGTATTTCGGCCATTCATTTTGCACGGATGCTAGAAACGGTGATTATCGGTGGAAAAATGAATGAAAAACTAAGGGTGAAGCAGAATGCGCAAGTAGGCTAGCTAGTTGGTACATATATACTACATAAAAGTGGCAAAAAACAAACAAAAAAATAAACGAGGACAAAGAGTAGGGGTGGACACAGGGAGCACTCTGAGAGTCCACTCCTACTCTTCATCATTGTTTTTTTTTTTTGCTTTTGCATAGTGAGATTGCAAGTTCAATTTACAATCTGTACACACCCTTATAACGCTTCAAACTTGTATCATAATGCAACAGTTCTTTCAAACCACGGATACAGGTTTTGGCACAGGTTTTGGTCAGAGTACTCTTCAACGGCCGCAGTTTTTAATTTTCTTTGTATCTTCCTACCCTTCTGCTCTGCACAATTGACAGAAATTTAACTGTTCTCAAGCAATATTTTTATGCCACAAGGAAGGCAAGTTGCTCTTGTTTCTTTCCCTAGATTGAATCTGCACTGTAGTTTCGAACACTGTAGTTTAGCTCTGACCGGAATAGAACAAAGACATTGTGACAATCTGTGGTTACCGACTAACTGAGCTAGTTCTCATGCGACTGCCCGAGGAACGTCTGAGAAGGGCTTTAAACGGTCTTCGCTTGGGGAAAAATATTACAGAAGTTGCAGTTCTTTGGTTTTAACTGATATTCTGTTTTTGACACCAGCGGATGTTTATCAGAGTTTTTCGGCTAAAACCAGAAAGTCTAAGGCCCATAATATAACTATGGCTACCAGTTTTCAATAAAAAATATAGGGATGTCACTTCGACAATTCCATACATTTAATTCTGGCCACAATGCCTTTTTAAGGACATTCAATCATCCAGTGTTCATGAGGATGCATTTGAGATAGCCAAATATCCATGGAATGACCTTGACTAATTATGAAGCACAAATAAGGTCACACAGCTTTATTGTCATCTGTATTTTGTCACTTGCAAGGAATTTTTCTTTCTATGCTTCAATTGGCTCTCCACATGAAGGGTGGTCACACTATTTGCCGTTTCTATTAAAACAATATTAATTATGGAAGCAATACAAACTATGAAAACAGTACAAACTTACATCCATATTTTTACAATAGCCAGGGTGGAATGCTAGACGTTGGGGAACCATAATGCACATAACTTTTCCCCCTAAGTAAAACATCTGTGAACTTAGTGCGGACATATCTAAGAAAAAACACTCCATTTCAGTCGAAATTCAAACCTGCACATTATACACCAAGTGTGGACTATAATCAAAAAAATATATTACGATAAAAAAACAACAACTTTAATTTATATCACTGATCTTGAAAGACAAAGGTGGATATATCCATCAAAAATACCAGTAAGCATATGGATAACCAAGGAAGTTCAATTCTCTAATCTCAGGGTTGCCCAGTGATGCATGTTGCACGGGAGCTAGGTCTTGCACAGTACAGCCCTGAAGCCAGAAGCTTTGCCTCCTCCTTTCATTCACCTAGTACCTAAAGCTCATGCTAAGTTATATAAATTCACCCTCCCCAATACTGATTCCGGAGGAGGATAGACACTCCAATGCCAGAAGTGCTAACAGGTCATACAGGCCGACACAGTTAGTCCCTGGGCAGCCAAGTCGAAATGCAGAGAAGGCTGCAGCAGTTAGGGTGCCGGAGCCTGGGCGCCGCGCTTGAAGTGGTGCAGCTGTCTGGCGTTTTCCTTAAAGTTGAAGGGCATCTTGTGGTGCATGTGGCATGCGCCGTAGAAAGCAGTGCCCATGGCCGCAGAGACGGTGGGACGGAGCAGCGTGAACTCGGGGACCTTGGGGCAGAGCACCTCCTCGAAACCTGGGAGAAAGTATGCCCCCCGGCTGGAGAGGCTGCACGCCGCCTGCTTTCCCCCTGTTGCTCCGATTTTCTTTGTACCACCTACAAGACGGAGCTTGATTGTACTGCCCAAGACAGGGAGCCAGGGATGAGAGGCCAAAACACACCACAGACGATGTGTTGTAATTGTTCAGTGTACATTTATTCTTTTCACGCCAACCCCAGCACATGCAGTGGCGCTGATATCAGCATGGTTAATGATAGCATTCGTACAACACACATTAGAGCAGTGTTGGGAAGTACTTTAAGTACTTCCCGGAAAGTACTTTAAGTACTTCGAGTCATTTAACATTAAAATACAGGGGGAGGACAGATGCATAAGTGCCCTGTCAGTGCATCTAACAGACAAGGAATTTGAATTTTTACTTAAGAAGCCCGATTGGGTGTATAAATAGTGTGTTGTTTCAATAAACATTCAGTTGAAAGTAGTGTTTCGTGTTGTCTTACCTACTCTGTCCCTGTCTTGCGGCGCATTTTGTCAAAAGAAGTCATGTATCAACTGGCCCATCTGTCACTATTGATACTTTAAGTACATTGTACTTAAATTACTACTTCAAGTATGTTTAGGAAACTTGTACTTTACTTGAAGTACACTCTCTGAGTATGTACTTGCACCCTACTTAAAGTATTTTTTTCTGGTACTTTCCGAGGAAAGTACAATTCCCGATTTCAAAGTACATTCCCTAAATTTGGTTTTGTTAAATTTGTATCACGAGATGATGCTTTGTCAACTCCGAAGAAATACTGGGAGGGATATTCTACTCTCACCAGAAACGTGAACAGATGACGCATCGCTCCGTGAACAGATGACGCACCGCTACTTCTCGGTCGGTCAGTGCAAGCGAGGAGTTTTAAAATATTAGGAGAGCAAAATTAATCATAATGTAGCACCTGAGACTGCGGTGCAGGAAAATTAAATTTTCAAGTCGAAGTAAAAGACAACAGAGGAGAACGTCACAATGTTTTGATACATTTTGTCTTTTCCTTCTTCTTGAAAGTTCCTTAAATTTTTCGCATCCCAATCTCAAGTGTCACATTATGAATAATTATCACGAGCTCATTTGCACACTCACTGTTTTTGTCGTCTTTTTTTCATTAAGGAGAGGACACTCCTCTATGAGAGGATTGCTTGCGGAAGCTACGGGGCTGACGTCATGCTCTCTCCTAGTACATTTAACCCCCTTAGGTGCAACAATCCAGTGCAAGAGGTGCCAGTTTCAGAAGAGGGACTTTTGAATTTGGCTCCATTCCTGAAAATAACTACTCTGTGGCCACTTGACTATCAAATAAGTTTGCCGCTATTACCCCTGGGCAATGCATACCAGTTAAAAATCGCTGTATAGGGAAATGAAAGGGCATTATGAAAGATGGTGTTAAAATACTTGTACTTTACTTTAAAAGTACACTGTATTTATAGTACTTTACTTCAAGTATGTTGTACCCAGTGTACTTAATACTTTACTTAAAGTATATCACACCTCATTTACTTCATACTTTACTTGAAGTACCTTTTAGATGTACTTTACCCAACACTGCATTAGAGATAGAGATAAAAGAAAAGTGCACAATTTTCATTGATTAGAGTAGACTAGGCCTACAATTTTCTGTGTTATTATCTGATGTAGATGAAATTATCCAAACTACTGTAATTTTGTGTGCTTATTGTGCAGATATAAGAAGTTTAGTTATGGCCCATCTCGGTTATCTACTCTACTAATTTTGTGTGCTAAGCACAGGTAGAAGCTTATTTATTTCCTACTTAGTTTAGTTTTTAGGAAAAGCACGACCTAATGACAAACATCTCTGCCCGACCATAATATATAATGGTAAAATATACCTCCGGTATGTATATTCTACCAAAAAAAAAAAAAATAGTCACATTAACAAAATTTATTACACGTTGAAACTGTTTAAACAACAATAAGAAATTAATAATTATAACTACTGGCAACTACAAGGGGCATACCATATTAATTTACACTTTATTTTCTTGCTGCAGATAAAGGCCACTAACAGGTCGGAAGATATGTCCACCTTCTTGACAGACTCTCCCTGGAGTCGAATGCACTTGCACAACCTGCGTGGGAGCCTTTCCACACCCTGCCAAAGCCAGTTTTTAGAAGTGTATCACACCCATGCTTGGATGGCTGCTCCCAGCTCATCAGGGACTTCGAAATGGCATCTTCTGAGGTTTTTTTTCGTAACCCCGAACAGGTGATAACCACTGGGGGCCAGATTGGGCCGTACACATGCACAACTAAGCACCTGACAGCCCAGGCAAAAATCGGTCCACTTCCAGCTGGATTATGGAACTGGAAATAAGGCAGTCCAGCTGAATTCCAGCTGGCTGGATTATGGAACTGGAAATGAGGCAGTCCAGCTGGATTCCAGCTGGCCCACTTCCAGCTGGATTATGGAATTGGAAATGAGGCAGTCCAGCTGAATTCCAGCTGGCCCACTTCCAGCTGGATTATGGAACTGGAAATGAGGCAGTCCAGCTGAATTCCAGCTGGCTGGATTATGGAACTGGAAATGAGGCAGTCCAGCTGGAATTCAGCTGGACTGCCTCATTTCCAGTTCCATAATCCAGCTGGAAGTGGACTGATTTTCGTCTGACAAGCCGTATGGCGATTTTACTGCAGGTACCGGCCTCCTGTGTGTGGCCAGTATCTGCAGCAAAAAAATAAAATGTACAAATCAATATGGTACGCCCCTCGTGGATAATGTTGTACAGACACCCCTCTACATAGACAAAATTTTCAGGCACGCATCCGCCCCATAAAATTCCTGCCTCGTTAATATAGAAACGTGCAGTCCAGACTATGGATAGTTAGTCTGGGAATGACCTGGGTAAATACATGAATTAAGTTTTATTATTCTGGAAATAAGCTTTCTAAATGCAAGTCAAAAAAAAAAAAAGCTTTTGGGCCAGAGATATACTCTGAACTTTGCTATTGTCTGTTGTTGATTGTCCTTCCTAAGAAAGAGAAAATACCTGGGTGCTAAATAATTGTTTGAATTTTCAGGGCTTTCCAGACAAATGGGCCACTTGCCCTTATGTCCCTACATGTGTTAGGGCCGCAGACAACAAATCTGAAGAACATTCGTAGGTTGTGTCATCTGTATACCTCTTGTGCATAAAAGTAAAGCAGGCACTTCCCTCACCATTTAGGAGGAGAAAAAATGATATGTAAAGTGACAGTGGCAAGAGAGACGATGGCAGACGTAAAACCTAAGCGACTGCTTTTCTGGAGCAGGGAGGACACGGAGAACATGCCCCACAGGTAGCAGGTATCCTACGTTTTTGGATAATAAAGTAGGCACCAAGGCGTTCATGCGGATGAAAGTCTACACATATTTTCTAAATAAACAACATCCTTTTGTAGCCACACTTGTATATTGCAATGTAGTGACAAGTTTCACTGTTTTTGCTAGGCTCAACGAACTTCCATCTTTTCGTTTGTCAACCCTGTTATACATATGTTATCAAAAAAGCTAAGTAAAACCTACCAGTCATGGCTTAGACAGCAATGTGTCTGGCTCATGTCATTACAATTGGTGACGAAAAACTAAGTCTTATCAACGAGGATCGAAAGACAGTTGAGGACGGCGACGCCAGTGTGCACACAAGTGCAGAGAAGAGCTCAACTCATGAAAAAAAAGACAGTTGCTACCGTTGTAACGGTAAGCATCTTCCAACTTCGTGCAAGTTCAAAACTTCAACGTGTCATAAGTTTCAGAAGCGAGGGCACATCGCTGCAGCGTGCTGTTCAAAGAAACGGGCAGAAAAGCCAGCGACGGCAGGCAAGTGTGGAAACTAAAAAAAAAGTGTTCTTTTCCGAGTGTAATTATTTAAAGAAATGTGGCGCACGACGTAGCAATTGAGAAAAAAAGTCTGAGGACACCAAAGCACTTCTTACGAGTAGTGAATGCGAAAGCATGAAGTCGTTTTTCCGCTCCCTTAGTTCATCTGCGACGTCGCGGCGTGGACGGCCACGTTTCGCCGGCCGCCGGCCGAGTGCGCGCTCTCGCGAAGTGGCCTCGCCAGACTGAGCTCGGCCGTACAGCCTCTCCGGAGTTTGCCCAGGCGGGCTGTGCGGCCGGGCTCGCACCGCCGCACTTCTTACCGGCGGCCAGGCCGCTGCGTGCGATGCGCCGCCATGGAGAGGGCTTCTCTGGTGGAGTTTTTTGGAACTACGCCACACGAGAGCCACTGGGAGCCTCGTTCCTTGATGACGCACGCCAGCCAATGGGAGCCTATCCATCAGATCGCGGCTTTACTTCGCTCCATTGGGAAAGGGGAGTTTAGGTGCCATTTGATGCGGCTTCAAAGCTGATGCCGTCGGTTCACTCCATGGAACCAGTTAATGCTTTCGCATTAAAAAAGCCTCAACAGTTCTCTAACCTTAAATGCATTCCCCCAAAGGTTGAGAAGTCTGAGGCCCTTTAGACGCATAATTTGTACGCTTAAGGCGTAGGACATGTAAACAGCAACAAACCTTCACGCAGCAGCTCCCAGCTGTTGAAGACAGACCCGACGCAGACAATGGGCAGGCCCCCTTCACTCAGCCGCAGAGCCTACGTGGGAGACCATCACATTATGGAACGCAAATTGAAAGAGTACCACTAGCACGAGGGAGTGCACAGATATTTTGCAATTTTAGCTCTGTAGACATCAACACATTATTAGTATTTAAGCAACAAAGATATTTGACTGAAACTTTTATTATATTAAAAAAAAAAAGAAATGGTAAAATTAGCCAAAATTGACTGCTTTGACACTTTTGCGTTCGAAGACAATTTATAAAGTATTTACGCCACAAAACACCTTTTACAAGGCGTACAGCACCATCCACAGTATTGAAAAGAATACCGGAAACTTGCTGTAAGAACCGGCTCTAGCGGACGTCGGAGGTCACCGACCAATTCATTGGTAGGTTACCTCCTTTAAATTATGTGGAATTAAAGGGACACTGGACTCCCAAAAATCTTCTTTTTTCCATTAACTGCCTGGATAAAACAAAAATTCACTTACCCCAAAAAAAGAAAAACAAAAAATTCATATTTACGCTGCAACATACATTTTAAGACTGGAATAATTTTGTCTGCTCGCGCGCGTCAGCTCAAAAATTAATTTTAATGGACCTTTTTCCAGTATGCTTCTGCGCATGCGTACACTGCCCCTGTTGCCATTTTCGCAGGACACCGGGACGCGGTGCCCTGCGAAAATGGCGACAGCAATACTATCACCATCTATCTGCGCGCGTATTTAGTCTATTTTGACACTTTGTTTTTAATATCGGTAGTATGGGGTATAAAAAGCACCGAAAACCAATACAACGGCACGATGCCAGTGTGTTCTGACGGGCGGAGGCATGTTGGGCTGCTCTTCCTCTGCAGTTCGCAGACAATTCGCAGACAACTCCTCAGAAGGCGCTCGCTACTTGGAAAAGGTCCACTGGAGGTCAATGTCACTGTGACGTCAAAACAGAAGTAATTTTGTAAGCCTCCCTTTGGTCGGAAGGACCGCAAAGAAATATGCACCCACTGCATCTCCACAACTCGGCCCTCCCCACCAAAAAAAAGGCAAGGAAGGAAAAAAAAAAGCGGAGAGAAAGATGATATGTACGTTGCATCCACGGCTAGGTCTCAATAGACCTTTTGCGTAAACTCCAATAGGCTGTGTGCGAAGCGTGCAGTGAATTATGGTCCTGTATGCTCTTCATTGCCCCTGCAGCATCTATATATACAGGGTGTTTTTGCGAAAGCTTTAAAAAATCTCTAAAAATATGCTGTTAGAGATGAAAGCAAAGTCTTTGCGGGAGTAAACTACCAGCCTTGGTGGATGTCAAGGATTGCAAAAACATACTAATCAACAAGATAATTAACCAAAATTTTCTAATTAGTCTTTAATAAGTGAAAATAAACATATGGTTCCACTGAGAAGCTTGCTACACATTATCGAAAACCACAAAATCAACTATTTTTAGAAAGATGTAGGGCAGGAACAACATTTTCTAAAAAAAAACTTTCAGCCTTTCCACTCTGGTGAAGGGAGACCAGCGAAGCTGTACTATGGTGGGACGACCTTAAAGAAGACTTCTTGGACGACCTCAAGACGACGCCTAGAGGAAGGCATCTAGGATGACCACAAGAATGACTTCTAGAACTACCTTGAGGACAACCTCTTGGACAACCTCAAGGACAACGTCTGGGACGACCTCAAGGACGACTTCTAGGACGACGCCTAGAGAAATTCAGCCTTTCCACTCTGATGAAAACCAGAGTGGAAAGGCTAGAAAGGTTGCCACCATCTACGAGTGACGGCGGTAGCTGTCCAGTTTTGTGTCGGCATTTATTTGGCGACGGACACGAAACTAAAGAAATTAAACCTTAACAGCACCGCTCTAAAAAAAAAAAAAAAAGGCTTAGATTGGACACATTTTTAGATTTCAGTTTTTTATAGAAGCGCATCTTTGTGCCCGCGGTCCTGCTCCTCGGTGGTCGCGGCATGAAACCAGCGCCTCGCCTCCCTCGTAGGATGAAAGGAAGTATGGCACATGTGTGTTGCGCGGCTCGGCCACTGGGGAGCAAGACCCCAAACGCAGAGGCACACTCCGGTAAGAATCAAAAACCTAGAAACGCGTCCAAACCAAGTTCTTTTTTCAGAACGCCGTAAAATGCTGCCTTTGCCTTGTATCTTTCTTAAAATGCGTAGCTTAGCAAGTTTCTCAGTAGAACCATGTTTCTTTTAACTTATTAAAAAAATTAATGAGTAAAGTTTAGTTAATTACCTTGTTAGTATGTTTTTGCAATTCTTAACGTCTGCCAAGGCTAGGAGCTTGTTCCCACAGTTTCTTTTTACCTTGAACAGCATTTAGGGATTTTCTAAGTCTTTCACAGAAACATTCTGTATATACTCCATTAATTTCTCAGCTGACAGTGTGGTGGATGCTACATGCTCATTGGAACAGTCTAACATCTGTCTTTCGTCACATGATCATTCTCATGCCCATACCAAGCGCAAAGAGCGGGGTCAGCTGATGAAAGGAAGGCGGTCCATTGGTCCGGCAAGCGCATAGCTTCCACTGTGCTGTCAGCTTAGTGGTAAAGGGAGTATACCGTATAACACTGAAAAGAGAGAGGGAGAGGGCAGTGCAGTTGCCCATCTGCGAATCCTCCATTGCCTCCAAGGTCAACTCTGTTGTCTGCCACAGCTGGTTCTATACAGTCAGTCGTCAGCATTTCCTGTGGACAGTGCTGCATGCTTTGTGAAAGATCTACAGTTGAACCCGGATAATATAGAATTCAAAGGGGACCGTAAAATAGTTAGGTATACCGATAATTTGATATACAAAAATATGTTAACTTAAGCTCCAGTTGAAATTTCCGCGCGTCTCTGCTAATACCGAAGGCCACGAAAAACGTGACCTTACCAAATAAAGCCATTAAGAGCTCCTAAATACAGTAGAGCTTAGATGAAGATCACAAACACCGCCGCGTTTACGCGACGGTGGTTGCGATCGTTTACACCTGGCCACGACCTCAACACAGCGCGGGCAACAAAACATGAAATTAATTTAGAAAATAAAAGAACAGAAAGAGCAAGCCGCAAAAAAAAAAGACTCAATTCATAAAATAAAGTTAAGCAATAAAAAAAAAACGAAAAAAAAAAAGGTAAACAAAACTAAAGGCCCGTTCACACTCTTGCGACCTCTTAAAACTGGTTTCCTTAAAACCTCTTACAACGAGAGGACACACTGGTGCCATCTATTGGGTAGCAGTGTAAACTTGGTGGTCCGGCATATTTTCTATTTCTCTCACGCATTATCCTTCTTTCTTGCCTTGAAAAAACTTTTGTCAACATTATAAACAAACTTTTCTTATAGGTATTACGCACATTTGACCTCGGAAATACCGCAAAACCTTCGCTCTTGTGAAATGCAGTTCCAGGGTCACCGCATAGAAGCGCCAGAGTGCCAGTGTGTTTTCTCGTCGTAAGAAATTTTAAGAGGTTTTAACAAGTCTCGGTCTCTCTCGGTCGTACTCGGTTGCAAGAGTGTGAACGGGCCTCAAGTCGTTCAAAGTGCGATTGCTCAATTGTTATTGTCGACACACTCGACTTGACTAAGGCTTTTTTTTCTTGTTAAATTATTTTATTTTGGGGCTAAGGCGTCGCGCAGCGACAGCGGTGTTCGGGAAAAGAGCGCACGCTACCATTCCAGCAGCGAGCAACATCCTGCCCTCCCTACGCGCGCGCGCGCATGCCCTTCACCTTGCGTTTGCCATCCACCACTTTTTTTCTTTTTTTTACAACTGCTCTTTTGCTGCGTATCCCCGTGCGCGTGTGCTGGCTTGGCGGTCTATGTGCTCGCCGCGGGCGCAATCCGACCACAGGAGAAGCGACGGGCGGCCGTTTTAGTTCGCTAGGCACAAGCAAACTAATTTTAAAGCTAATTAAACAATCTTTCAATGTTCACCTGGTGGATGCATGTGGAGCCTATTTGGGAGGTAATCTAGCAACGTTGGGGAACTTGCTACGTAGTCATGGCGTAGCAATTTCCTTTGGAACAGCGCCGCTCTTTGCAGTTTTGACATTTTTCTCTTTCCTCCTCAACTCACAAATCGCGCATTGTACCAAACAGTTCAAGAAGATGGAAAGGAGGGACTCCCCTCTTTCTCGGACCCTCGTTTGTGAACCCGGACACAGCCATTGTCCCGCTAAAAGATTAGCCCGTCGTTTAAAACTCAAAGAAAAGTTGCTTTTCCTACCCCGTTCAGCCCTAAGCTGACAGTGTTGTGGAAGCTAATGCTCCTTGGGCCAGTGCTCCTTGGGCCAGCCACACGCTCGCCACCTTACGGGTACTCCGAACGGCTCGGTTGTAACTCGTTGAGGCTATTGACACCACTACAACGCTGACAACACCACCAACGGCAAAGCTCATAACCACGCCAGCATTGCTACGTCACGAATGCGGGGAATCTTTTCTTTCTGTTTTTGTTTGCGCCGGATATCCCATGATGCATCGTGCTCTCCGTTCGCTTCTCTTGGAGCGCTTGCTCGAGTGCACCATTCGGAAAGAAAAATATAGCCAGTCGTTCAAAATGCAAACGTGTGATTGTCATTTGACTCATTCCTGAATGAAATTTGAATATTTCAATATTTGTTTCCGTACCCCTTTAAGGGTGAACAGAGTATAGGTGGGGCGAGCTACAGCCCATTATGAAGAGTACATACAGCCTTTACTATCTAGCCATTCATCCATCGATCATTTTACTTCATGCTTCTCACTTCTGTCTTTAACAGTAAAGGATACTCTTTCACACTGCAATTAGTTTTCTTATTTTATACCCCCCCCACACGCACACACACACTTTCCTTTCTCCCGCTGGCATGGGGTCCCCCATCACTTTGGTGCCCCAAGGGGTCCACGACACATCAATGGTTGAAAACCACTGCCCTAGACCTAGTGTCTAAATAAAATCCAATTCACTTCATTATGTCAAAAATGCATTTTCACCCCCTAAAAATAAGAACAACATTAATGCAATATTTACTCTGCACAACGCAATACAGTTGAGCCCAGTTATATCACACCTGGGTATTGGAATTATTGTTTATATCGAACAGTCCAAACATCCCCTTGAAAATCATATGTAAAAGTATAGGAGCGTTGTTTTTCTGTATCAAACTCCCATGGCCTCCCATGGCCTCCCATGGCGGGGTCACTCGATATAGCGAACAAAGCAAGCACAGCCGCGCCGGCGGCAAGCACATAGCTCGCGTTACGAGGCTGGCAGACCGTCAAGCCAGCATACGCGCATAGGGATACGCAGCGAAAGGGCAGGAAAAGAAAGAAAAGGGGAGGATGGCAAAAGCAAGGGGAAGGGCAAAGAGTGCTTGAACGGTAGCGTGCGCTCTCTCCCCAAACACCGCTGTCGCTGCGCGACTCCTTAGCCCCAAAAGTAAAATAGGCAAAAAAAAGAAAAGTCTTTGTCGAGTGTGTTGACAACAACTGATGAGCAAGCGCACTTTGAATGCCTAATTTTTGTTTACCTTTTTCTTTTGCAGTTTTTGCACTGCCTTTTTTTTTGCCTTTCTTTTTTTGTGGCCTGGATGTAGTGAGGTTTCCTTTTTTCTTGCTTACTCAACTTTATTCCATGGATCAAGAGTTCTTTCTCATGCGGCTCACTTTTTTCGGTCTTTCATTTTTTTTTAAATATTTTTTGTGCTTTGTTGTCGGCGCTCGATCGCAAACACCATCGCGTAAACGCCGCAGTGTTTGTGATCTTTGCCAACTAAGCTCTACTGTATTTAGTGGCTTTCAGAGGCTCTATTTGGTAAGGTCTGGTTTGCTGCAATCTTCGGTATTAGCAGAGACGCGCGGAAATAAACATATTTTTGTGTATCAAATTATCGATATATTGAATTATTTTACGATCCCCTTTGAATTCAATATATCCGGGTTCGACTGTAATGAGTAGCGTATTATTTGAAACTATTGCCGTATTTACTCGAGTAATAGCCGCACTGTTTATGAAGAAAACCTGAGGGTTTGCTTTTCAGCGAAGCACGCAAATTGCCAATCACCACAATAGGCAGCATGATTCCAGCGGTTTACAGGACAGATAACGTCTTTGTGTGAAGATACCATCTGTGAAGATTGCATTTGTATGAAGAATCATGTTCTCGATCTAGTATTCGCTATGTAATTTATGCGCAACGCGATGATTGGCTGTATATATGTTTTGCGGGAAAGCAGACGCAAGGGCCTCGTTCATAAACAGTGCGGCTATTACTCGAGTAAATACGGCATTCAAAAATTCACACAACAAATCGCCCAATAATCAGATAAAAAATCTTCGTCGGTGCACAGCCCGAGTATGCAGCGATACACTTTTCAAGTGCACATGATCTACAAGCCAATCGTACCAAACGAAGGATGTGACCGCTCACCTGATCAGCATGAGGAGCGACCGCAGCCACGTGGTCTGCAAGATCCTTACCCGCCAACCGGAAGAGGTGCCGACTCAGCTGGTCTCCTTCAAGGGCCACTGACACAGTGACGTGCATTTGGAATACAAATCAGGTTAAGCTAGCAATCAGACAGCAGTGCTATTGATACTAGGGTGCCCACAACGCATGTCGGACTGGTGTGCTTAGCGTTTTACACTTTCCATGCACCGGAGTGCCTGCAAAAAGGCAGCAAGCAAACTATGTCACTGGGGCCTTCCAGATGTGGCTCAGCTCATCACAATCCTGGTGCAGTTGGTTGTATAAGTGCAGCAGACATATGGACATGGCCTGTGCCAACGTAACAACATCCAAACCTGTGACTGCTCAAGCTTCCGTCAGCCAGTCAAGGCCGGACACGGCTGAACAGGAGTCTGCCGTCTCCCAGTTCCATTGGCCAATGTGTTGGCAGTTGCCAGAACCAATGACAGTGTTGTGGCAAACTGATACAATGCGCAATTGTGACATCCCTAGGTAGAAAGCAAGTGGATGAGACACGGTAAGCACACCGAGTCAGAGGTGCATCCTAGACATGCTATCAATACTTCACTTTAAAAAAAAAATACTCACATTTTGCCAGCTTAATACAGAGTCCCGCAATGAATGACTTGTCGAAGTTAGAGTAGAAGTAAGGCAGAAGTGCAAACATGTCCTCCACCTGCAAGGAACAGGACTAACTTGAACATGGCAGCTTATATATGGCAGTCCAAAAATGCTTCCCTCTGTCTACACTAGCAATGAAGAACATATTGGTATACATCGTTTTAAGTCCTAGTTAAATGCTTACACTGAAGTGCTCCTTGACCAGTTCCCTGATCCTTTGAGCGCTCCACTTTGGTGGATGGAAGTCCTCGTCCTCACTGAGAACTGTTTTGATGGCACGTACGGAGATGGTGTAGCCTGGACCATGAAAACACGAGCGTGACACTTGTCAGAAGCGGCTTAGAGTGAGACTCTGCTCAGGAAGTTTGTTTTGTTGCTTGAACTTCAAATTTTATATTTTAATCATACTGCAGAAATGCACAAAACAATTTCAGTGTGAGTTTAGGAAGAAGGCACACAAAACTGCCTTTTCTGTGTTGCAATGTCTGACACGCTCCAATGACAGTGAGAGTTTCGGTACTGCGAAACGTTTAATGCCATCGTCAGACAATGGCAGTGCTTCTAGTTTGCACCACAATCTAAGGTTGCATGTAAAAAGGGCACTAACTGTTGTAAAGAAATCCAAGACTGAAACTTCTAAACATGATAGTTATGTTTGTTCTTAACCTTTCTTGGCAAAACTTTCTGGACACTGCAATGAGATGATCCAAAGGATTAACAGGGACCACTGCATGGTAAAAAAATAACTTTTAAATGCTACCTGGATAGGCCACATGTGTCGTAAGACGCACTTCCCCGAAAGAAAATATTAAAATCTATTAAAGGGCAACTCCGCTCAAGTCCGAAGATTTCGGGAAAAAAGTGATTTCGCACTAAAAAGCCCTAGTAAAAGACACTACGTCATTTGGTTCGCGAAAAATGGGATATATATTTTTAAATCTAATTTTAAACACGAGCAGGAATCGAAACTGAATCTTCGGCCCCGTCCAACAACGTTGGCCTCGGGCCACCAAGAACATGGCTATCACGTGGTTCGAGATGTCACGTGCTCCTCTACGCTAAGACGGGCTGGATTGGGGCGGGCGTGTACCAGGCGCAAGTGTCGTCTGCACCGCACTCTTCACCCTGTTTTGGTGTCTACGACATTCGACAATGTCTGAACAACTGCGGCATAAGTCTGTGCACATAGTGTCTATAGTGTAGACGAAACTACCGGAGACAATAATCGCAAACGGTGAGACAATGATGGCGGTTGTGACGTGAAAGACGGTGGTAACGGCGGGACTACGACGGGGCGGCTGAATGGCTCCCAAGAAGCATGCTGCGCAGGCGGGCCGAGAGGAAACGTTGCCGACGTCGTCTGTTACGCTTGCCCGAAGAACTAAAAACAAGCAAAAGGGGGCCATAGCCTTGACTGCGCTGTTGGTTGCGCCTCAATCTGCCCATTTGAGTCTGCCGATTTCGGCAACTTGGCGAATTGCAAACTTTGCCAGACTGTTTAAGAAACATTTAGACACAACTAAAATTTGACCTCCGGTCATCTTAGATGATACTGAAGAGGACTGCATTGTTTTTTTTCAAAAACAAGAATGAAGCGGAGTTGCCCTTTAATGCAATATTTACCCCGTGGGACGCATAGTTCAAAGAAATCTCATTCGCTCGTGCACGCTGGCTCAAAAATGGCTCCCATTTTGAGGCCAATGTCATAGTGACATCAGGATAGGAGCCACTCTCTCAGCCTCCCATTGGCGGGAAAAAGCATGAAGGAGAGGTACACCCGTTCCCTTGTATCGTCACACACTCTCCTCCGCGCGCTGCGAAGAGGCATAAGAGCAAAAGTGGAGAGGAAGTTGACATGTACGGCTCTGTCAAATTACGCTTCGTAGTATCAAAATCATGTTGCTCTTTTTCTTTTTAAAAAAGGCAATTAAAAAAAAATTATCTTAAAGCAACTTTTTAGACAAAGTTTACCTTTGGAAATCGTCAGAAAGCAGATATGGAAAGAAGCCTATGCTTGGATACCACCCAATATATACTATACCCAACCTGATCCTTCGTCGCCTAGGAGGTGACCCCAGCCACCACAACGGTGCACCGAATTGTCCGGGTTCACCAGCAGGCAGTTGGTGCCGGTTCCCGAGATCAAGACTACACCACCTGCAGGGCACCACACAGTGAAGCCGGAAGACTGAAGGTGTTCTATAGACTGACACGCTGTTTACAAACAAGCCCACACTTGCCCACACCAGGTGTGGGCACTACGCGTGCGCAGAAACCTAATTCGCGTGAAGTGAAACGTCTGCGCATGCGCAGTGCCGTCGACAGCGCCACCGCAGCTGCGTGACGTCAGGGCTGCATGTTGGTCTATAGTTTTTTAGAGCACAAACAAAACAGAGCCTTCAATTCCCAGATCTAGATCACTATACCCAAGCGAAAATTTCTAACTGGGACCAGTTGGCACCTCAACTGGTTTCAACTGGGACTAACTGGTACCAACTGGGAATGAACTGGGACCAATAGGAGTCCAACTGGGACCAGCTGAGGGGTCAACTGGTTTCAACCATTCCCAGTTGGGAGTCAACTGGTTTGAACCATTCCCAGTTGGGAGTCAACTGGTTTGACTCCCAGTTGGGAATGGAGTGAACTGGGACCAGTTAGGGAAGGAACTGGTTGGAGCGATTCCCAGTCGGACTTCAAATGCCTTTCCCGTTCCCAGTTCACACGGGGCAACAATTTTGACAAGTTGGGGGTGTACTGAACTTTGCTAATGAAGAAAACTAAAACACTTAAATTTTACATTTATACAAATAGGTAAATTTTTAATTACTGGGTACATTTATATATTTATAAAAATAATATAAACATTTTAATTACTGGGAACATTTATATATTTATAAAAATAATATAAACATTTTAATTAACTAAATAATTTTTTTTAATTGGAAAATATAATTAGTGACAAAACGTGTTCACCTAAATGAACATTTAGCGCATCATTAAAATATATTAAAACATTTATTAAAACACCTACCATATTTTTTTTTTCTTTTAATAAATAAATGTATCTTCTGGCCAATCAGAGCTAGCGGGCCGCCGTGGCACGCGGGTGCGGAATAGTGGTACGCGCTGTCGACAGATGGCGCTGCCTATGCTGACGCCGGAGTCGGACGGACACGGTAGAGAAGGGTCGCCATCGCCCAAGTTGGCGTCGTTATGAAAATGGCAAAACTACAGCTGCGCTTCTTTGGACCTAACTGTAAACACACCATGGTGGCGGCGGTGAACTTCGAGGATGGAAAGATGCAGTGCAGCGATCGGAGGGCACCCAGGAAAGACCGGACGCACATAGGCCGGACAGAAGAAAACGCCGCGGAGGGCACAATGGCGAAAATGGCGGGAGGTCTACCTCGAAAATGTTCGACTGTTGTGACAGAGATTGCAAGGTGGGAGCGCTACCGCATCCTATCGGGACTTCACCTGCGCAACGCGGGATCACGGGTAAGCACCTTTCTTCACGCGATGGGGAGAGAAGCTGAGGACGTCTCGACTAACACGCCAGCGGCCGATCTTTCTTCATCTCACGAATACTACCTCTGAAAAAGCGCTTCAATCGTCGCAAGCAAGTGGCTAAACCCGGAGCGTGTACGTCACCGAACCTATTACAGTTGAACCTCGATGTAACGAAGTCGGTAAAATTCGCAATTTACTTCGTTACATTGAAATTTCGCTAAATCGAAATTTGGCTTTAGCATGCGAAAAAAAATTCCGAAACATTTTACGGGTATGAAAACTCACCGAAAATGACATTTATTTAGGGGCGAAGTAGTCCGCGAGTTTTGCTTGCGCCTTGTCCGACAGTAGCAGCGGCGTCATACGGCGTTCGAGCGCCCAGAGCGCTTGCACGGCATCCTGCTGCCCATCCCTTAGCGAAAACTAATACGTTTGAAATATACCACATTCTAATATGAGTGTATTTGAAATACAATTCATAATTGTAAGTAGACGAAAAATATACCGAAAATATAAACTTCTTTTTTTGTTACTTAGTACTGAAATATACTTCTAAAAATCATTTTAAAATACCTTTACTTAAACTACATTTGAAGTTCCTTTCATGCGTTTTGAAATATGTAAATACCAAATTAATAGGCACAAAATACCTTTCACATATATTTCTTGAAATATTTATTTAATTCATGCAAAATATACTCCAACCCTAAAAAAATGGAGCAATCAAGAATACGTGCAGAATACTCTTAAAATACCTGAAAATCGTAAATACTGTTGTGTTATACTCTAAGTACCTTTTTACTGCAATACTTTGGTAGTTTGACTTAAACTACCAAAATATTTAAAAGCTCCCCTTCTGAAGTTCACTTCAAGCAGATATGGAGTACACTGAAGCGCCTAAATACATTTGATTAGTTTGGCAATTGTATTGCGCAGCATCGCACTGATAAATCAGCCCAGTTTATGTTATTGTTTCCTTTTTTCTATCAAGAACACACCTGATCAGTTAATTGCACACCAATCACAAACGGGGTTCGGGAACTACAACCACAACATTTGGTGATGCTGGAAAGCTTCAGCAGGTGCTGTGAACAGATACGTTTGGCGTGGTTTTGTTAGCACAATGTTAGTTCACTGAACGTGTATACTCACCATTGTACGTGATGTGAATAGTGACTTTAATACAGTGACATTAACTACCATATTAAATAGTCAACTACTAAAAAGGAAAGGCAAAACAACTACTGTAAAATATTTATTTTTCGCGGGCTCAATATTTCGCGATTTAGGTCAAAGTTGGAGTTTTGGAATAATTCGCAAATTCTAATTTTCGCGACGCGCTGGGATCGCAATATAGATTTTAATGTTTTTACATTTTGCCGAAATTGTTCACAGGACCTATTTTTCGGAATTGTAGGCGATTCGCCAACTTTGCGAGAATTAGGTCCTCACGAAAATAAAGTCGTTTACAGTATTTTAAAGTGAAGAAACTGCCTTGATTCGCTTCGCCCTGAGTGGTGCTACGCAGAGAAGCAATAACATGTATTTTATGAGCCGTTTGTGTGGATATTGTTTTAGGGCTGTGCCGAATTGTTATTAGTTGTACCAATGCCTTTTAGTAAGAGATATCGTCCACGAACTTCAAAACACTGTTTCCCCCTTGACAGACTCCCGAGGAGAAGATCGAATACATGTAACCTTAATAAGCGCAGAGGTGGTCACCGAAAAAATTATTACCTTCAATATGTAGGCTATATAAGGCTCTAGAGCAGTCGACGGGAGTGTGAATGAGCTCTTCAGTGCGTCATGGTGTTTGTGTTTGTGTTCGTTTCTAATGTGGCTTTGTGAGATGTATTTAGTAGTGCCTTCAAATACCACAGGGACACCATTTTTTGACAAAATCGAAAATAAAAAAAAATTGTGTAACCGGTTTTTAATTCACAAATGGCATCTTGAGTGTGAAGGAATAATATTTTTGGTATATCTAAAATATTTTTTGATTCATATTTATAATGTATTTTGAATACATTACGCGCGTATTTCGAATGCGGCCAAAATAATACAGAATAAATACAAAATGAATATTCGTACTAAATATATTTCAACTTCGTTTGAAGTACGGCCTCTTTTTGCTAAGGGATGCGACGCCGTGTACCTCCTCAGTACGTCCATTGCGTCGAGCACTTCCCGAGTGCTCGTGATCTCGGCAGTTTCTTCAGGATGGCGTCCAAAACGTTTGCTTTCTCATCCAAAGAAAGAACTTTACGTTTCCTTATGGCAGCAAGCACGTAAGTGAACCGCCCGGTTAAAAAATAAAGCTGTTTAGTTTAGGCAGTTTAGGCGGTGCCAATGTTTCCAACCTACACAGCACTCTTCACCGCACAGTTTACTTGCCCCCTTGCCACCCTTGCGCCCACAGTGATGCTTGCGCCGCTTGCGCCCACGCTCGCAAGACGATAATCGGTCTTTTCGGTCTTCTCCTAGATGGCACTGCCCGTGCGGTCGCGCCATCACGTCGCTCCCCCGCTGAAGTTGGCTCCCGCGCTACCCGCGGTGCAGTGGAGTGGACTATGGTTATCAGTGAATGTCAGTGGTGATGCTGGTATGCCGTGTTAACTTTTTGCTCGGCATTTTCTGGCCAACCTCGCGGAATCCGCTTTGCCGCATGCCTCGCCGGTGCTACCGGCGCCGCATCCTCGGGCAGCCTGGGAACGTTGGAAGGCCTGTCCCCGTTAAGTAACCTATCAAGCGCTCGCGTTTGCGCATAATTTTTTTTTTAACCACAATTTTTTTGCGAAGTTGTTTTTTAGAGTTGATTTATTTATTGCCTTCTATGGCAATGGCACTTCGATATAGACTTAGACTTCGTTATATAGAGACTAAAAATACATGGGGTCTATGGGCAAGAAATTATGAAAAATAAAATACTTCGTTAAATCGAAGATTTCGTTACATTGAAGTTCGTTATATCGAGGTTCGACTGTATTTAGTTTCATTCTCCAAGTTTTTGACAATAAAGTCTTGTCAACCTTCCATTTTGTGTCGTGCTTCATTGTTGCTGGAGTTGGTACGCAGCGGTAACTGGGACCAACTCCAACTGGGACCAGTTGTAACTGGGACCAATTCCAGCTGGGACCAACTCCAACTGGGACCAGTTGCAACTGGGAATTGTTCCATAAACCAGTTGCAACTGGGACCAGTTGAAAATTTTCGCCTGGGTAGTTGTTTATTAGACGTTCCAAGAAACAGTGATTCCTACGTCTATAGTGTTTACGAGCTGTGCACTTGGGAGTATAATTACCGTAAAGTTCCGAAAGAATGCCCACTCAAAATGAAGAGATAAATGGTAAAAAACATGGAGTGGGCTATCTTTGGGAATGCCACACCAAAACTTTATCAAAAATTAATGATAAACACTGGGGTACCCACTACAAACCACGTGACACGGGACCTGATACTCTAGATCGCGGACACCGCAAATTCTAGTTTCACGATGCGATAAACACACGAGAATTCGCTACAAACTCCCGTGTCACGGAAAAAGATACCGCGAGTTCCAGACGCAGCAGATTCGCGCCTTACCATGCGAAGGACCCGCCGAGAGCTTGTATCTAAAGGGAACGAATACTGTGAATCGCCGATGCAGCACATTCAAGTTTTATGGTGCAATGAACACGCGGGAACTCGCTACAAACTTGCTTGTCACGGGAACCAATATTGCGCGGGCAGATCGCGGACAAAAACGCGGGAGTCCGCTACAAACTCGTGTCTGGGGAACACACACCGCAGATCGCGGACGCAGCAGATTAGCATTTCACGACGCAATATACACGCGAAAACAACTCGCGTGTTATGGGAGGCGATATCGTGCTCGCAGATCGCAAACAAAAACGCAGGAACCCGCCATGAACTCCCTTATCAGACTTCCCGGTATCAGGTGCGATTCCCGTCGGACATTGCGTGACGTCCGACGGGAATCGGGGGGGTGGGCGATGTTTCGGAATTTTTATGTTGCAGAAAAACGGGATGGGCGATCTCTCGGGGGCGGGCATTCTTTCGGAACTTTACGTAATAACATTTTATGTTTTTTTTGTTGTTGTTTTTTTCGCATAAATTATGTATTTACATTTAGAGAGGTTTTTAGTTGCTTTTCTTTTTTCTACTTTTGAGCGTTATCAAAAGCATATACTACATACATTTCCAACTATGATAATGCCAATGTTCAGATGCAAACGCTATAGGAAAAGGAATGAAAAAAAAAATGCTTAAAGGATTTTTGTTTCCAATTACCGTGGCAGACTTGTTTGCTTGACGCTCACTCACCATTTGGGGCGACGGTCTTTAATGCACCGATAACGTCACTTTGCACCACAACTGTCTTGGCAATGTCGGGATGTTCTTCCATAAATGCTTTTTCCAAAGCTCGGTTGCTCGTTTCCTGCTCGCAGCCACTCATGCAGAGACTCTGTGGGGTAGAAACAAGCATAACTGTATGCAGGTGCCTGGAAAATAAGATATATTTTCTTCTCAAAAGAACAGTCTGGCCGTAGAAAGAAAGGTTGCCTTCGTTTTGAGTGAAAGCCGCAGGCTCAGACACTCGGCAGGAGCTCTCACAGCAAACTAAAACGAACACTTCAGTCTTGAAAAGTAGGGAGAGAAGGGGCAACAAATTTGGAAATTGATATCCCCACACCGCCCCCCTCTGCAAGATAAAAGTGTTCATGTCAATGCAGCTTGCCTGCACCCATCCTTAAAGGGATACTGAACTCCCCAAAAACATTGTTTAAGTGCCTAAATGGGACACATATATGTCACAAAATAAGCTTCCCAGAAAAAAAAACAAAAAAAGGGACATTTTAGTGCAATACATTTACCTATGTCGAGAGACTCATCTTGAGTTAGAACAAAATCCGAAACACGCTCCTATTTCGGAGTCAGCATCTCAGACTCCAGATAGTGATGGTAGCAAAAACAAATTTGAAGAGGGTGCAGGAAATTGGTGCTCTTCAGAGTTCCTTGCACTCTTGGGAACCCATTGGATCCGCACCACCGCTCATCATTCCTCAGTCAATGGCCTGGTGGAGCAAATGCACCAACACCTGAAGGCCGTCATCACCGCATATGGTGAGGGCTCACGCCGGACCAAAGTATACTGCCACTAATGATGCAAAACTATCGAAAAATTTACTATCAATAGTATTGATAGTCTTTCCAAAACTATTGATAGAGTCAAAAACTACCAATATATGGACTATCAATACTATCGAAAGTCAGCTTTCAGAAAACTATCTAGCGTTGCAAAATTGAAGCACTACCCGAAAAAGAAATGATGATCAATATGTACGGGCAGAAAAACATGTGGTTGTAGGAAAAACAGAAATTGAAAGGAAACAAAACATATGCCTGAAACCGAAAGCGGGCAAAAATGGGACCCGCTTTTCCCATTGAAATTTTCGGAAAATCACCAAAAAAACTTTGAATAAAATATAGGTTCATGATGAAACCACGCATATTTTATTTTAGCGGTGAAAAAAGCCCTGTAAAGATTTTTTCGAAACACCCTGTATTAAGTGTTTTTATTGCTCTTACAATCATCTTTTATTTTCAGGTACCAAAAATAAGAAATCGCGTTAATTATTTTGGACACGAGTAAAAAAAAAAAAAAGAATCTAGATTAACATACAACATGTCATGCTTATGCGACTCATCATCCATTTATTTACCTCAATCACATGTATTTTATCTGAATCGAAAGGTTGTCACGAAGTAAGGTAGGTTGCCTAAAGTACCCGTGATTGGTAGAACTTTGCGTGGCAGTATTAAACGTTGAATCGTACTGGTGCTCTCGAATTAAAGAATTAATAACAGTGCATAAAATCGTGGGATGGCACCTGATCATCATATTCATCATGAAATATAGTTTAGGAAAGACATTTCACAATACAGTCAAACCCGTTAATAACAAACAGCAGGAAACGCTACGATCAGTTCGATATAGCAAGTAATTCAATATAGCAAAAACCATTTACAACGAACTTCCACGATGCGTTCATTGTAAGCAGAGTTTGTTCTTTTAGCTTATCTCCCCTTCCAAATCGCTTCTCCTCGTGGGCAACCATTTTGGGATGAAAAGTTTTTTTTTTTTTTCTGTGCGTGCACGCAGAGTGTATTTTTTTAGCGTTCTGCCATCTGAATTGCTTCTCTTCGCTCTATTTTGTTCGCAACTTGAGCTTTTGGAATTTTCTGTCTTTCTTCTTTCCTACTTTTTTTTTTTTTTTTGGGGGGGGGGAAACAGGTTAGAAGACGATTGTTTGCACGTTTTTGGAAGCCTTCCCGGGGGGAAAAGTTTGATATAGCCAATATGTTGTTCGTTATAAAAAATACTTTTTACATGCATTTTTATTTGCATAGTTTGTGAGTTCAATATCGACAATAATTCGCGTTACGTGGGTTCGTTCTAAACGGGTTTCCCTGTATATATGTAGGGTTGTTCGTTTTGGGGTAAAACTCTATTTTACCCGATTTTTACACCCCGAACATGTTTCAGGAGAATCGGGTTAAACCCGATTTCTCCCCGAATTCGAAAACCACATAACCAACCCATTTATTTTTACGCCGCACAAAGTTTGCGGTGCTCACATGCTATCTACCCTACCTTGGGACAACAGTGGCTCATAGTTCATTTCACAAGCTGTGTGCAGCACTGTTCTCAAACAACCGCCCAACGAGCGCGCCTAATTCATTGTGACATTCTACAGAGGCCGGCTGAAGAAAAGTGACAACAGGCGTTCGGGCCTCGGAGGGACATTTCCGTCTTTCCGCTGTGCAGGTGGAACCGCCTCGGCACGGCATGTAGCTTTGGCCCTGCTGCACGGAGCTTGTGAAGTGCACTACCAATTCCCCTTTCACCGCTGTTAGGTGTCGACGCACAGCAGGGTCTCTCGGGTAGCATGGCCATCTCGCTGGCGGTTTACCTTTCTCACGAACAATGTCCGAGCCAGTCAGTCGCGTAAACAGATCGGGACAACTTAACAGGTTTATTTCATAGCAAAATATCTGATCAAAGACGACCGTCCCTCAAACGGTCAGGGTTATGTTGACACCTGAGGGAGAGGAGGATTCCGTGGGAGATGCCTCCATTGAAACGACCGATGGCAATCGGAGCTGGAAAACCCTGATGTCCCCCTGATTACCAGCTTGAAACAGATCCCTAATTTTAACACGTTAGCATTGAAAAGCTCGTAATACCCTGCGAAAAAAAAAGAATGTATTACAGAGTACATTTGTAAATTTAACCCGAAAAAACCCAAATTTCAGAATGTTTCCACAAAAAACCCGATTTTTACCCCCCGAATTTAAAAAAAATATAAAAACCCGAAAACGAACAACCCTATATATATGATGACCACGCCGCAACTGAGCTAAAAGCAATAACACTTTCAAAATGTCACAAAGGTGTTAGGACAAGCCCTTTCAGTCTACCTCTTATACCTTATATTCCTGATGGACTCCCCCCTCCGTCTGGGGTTGTCGATTCAATAATTATATTTGCGCCACTTGTTAACACTGATTCACCAAAAAACGGTGAAGTATAAACAAAAGGCGGAGGTGGTCGAAGCTTTGGGAATAACTCGAGAATGATACTCCTGTGAGACTTAGAGTGGCTGCCAACGTTCGGCTGTCCCTTTCTTTCTTTTCTTTTTAGGTGACCCTCCCATGCACACTTCTAGTTATGTATCGTCGGATTAATAGGTCACATTTAGGCCTTTCAATGCTTCTATTGTCGGGGACAACTTTCTAAGCCAATTTAGCAACAACGAAAATATGTTTCGGTGCCTCAACGTAAGATGGGTTGTGCAACAATTTTCATACATTCAGTAAAAGCCGCTACGAACTAATCCCCGACGTTGATAACTTGCAAAAACTCCCATTAGTTTTCCTCTCCTCTCAATGGCAGACGCATAAAAAATAAAGGAAAGAAATAACTTTGCCCCCTCAAATTGCAATTAGAACAAGTGACCATGTGATCCGACGCTAATTATATACCGTCAGTATGTGGCAAAGCATAGAGCATGGGCTGAGCTTCAGACATTGTTAGAATTAGGCTAGTCTCGTCTTTGACTGAACACAAGCCATTACCCCAATGTTTGGCGCTGCTCATTGTCATGAACCCGAGCACCCGACTCGGGCTCATGACAATCGAGTATGTCGCGGTGCAAAGTCCTGATGTCATCTGACATCAGGGTGTCAACAATGCTAATATCTAGTTAAGTTCTAAATTTAAATCGATTTGACGCAGTGATCGACTTACGCGACTATGCCACGAGGCCAAGCAACATGACATTACTTGAGAGCATGTCTTGACACTACTACAGTATGTCACGTAAATATGTGACACATGATTAATCATAGTGCCAATACAAAAGCACAACGAAAACCCACAATTTCTCATACATTGCAATTCTGCATATGACATTTGATCAATACATATATAAGTATACAGCTGCCAATTTTTTTTTATTCTCAAATAATCACTTTGTGATAGTACTAACAAAAAAATAAAAGATATTGCAGTGAACCGTTTTTGAACTGGTTACCATTGTATTTTTTTACGGTTCAGTTCGGGTTTAGTTCCAAAATGGTGTCGAAGCTTTCGGTTCGGTTCAGTTCTGATTCGGCTCCAGTTCTCGGTTCGGTTCCGGTTCGACACTCTGCTTGCAGCACTCTCAGACATGTTCTGAAGGAACGAAGTGCATCTTATCCATGGCCTCAGAGATCCCGAAGTGCGCATGTCGGGATCTCAGAGGCCATGTCTTATCACTGGCGAGCTGTCCCAGAAATGACTTTGCGGCAGCACGTGCTTGAATTAATCTTCGGGGACTACTCCAACGTGAAGCCTTGTCTCGGACAGCACGCCAGTGATAAGGTGGACTTTGCTCCATCAGTGCACGTCTGAGAGCGCTGGAAGCGCGACGCGCAGGCGCGTTGTCACGTGGTCTTTTTTTATATTTTGTAGCCTTTCTTTTTAGTTTAATAAAAAGAAGCGCACAAAGTGTATCATGTAGGAAACACCTTAATTGAGACTTTCTCAATCCGCTCTACAACTTTTCAGTTCACATCTCGGCTCTTAAAGAGACACTGACACCCCCCAATTTTTTATTTTTTTTTTCATGTTTTGCCAGGCGCTTTATTATGGTGTCGGAGGACTACCCAATTAATATTTTGCAACTGAGTATCGTATATTTTTAATAAAGCCAAAAGATGCAACTGCTCGAAACCGAAACTGAAACCCGCGCACGGAGGTCGGAGAAGTGGAGAGGAGAGAGTGGAGTGGCGGAAGTCACGTGGCTACACCCAACCGCGCGCTTTTTTTTTTTGTAGCGTGAGCTACACTGGCCGAGGTTGAGCAGTTTCACGTGGCTCGCATAATGAGCCGTGCTCCATGCTGCGCATGAGCAAGGAGCAGTGACGTCACACGGCGCACAGATGGCGCGCCGGAGCCGTGCCCGCTTCGCCGATCTGCGCATTCCAGAGGAGTGACGTCATAGCCGCGGCAAACGCACTGGCGCCGTCGCGTGCCCAGCTGTGCGCCTCCGCTGCGCAGTAGCCAAGTCTGACGCTGCACCGGAGCCGCTTGATAGCGCCTCTCATTTTGTGCGCATAAGCTCACGCTACGTATATCCTGGCATAGCCGAGCTAAGCCACCGCAATTATTTTTTTTCCCTCTCTGCGTAGCAGACGACATGCGTGGCGGCGTAGCGGAACTGTTTGTCGTGCAATTCTTTTGCAGTTATGTTTGTTCCACTCGCTGTTCTGTGCTTCAAGAAGAGTTGTTTTGTACATTGAGGAGTTGGAGATGAGTAGTGAGTGCCCGTGGTGAATTTCAGTGTTCGGCTCCGAAAAGAATATACCCAAGATGTTGCGTGAAGAGCTGGCTCACATGTCCTGCGTCCGAAAAAAAGTGGCATTGTGCAACAGAGTTTCCGAAAGATCAACGGGATTGGGACCAAAGGCTGGCTGCGATTCCTGTAGAACATTTACGGGCACCTCGGAAAGCGGACGCTACCCAATTTATGTGCTCCTTGTATTTTGTGGAAAGTGATTATATTGACTTTGCAGGTGTCAAAAAGGAAATCCCATTCCATTTAGTTCAGCAACGTTTCGTCCACAACATTTGTTTGTTATTTTTCTTGTTTGTTTCTTCAGTGACAATTGTAAAAAAAAAGAAATGTAAATATCGCAAAATGTTTGAAAAAAAAAAAGGTACGCTTTCACTGGGGATTGAACCCGGTCCTGCCGCGTGTGAAGCGGACGTCTTTCGTCTGAGCTACTAGGGGAACTCTTGCCTCAGTAATAATGCAGCCGGTAAACTGTAAGTTGGAAAGTTTGCTGCCGATTTTCCTCCAACAAAAGCACTCTCGGGTCGAAGTTGGGAAGCACCACGCATTGGCATCATTCGCACCTAGTAAAGAAATCGTACGAGTGCATATTCAACTCGAAGTACACACTTCGTGCTTGACGTTTGCGCGAGCGATGTCTTCTAGCCACGAGAAGGGAGCGACGGCTCGGCGACATTTTCGTGCAGGTAGAGCGTTCAGTGCGCGCTCCATTCATAAAATGTTCCGAGCACAGTCTAGAGGATGACGTTGGGGAAAAGTTTTTTCGGTTTATGGACGCAACCCACTGCAGCCGGAGATTGGGGTCATGGGGAAAACGATGCAGCTTAAAGACATTGCAGCCACACTTGCGGAATTCCGTGCAAGCTACATAGGTCCTCGGACAGTATTAAACGCTTTCTGTTGTTATTCATGCACCCTATAACCCAGCAATGGTGTCCCGATGACCGGGGGGCTGTCGCCATCAAGGCCCGTGGCTCAAATTAAGTTTGGGAGTTTAAAACGGAGAAGAAAGCGCGAATGAAGTTCGGGCAATGTATACACCCAACACCGGCGAAGCCTCTCAACCGGGACTTTCTCTCTTTCTTTTGCACAAGCAAAGGGGGAAAGCGCCGGTGGCCCTTTCCCCTTTTCTCTCTCACCCTTTTTTAATAAAACGATCTATATATAATTATACCCCCTCCCCTAATTACAAATGCTTCAAAACCTAAAACTTTGGATGTTTTCTGTGCCCATTACTTCATACATAGTCATTAATTTGCATGGTGTTTGTTGTCCCACTTCTTTCATGACAAATAAATAAACAAATGGCATCTCCACCAGGATTGGATTAACAAATCAGAGAGGTGCAAGAAGGAACACCTTACCAGGCATTCAAGCTGACTGCTGGGATCCAATCCTGCATTCTTCTTGGCATCCACGACAAGTTTGTGAACCCGTTTTCGACACTCCTCCATTCCAACCAACTGAAACGAGTGTTGGGGTAATTGGCTGCTTTTAGGTAACTTTCAGAGCTCACCCAGTGGTTCATGGCCTTGCCATCCGCCCAGGCTAAGACACTGCCACCCTCATCCAGCAACACCACCTTAGAGAAGGATGCACCGCTGCAACAAGAAAAGAACAAACTTGCATAAAAGCACATCTTCCCAAGTTGGAACAATTCAAGACAGGAATTATAACACTAATATTTTTCGCTTAAAAATAGGAAGGACTGCTGCAAATCAAAGCATCCATTATTGGATCTGACAATAGGTTTACCAAGATAGGATAAAACCCAATTTTTCTTTCGACACATGGACAGAAAAAGATTTTCTTTTCTAACCTAATCAAGTCTCAGGTTTTCATTGTGTGTAATATATTTTATAGTTTTTTTTGTTTTTGTTTTTTTGTGATGTGCTATTTATTCGCTTTTTGAATTTGGCACTTCTCACCCTTGACCTTGCAGGGCACTGCAGTTGCAATTTAACACACAAATAGCGCAACGAATGAAGATGAGCAGGAGCACATGTCCTGTCTTCCCTTCTGCTGTGATTGTGTTTCGTAACGATCAACCAACTCGCCCACCAGATTATTTTGCCACTACAGTTACATTATCTGTTGCTTTTTGTTTTTTTATTTGCTTTTCTGACAGATTAAGGTCACTCTGCAAGAGGAATATGAGGAAGACGTTCTACTTGATTCATGACTCAAAGCAACGAGTTTGCTGAAGACTGGAAAAGAAAAGGCACATCTTTTGAGATTCACACTGAGTTTGATTGCTGTCACTGTTGTACACAATACAAACATCTATTAGGAAGACTTGGAGGGTGAGTGACCACTTTTATGCAAAGCACTTTTCAAATTTGTGAACCGGTATCATCAGCAGGTAAGCCCTCAAAATTTCTGAACACAAAAAGGTACCGGGCTCCTTTTGTAAAAGAGAGATAGCCCACCTAACATACCAAGAGCATATTGGCTGAAAATATGAAGCGGGCTCCCTTTCGTTGTATAATCAAGAAAAGTTGTAAAGTGCTATTTTTAGATTGTGTCCCTTCCAAGCTTGTTATAATGGCGAGGGGCAATGAAGCAAAGATGATTGTACTTCCCAGTCAGCAACGCTCGCTTATATCCCGCCATAGCGAACCAGCCGCATTTACGCCGAGGCCCATCATTGATCCCAACACTATCTATTACTATGAGTGGGCTATCTTTCGGTGTTTAAAAATATATAGCAAATCAAACCAAAACTAGAGGTGGGCTGTTATTCGGGGGTGGGGCATCTTTCGGGATTTTACGGTAGGTCTCATAAAATGCACATAATGCACCTCCTTTAGCAATGCCTGACGAGGGCCGATTTCCACTTTTATGTACCGGGTGTCCCAAATAGCGGCCAGGTTCTTTAAATCAACCAAAAAATTTAATTTCTTAACCTATCGCGCTACGATTTTGGGCAGCGCTGCTCACAGGTGGTGCATTTTTTCTATAAAATTTGTGAAGAGCAAAATTACCCGAGGAAAAAGAAAAAAAAGAAAAAGGCTTAGCTCCTATGGAAATGCAGCGAAGTCACCGGTTTTCAAACAATAGGGCGCCCTTTTGATTGAAGATCGGTGGCCTCACTGGGTTTCTATAGGAGTTAAGCCTTTTTCTTTCTTTACTTTTTCCTCGGGTTAAATTCGCTCCTTGCAAATTTTACAAAAAAAAAAAAAAAAAGCACCATCTGTGGACAACGCTGCACAAAATTGTAGCGCGATAGGTTAAGAAACCGAATTTTGCGGTCGATTTAAAGCGCCTGGCCGCTATTTGGGACACCTGGTATTTTTTCAGCGATCCCGAACTTCGCTGTAACCTAATGCAGCACGTGGTGGATGCCGCAATTGTGAATTAAAAAGTCTGCTCATTTTGTGTCACAGATTAGAAATTGAACTGATAAGGGTAATTCCAGTGTCAGCCAGCCCATATTTTTTGGAGGCTAATGGCCAGCATTAACACTGCTTTATAAGGTGACATCCTGCGTATAATAACACATCCATTTCTATTTCTTTTTAATATTTCATACATTAGTGAGGAAATGGTAAATTTCAGTAATGCATTTTTGTGAGACATTTCAGCTGGCTATACTCCTAATCGCCTTTCTATGTGGTCCGTTTGATATTGATTTTATTTTCAGGCATGTGTTGGAAACAAATACCTGATCGCAAGATAACACAAAATGGACACGGAACATGAACAGCGAACGGTTAGATATGAAATGCACATAATGCCCATACAAAACAATCGTTAAGATTTTGTGTTTCCGGATAAATAAACAAAACGAAAAACAGAAAAACACTTGGCCGTAAAGTATTTTTCAATTCAGATTTATATGAAAATCTCAAAATTTTAAGGTCACAATGAAACAAAGGAATAAAAAAAATATAGAGCACAGGGTCAATGGTCCTGAGGAGAGGCCACTCCAGTTTCCTTTAAAATCTCGGACTATGGGGGTATTTAGTGGACATCATATTCGAGGGTGCTGTTTAAAGCGCATACTCATAACGAGCTCATGTTACTAGGCTGCTAAGGCTGGCAATCTTGATGGTGTGGACAGCACGTTGCAAAAGACCTGTGGAAGCTTGCCCGCAGCATACACTCAGCAGTCACGCACACAACTATGGCCGCCAGTTAATAGGGCATTCACTGTTTACCTCGCCAAGGTTTGCTCAGGATAACGGATCATCGTACCTCCGGATCACATCAAAACCACTGTTCTGGTTTCCAGTTTCAACCATATACTGTAAACGACTACATTTAAAGGCTCAATATTTTGCAAACATTACGAGGTCCGCATTTCGGGAATATTTTGTGGACACAAAGTTTTGCAATTTGGAGTCATATAGGCTGTGTATGTTTGGTACCATGAGGCGGTATATTCGCATGATAAATTTTTCAAAGTATTTTTCAAGTCACAACATTAAAAAAAAATAAAAAATTAGGCTTTCACAAAGATTGAGTCCTTTACAGTAGTACTATTTCTGCTTTTTTGAGGAACCAAGAAAGGAGGGGAGGTGGTTTTCTAAGAGTGGCTATGAACCCATAAATTTCATAGTGGGGAGTGGGGAGAGCAGCTGAAGATTTCTATACATTACTTCCTTCAGCACTCCACCCTAGTTATGCAGCCACAAAGTGAAGTGGTGGAGTGGGATGGAAATATACGAGCTTCCCAAGGACTATGTTCAGGGGTTGAGATTTTTAAGTATCATTTGTTGATGCACTGTCAGTGCAGGGGCACCAATGCCAAAGAGATATCCGATACGGGCGAGTTCTTACGAATTTAAGGTATACATTTGTGTCCAGATACTACTTTGGATTTTAAATTTTAGAAACTTGAGAATCAGAATTTAAATTTTAATTTCGGAGAATCGGGAATTCAACAAAAATGAACTCCGATAAACCCTGAATTTTCGGCAAAAAAAACAAAAAAACTAACAAAACACACTTGAAAAAAAGGAAACAATTAACCAGCGAATCAGTGGGGCAAAATACGAAAGACCTGTGTGGTCTTGTCTACTTTTTCTATGTTTATTTACGTACTTTTCGAGAAAATGAAGTTACAAGGAGCAGACGACAAGACTGCGCGTCAGCAGAAGCTCCGAAAAAGTTTCAAAGGGTGGACAATCGCGCGCCGCGTCAGCGAAAACGTGCGATGGAACGTGCCAGTATGCAAAATGCGGCGCAGATCACTAGCAATAATTAATCGAACGTATTTAAAGCGTCCGAGACGGATAAACCCGGTCCACAAAAAAAGTTTCACGGGTATGGTCGAAGGGGTGGTAGTCCGCTCGGAATTTATTTAGAGCGACTGGCATACGTCCGCGAAGGCGCCCCGCTGATGGACGCCGCTACATAGAAGCAGGACCGTGCACCCGTTACGATAGAAAATAAACAACGTACCCTTCCACGCCGCCGAAGACTTTCATCGCGCCACCTGAACCTCGACACGCCGAAACGTACTATCTGGAACGTCTGAACTCTTTTTAGCACAGCGGTATCGAGCTCAAACCAGATTGCCACGCAACAACTCTACGCCCACAATACGGTGTGGTAAATAAAAAAAAGAAAAAAAAAAGAAGTCGATACAAAATTTTAGGGAAGGAAAAAAGAAAACGAAACGACACGAAAGAGATAGCCTCGAACACGATGATCCCCCTTTTTTTTTATCCAGCCTCCCGCGCCTGCCGTCTGACTTTACCTCCTGCTCACGAACGTATCGCGAGCAGCTGGCGGTGCATTATCAGGTACTGTATTGCCAGCAATGCGACGGACAGGTAGAGGCAACGGCTACCCCTTTCGAAAGGCATTACCGCGGAACCTCCTCATCCAATACTCGTTTCGTTAAATTACTCCTCTTCGGTTCGAAGTAAACGGGGTATGCCGCTGGCAGAAGTACGAGAGCACAGGCGACGCATTGGATAACAGTGGTACGATTAACAAACAGCCTATCCGACCCACTGTGATCCGGCCTATCCTTGATTAACAGCATATTAACAAAGACCACAAACACCGAACCATAGAGTTATTATAACTGTTATAACTCTGATTGGTACAGACAGATGGATAGAAGGATAGATATTGGCTGTTCTCTTTATACCGGGCGGTAGCTTGCGCCACCTAGCCTTAAATTAATTCAAAAATGTGTTTTCTTTTTTTTTTTTTTATTAACATGCCTAGATCTTTGCCTTTACGTTCGCCTCCCCTCCGGTTCTATCCCATCCAGGAGTAGCCTGGTATGTACGGTGGTTCCTCCCCATCTCTAAGGTGCGTTTTGTGAAATTTTCAGTCTCTAATTGTTCACCAATCTCCCCCCACTTTATTTTGTTTCAGCCTCCCTGCATGTTTATGCACCCTATATTGAGTTCATTCTTTCTCTTCTTTGCGGGGCCTCCCTCCTGCTCCTGCGGTACTCACACCCAGAAGCTTCTCCAGACTCTGGTACCGGTGCATATGGCACTGGTACTACACGCACCGGCTCAACAGGTTTTCCCAATATGTTGCCATCAACGTTACTAGAACCGCTCAGTTGGGAAACTGCCATAGAGACTGCTCGGAAAAAGTGGCCCAAGTGGCCCCAATCTCTCCACCAGAACCGAGCTAATGGCGAACACAACGCCGCCATTTCTCCCGTAGCGGCCACTCGAGGAGCTGCACTTTACTTCTATTTTGGCTTTAATCGGCCCTTTTGGCGCCGAAACAGATACAGCGGAAGAGGTTACAGGGGTGCCACCCCCGTCTCCCCAGCGGACGCGCCGAAATGCACCTAGGTCGGGACGCGCTACCTGAAAGGACCGCTGAGGCATGGTTGTATAAAAACGATAGGATTATAAAAACATCACGCGCCCTTTATTTTGTACTAAACTCCAAAATATTTCATACAAAAAGAGTCGTTTCCGTTTGTTTTTACGCAAAAACATGCTTTCTAAAAGCTCAAGGTGACCACAGTACAGACAAATGATAAAGAGTGGCGCTGTTGTCGTATTTAGCTCGGTCTCGGTGGACGCCAACGGCCCAGGTTTCGACGGCGAGTTTCCCAACTGAGTGTTCTAGTAACGTTGGTTGCCATGGAGCCTAAGGTGCTCTGCACACTTATTAAACTTATTAATGCGAAAGCATTAACTGTCCCATGGAGCGAGCTGACGTCATCAGTTTGAAGCGCGAAAACGGCACCTAGTTTCCGCGATCCCAATAGGACCGAAGTAAAGCTGGTGGATTTCCCCTTTGGTTCCAATTAATGGCTGGCGCGCGTCGACGGGGCTCCCATTGGCCGCTGCGCTCGTTAGTTCCACGACCGCTCACGCCATGGCGCTTCGTGTCCATGAGCGCGCGTTTAACGCGTACCCAGGGGAGCACGCGCGCTGACCGGCGACGAAAAGTACGCAGCAGACGAAAAAAAAGAGCGGACGAACGGCTTGCATGCTTTCGCATTCCCAACTCATGAGACATGCTTAGGTATACCTCGAGCTTTTCCCTCCCAATCGGTCGATTTTTGCACTAAGGCTCCGATTCCACCACCTCTTCTTTGTCCCTTTGTTCTATTGCACCCTCCCACACGTAGGGTTAATGGATGGCTGCTCTGCATCTCCAAGATGTGTTTCTACAGATCCGGGCACACTGATTTTTTTCTGATCTAGTTGTTCAAATTCCGCCCATTTTATCCCATTTCTGCTGCCCTGCCTGTTTATATAGTTTATACTTCCTTGTCCTTTGGATTTTTGTGTTCTAGCTCTACGTTTTTTGTTTCATCCCCCTCCCAGCCCCGGCCTCTAGGCTTTGCCTTTAGGGTCCTGTGTGTATTAAAAAAAAAAAAAAAAATACATCGCTCTACATCTAATCCGTCGACCCATACTTCCAGTGTGCTCACAGTAGTGAATACCGTCTGCACCAAATGGAACGGCAGATGCTGGGTGGTACACCTCTCCGTTTATATCCATTCCCGTACCCCAGCTCCCGCCCCAGCTCCCCATATGACCGCATTTGCCAGGACCACCTTCCTCTCCGTTTTTACACTCTGCCCCGTAATTATGCACATGACGATTTGAACCCATTCAGACGCGTCGCCCTCAGTTTCCGCACCCCGTCTTTGATTTGTCTCCTCCCTGCAAAATGTTCAGCCCAGCATGTACCACCACCAGGTTCTGCCCGTCCGTGCTGTCCCATAAGTGGTTCTTTGCCCCCTTTATAACTTTTCCGATGCAGGTACCTGGGTACGCTTCCATTGTGACCCTTTCATCTTCTTCTACTTCTCAAGCGAGACCTGCCTTGCACCTGTTCACGTTTGAACTTCCCACTACAAGGACCCTCTTTTCCTCACTTGACCCCACTCCAGTTGAGCCACGCCCACCAACAGCCCTGTCTGGTTCACCACATTTGTCTCCTTTTTACTATTCTGACGGTGGCTCTGCTGACGGTCCTGCATCAGCGCCCCCACATAGCTTTGTCTAACTGCCGTCGTCCCCATCCCCGTTGCCCACACTGGTGACAGACCGCGCGCCTTGTCGTCCTGCTTCGTCTCAACCTGTCCGCTATTCTCTGTCCGACTCCCCTCTATGTTCTTCAGTCTCTCCTCCAGGGCCTGTCGCTCATCTCTTTTCCTTCTCAGTATTGGCTCTACAGTTCTACAATGTGCGTTACCATTGTCATGCTCTCAGCTTCAATCCTATCTAGACGTGCCTGTAAGACTATAACTTTCATATAAAGTATCCTGCCTCCGCTTTCTCAGCGCCCTCAAACCTAGTTTCTGACATATCAACCCAGCTGAGGCGTAGAGGCAATAAAGGTTTTAGCTGAGTTTGAGACGTTGTGTGTCCCTTTTTCTTCCTACTTCACGAGTTTCCGTTTTTCAAACCAGTCTCAGGTTTCAATCATCATGTATAACTTACACCAGCTCGCCTGTACTTTAACCATTTTTTCAGCTTAGACGCTCCCCGCACTGTACCTGAATGGCTGCTCCCAGAGCCCATGCTGTCCTAACACAGCACAAAACTTGAACAAAGGGGTATGCTGCTTCAAATCTAACCGATCCCCTCCCCCTCCCCCCCCCTATCTACTCCACATATGAAATGGGCTCTCCCCACGTGTCTATAACCATTCAAACAAAGCTTGTGGCATCGTCGATAGACTCCCGTGCCTACAAAAGCAAATAAATGACGGAAAGATACCAGCGCACGCGTACCCTAGACGCTCAAGAACACTTTGAAGACGTATGAAGTATTCCGACCAATGACCATCCCACTGCCACTCTACACAAACATCGCCTCAAAAAGCGGCCAAAGCGGCGCTTTTTGAGGCCATGCTTAGTTGCCGCAGTAGTTGCAGTCAAGTCCTTGAGTTGCAGTGGTAGGGAGGCTCAAGTGAGGGTGGGTGCAACTGCTAGATCGGCGATCACGGGACATGGACGCCATTTAATTGCTAAATTTTGCTGGGAGTCTATGGGGCAAAGGGTCGTTTTCTTTCCTAACTCGGGTCATAAAAGCCCATTAAGGTGCTTGAATAATTTACACAAGGTATAAATGATTACTTTTCCATAGCCACCAGTTTTGTTGCGATAGGTTAAGTATTTTTTTAACGCGAAAAATGGTAAATTCCGCCATCTTGGACGTTGCTGCTTGTCTGGCAACTTCGCTTTCTCCGCTCGACGTTTGCAATTCTCGGAGCGAGAAGGAAGCGAGAGAGGCTGCGCCAAGGCGCTCGTTGCTTGCAATGGGAGGCGAGAGGAGGAAAGGCGCATGGAGCAACAGAGTTGCAACAGAGCGGGCGCCTGCTCTCGTGCAGGCAACACTGGCGCATATCCTTTCTCGAATCCTCTCCCTCAGGCGCCGCCATTAAATTGCAAACGCTCTCCAGGTTTTGAGTTGCGCCCACCCTCACTAAGTGGTAAATGCGGTGGCGCCCACTGGTGGCGCCCGGCTCGCCCGACCAGAGTAGGGGGGCTCCCTAGACCAGAGCCCGAGCCCGGCGGCCCGGCAGCGCCGCGTTGCCGTAGTGGTCGTGGTAGTAATGATCTTTCCCGGCGTTTGCCCCATCCGGCGTGGTTTACCGTCACCGCCGACGGACAGCGGGCTCTCGCTGTCCATGTATGGCATGTATGGGAAGCGAGTTGAAGGGAAGCCGATCGATTAGAAGTAAATACTGACTCCGCGCGTCCGCCGAGGATCCGCCGTCGAAGGAAAAAACAACAACATCGGCAACGAGCTGCGGAAAACGCCCCATCTTCCCGCAGAGCGGAGAGCTGCGGTCATGTTGCAGGCACTAGCCCGAGCAGTGTTTTTGTTTGGAGGCTGCGTGCTCGGTAAGTGGGATGAATCGCGCGGGACCGTCCCTCTCTGCGGCACTCTCGGGGTGATTCTGTTTTTTCTCTTTTCTTTTTCACGGGCGCTTTCGAATTTGTTTTTGGCCTCTCTTTGCTCATTTCAGGCTTGAAAGTGCAAGATGTCCAGAACGAGCTTTTGCAGACTACTCAGGTCTTTCATTTCTACATAGACAAGAACATGTTCGATGCATCCATAGGTGTGTATGCAGCTCTTTGCATTCGAAATACCACCGCATGTGATTTTGAGTGAGACTGACCTGTCACCCGAGTGACTGCCATGTTGGGCTTTGTACGAGTCCTCGGAGCGTCAGTGTTGTTCCTTTTAGGTAGCTACGGAAGTACAGAATTCAGAGCTGCCTTGCTAGGAAAACCTGACCTCCCCAAGTGGATGTTTTTAAGGCAACCAAGCAATTCGGACCGAGCGCTTCTGTATGGCTCCTATCATGATCATGGAGAGCTCAACATTGAGGTAAACAGAACTGGCTTCGCGCGTGTGCCTAATTCGCTAACGCCAACGTTATGGGTTCCAGATTTGCGCCATCAACAAGTACAATTACAAGACTTCTCTTCGGGTGGTCAGTCTTCAAGTGGAAAAGCGCCAGAGTGAGTAAAGAAGGTCAAAACAACCGCATGTCTGTGTTACGCTCTCCCCCGGGACAGGTTTTCCTCATTAATAGCATACATTTTGTTTGGTTTTTAAGGTGAAGCACTTTACGAGGTGGAGATGAAGTTCTTGAATCTGAATATTGAAGACCTCTTTGATGGAAACTGGCTGTCAGGCTTGGAAGAAATATTTCGAGATCATCTGTGGAAAAACAGCCCCGTCATCTATGTTACCAAGGTGGCCTCTGTGGTGGACATTGGAGGCAGAGTTCCCGTCAACCCAAAAGATAAAGAAGGGTAGGAGAGAGAATCTTTGCAAATTTTCTTTTTCTCAGTAAATTACTCGCATGCTGCAAAATCTCCCAGGTTAAGCACATCTGTGATGTCACACGTCATGTATAGGATGTTATGTCAATCCTGGAGCTCTCTCTAATATCGGCCAGAAAATTTGGTGCCTGCACATAGCAATATCAAATTTTCATCAAAGACGTGTATTTTTGTTTTACTAGTGGATTTTACCTTGTGAAGTTGTGACGCATAGTTCCCTTCCCATAAAAAATTGAGAACAATTTACCCTTCACATGGCCAATGGTGGATGCAGACGACTGAGTTAGCTGAGGGTTGTGCTTGTGACGCCATCTATCAATAGGTGTAGCAAGCAGACAACTCACTTGCTTGAAATCAGGTGACATCGTCATCTACTCTCTTCTCCTCTTGGGAGATGCCAGTGCAAGCAGAACCCTCAGTTTGTTTGGTCGTTTGCTTCTGCAGCCACCATTGAGCATCACAAGGGTATTCTTATTTTTTACAGAAAAGGAGCTACGCCTTGAAATTTCATTGGGTAAAATCATCCACAAAAGTACATCTTTCATAAAAATTTCAGAACGCTCCGTGCTGGGACCCATTCTTCCCACCGATCTTAGAGCGAGCCCTGGCATTGATAACACCCCAATTTTCTTATTACTTTGATCATGTCTTCACCCACCTTCTGGAGTATTTTTGCACGTGTTGATAGAGCCGGCATTCGACAGCGCAAGGCCCAGAGGAAAAACTAAACCGAAAAAAGGAGAGGGGTATATATGAATAGTTCAAAATAATTTTTTTACATTAGGTTTCTGTGTGCCTCTATATTTGATTGCATTCTCATGTACAAAAGATAAACTCAAATAAGCAAATGTTCCAAAAAGTGACAAAATATACCTGCAAACTGAGAAAGCAGAACTGTGTGAATGTTCACTTTCTCTGTGCATATTTTGTATATTCCAAAGGGTACAGAAATAAGGTTCTATACTTTGCAGTATGCCTCTAATGATTAAAAAAAAAAGTGCATTTAGTTCTTTGGTTTGTCCAGCTAAGGAAAACATTCCGAAACCATTTTGTGTCCTTCCGTTTCATTTATTTTTCTTCAAATAAAGTCCCGATGAGGACAGTTCATGAAATCCCATTCTCCTGCGGACACTCGTACATCGTTCAAATGGGGCGATGCTTAAACATCAGACTTCGCAAACATCACAGTTCGTTAAAAGGTGGAGTGTAATTCCATTTATCAATACATTGCCAGTACTGCAGCTGCAAATCATTGTTCAGCGACACAAATATCTTGTACAAACATCAAACTCAGTTATTTAGGGAGATTATTGAGAACCTACCATATTGCAAAAAAGAAAACAATGCCCGTGAGCCAACTATCAGTGAACCTCGGGGTCAGTGAGATGGCCTTTTTGGACCATGTATGACTTCTCCTTCGAAGAAAAAAAAGTAGCGACTCCACAGTGAGAGAAAAAGAAGTGACACCACAGTGAAACAAAAGGACCCCATACCTGCGTGTTTTCAAAATAAAAAAAGTTGATAGTCAGTGCCTTGCCTTGTTTGTATTTCTCGTTTCTGTGTGTGTTTCGCGCTGTTTTTCATCATCCCGATGGGTCATTAAGGATTAGCATATCAGTTTCCAAATAAGATTTGAGGAACTTCACTGCATGTTACGCAGTGACATGCAGTGATTTTCTATCTTTCAACTACACTACCTTGGGTTCGGTTTATCTTTTTGTGTCTTCTGATTGTGGCATCACTCTCTAGAAATCAAATTAGAAAGAGAAAGAAAAACAGGAAGCTTTTTTAGGCAGAATACACACTTTTGTTTTTTATTAAAATAAAAAAGAGTAGCTCGCAGATTTTTTTTTTTTTTTTTTTTTTTTCAGAATGGCAGTGCATGACCAAACTTTTTGGTTGAGAATTCAACGAAGCTTTGTCTTCTGTCGAAGGGCAAGAGGCACAGAAAAACAAGCCAACTAGGGAAAAAGGCCATTGTTGCTTCGTCTTTTTTTCTTTTTTAATTTTTCTGAGAAGACAAGTAAAGAAACGCTAGTCGGCAAGAGCATGGGGCCTCTCTGGCAGTTGCAGGGCCCCATTGCTAGAATGGGGCCAACTTCTCAGTCGCCTATGCCTCTACTTCGTTCACCCTCGAAGGGGCGATGCAACGATTTTCGGTGGCCAATTAACTGCGGAAATTACTCTGTGTCACCTATAGAACGAAGAACAGAACATTGTTATTTCTTGCGAGCACTAGATTTTATATTAAAAAATGAAACAAATTGAAGGTCAAAGTGCCTTGGTCGCCTTTCGAGTGACATACTCTGGGGGATCATGTGGTTTCCCCTTGGGTTCTCTCTTCAGAGTCCCCAGCCGCTTCCTCCGCGATTGTCGACTTTTAAAAGATTAGCATCGTCGAAGGTCATGGCGAGCGATCAACACAAAGTGCTGTTCGCCATGGTGCTGACGGCAAGTGTCGCAGCGGAGGGAGGCAGGTTTTATTGATTTCCGCGAATTCCCCATAGACGCTGTCATCATAGTTCCCGTAACCGCCACACTTGGCTGGAGATTGGCAAATAATTCGTTTCTTTGCGATTACGCAGCGGAATAGCAGTTTTTCGGGGCAAGGTAATGCGTTTTTGGTCACTTGTGCTTGGATAAACAGTGTAAAAAATACAAACTGCCAACTCCTTCAACAATAAAATCGTTACACTACACATTTAAGCTGAGACCACGGTGGGAGCTACGTGGCCGCTGGACCAATCAGCCGCCTCCCTCTTATCACCTGACCCTCTTTTGCCCCGTGATGACGGGGCAAAAGAGGCGTATGACAGGTCCAGCGAGGACGTAGCTTCCACTGCAGTCTCAGCTTAGGGGTGAACGGAGTATAACGCCGTCTCTGTATGTCCAACAGGTTTCTAAAGAACCACCATATAAGCAGGGCCTTCCGTTTTTGGGTTTTATATTTAAAAAAAATTCTGGAGGTGAAAATTGTGCGGCAACAGGTTTTTCTAGAAACTAGTATGAAATTCGGGTTTTTGGGTTGTACTATATAAAAATCAATAACTATAAAGTGAAAAAGTGCAAATAATTGGGAAGCAAAGAGAAGGGGACAGGACAGAGCACTTTCTTACAACTGACTGACATGTATTGAAATAAGTTGAAAAGGACAAAAAGGAAGTGAGGGAATCATGAGTGATGAAGAAGAGCCATCAAAAAGAAGAAAGCATAAGAAAAGGAAAGGAAAATCAACGCATTGAAAACATTTTTTAAACAAGAAAATAATTAAAAGAAACATCATCAAATTGAAATGTAGGTGTTGAGAAAAGTCATATGAATTGTTCCAAGTATAACTGTTCTTTGACTAACAGTACCACAGACGGTGTGCTAATACGGGATGCTCCTTTTGACAAAATAGTCTTGATAAAGTTCACAAGCTCTCTTGTTGTGAGAACGCTTTAGAATCAACGTATCGTCGAACACTGGGGAACAACCACAGTCTTGCACGTGTACAGCTAAGTGGCTGGATGGCCACTTAACGATTTGAGCGAAACGGCATGCTCCCGCTGTCTAATGTTTACGCACTGGCCAGTTTGTCCCACACAAACTTTTCCACAAGTGCACGGGATGTGATACACATTGCCAACGCAGCAGCTAATATACTTGCGCACGTGTCTTGCGTCTCATTGGTCGGTGGTGTTTTTTGGCATGTTGACTTTGGGGCAAAGTCTTGAGTTTCTCCGGTGCCGAAAAAACAATAGGCATGTCAAACCGGGAGGCTATCCCCTTCAAGTTGTGAGATAGGCAGTGGATGTGTTGAATTTTAATCAATAACTATAACTGACAATAGGAGTATTCATGGGTTTTAGGACATAGAATGTTTTATTTACACAAACAAGTAATTAATGTGCAGTTCATTGTATTAGTACATGGTAGAAGGGCTGACTTGGTCATTTCAATTTTCAACAAATTTTTCTTGATACGCATAATCGTCTGCAGGCGCAGCATTTCTGTCACGATAGACCTGTCCAGTCTTCAGACATATTTTAACTGAGGTAATGTTTTCTCATCATCAAAGCCTCCGTTTGCAACGCAGAGCAACGTCAGTCAGCACAGCATTCGGTAGTCTGGGGTGGCGCTCTCTTATCAAAATTGCGTTTGTGAAAATATTTTTTTTTTCCCCAGAAAATATTATTTGAATATTTTTTGCGTTGCTTCTGTCATGCACACTTTCAACAAGTCTTGTTAATGAGATTTCTACAATGCCAAAAAACTTGAAAATTGTTAGATATTTGTTTTGAATTCGGGGAAAAAGTGTGTTTAACCCAATTTTCAAAAAATATATTTGGGGTATAAATATAGGGACATTTTGGGTTTGACCCTGAAACGAAGGGCCCTACGTATAAGTCTTAGTTTTCTGCAGTTACTGAAAAATATGAATGAACATACATTGAATGTTATTTCTGACAGCTGGAAATAATCTTAGGCTCTTCATGTGGAAAATAGCAATAGCTGGTTGAAAGAACTCGAAAAGGAGCCTCCTGGAAGCCTCCGAATGGCAGGTGATGTCTCTCAAAGAGACGTCGCTCACCTTCTTCACACATTAAAGGAATGCAAGCATCGCAGTGCGGGTAAACTGAGCAGGTGTCTCGTCAGTAAGTGTGTTCCACACCAGCAGCTACCACACCACCTTAAATTGTCATGCTTTGCTTTTGGTGGCACCTTTTGAATGACTATATCCAGATGATTATAATTGTACTACTGGATACCGTTGAAGTCTGTGTGATGGCCGGCCCGAGGCTTGTACCGATGGGTGCGTCCCTCTTCTGTCCAGGGTGGTGGTGCGCATCGGAGGCACGGCCAACTTCTCTCAGGACCTGCGTACACTGGAACTGGAGGCCAACCAGCTCAGAAATCGCGTTCCCTGCCCTCCTGACTATAAACGCACCTCGGCTGAGTACCGCTTCCGGAGGAAGAATTTTTTGTCCGACTGGTGTGGATTCCGACTAATCACGGTTAGTTTGGCCACAGAACTGCCTTTGTGTGTGGCAGTATTTCTATCTTATATATTGTTCTTTTTTTTTTTTTTGCATCCGCTTATGTGCCCTTCCCTTCTGTGTCAGCCATTGATGGTGCTTGCTTGGCTACCTTATCAACGTGCACACTCCACTCATTCTTGATGTTGCCTGTTGATGGCAACATAAAAAAACTCCTTGCTCAGGGCTTTGGCCACACTACCAATGTAGAAGGCGGATGTCAAATGGAGTTTCTCACTGCAGAAGGGGCTAAAGACCTACAGTTGAACCCGGTTATATCGAATTCACAGGGGATCGTAAAATAGTTCGATATATTGATAATTTGATATACAAAAATATGTAAACTTAAGCTCCAGTTGAAATTTCCGCACGTCTCCGCTAATACCAAAGGCCTCGACAAATGCTAATTAGAGTGAGCTTAGTTGGCAAATATTCAGAGTTTATTGGATAAATCCGAATTGACCAAAATTTTATTGCGAGTGGTTTACTAAGTTTTTTTTGGATTTATCCGAAAACACTGAGCTCTAGATATAACCGGGCTCCACTGTATCTACAAAATCATGCAGCTGAGGGGTCTTTCAGTTGGGCTGATTAATGTCCACTTTAAAGGGGTACGGAAACAAAAATTGAAATATTCAAATTTCGTTCCGAAATGAGTCAAGCATGACGGATAATAACCGTAAATGATAATCGCTTGTTTGTATTTTGAACGACTGGCTATATTTTTCTTTCCAAACACTGCACTCGAGTAAGCACTCAAAGAGAAGCGAACGGAGAGCACGATGCATCATGGGATATCCAGTGCAAACAAAAACAGAAAGAAAAGATTCCCTGCATTCGTGAAGTAGCAATGCTGGCGTGGTTATGAGCTTTGCCGTTGGTGCCGTTGTCAGCGTTGTGGTGGTGTCAATAGCGTCAACGCGTTACAGCCGAGTCTTTCGAAGTACCCGTGGGGTGACGACCGTAAGGCTAGCCCAAGGAGCGCATAGCTTCCACGACACTGTCAGCTTAGGGCTGTACGGGGTGGGAAAAGCAACTTGTGTCCGAGTTTTGACAGACGGGCTAATCTTCTAGGGGGAGAATGGCTGTATCCGGGTGCACAAATGACGGTATGAGAAAGAGGGGAGTCCCTCCTTTCTGTATTTTTGGACTGTTTGGTACAATGCACGGGAGGAAAGCTAAGAAGGAAAATGTTAAAATTCCAAAGAGCGGCACTGCTCCAATGGGACTTGCTATGTCATGACTATGTAGCAAGTTCCCCAATGTTGCTAGATTGGCTCTCAAATAGGCTCCACATGCATCCACCAGGTGCACATTGAAAGATTGTTTAATTAGCTTTAAAATTAGTTTGCTTGTGCCTTTCAGCAAAAGACTGGTATTTTTGAGGTTATGCTGCAACATGCAACACATTAAAGCTAAAAAATGGGCGCTGGAATTTCGTTTCCCTACCCCTTTTACACTTTAAAGGGCCCCATTTGGTGTTGGCAACAGAATTTCAACATTTGTGGAGAGATAACAGCTACTTAAGATCCAGATGTAAAACTTGCATCTTGAGACTGTGGAAAACTGTTTAATAGTACTTTGGTATAGTGTGATATTCACTAGGAGATGAATAGCTATATTCATATTCTTGGAAGTGTTGATCGGAACGAGTTAGCCCCATTGAGCACGCTTTTTACAGAGCACCGGTGCATTGCAGAGAAGCTACACCCACAAAGCTCGCGGTACGGGGTGTTAATTCTTTGCGGTAAGAAGCGCACCCAACGGCGCTAATCTGTTGTGATCAACACTTTAAAAAGCACGAATATTGTAGTCGTGCGCTTAGGTGAAAAGCACACGTTCAAAGCGGGATGGTACACTCGCGCACCTGTTGCAATAAAAAGAAACGGGAACTTTGTGAATATAAATATCTACATTGTAGTAAATTTTTCAAAATTGAACTGTCGCTGTTATGCAAAAGTGTGTGTCAGGCTGAGATGTCCCGATCACCTGCTTATAACAAATCGCTACTTTGCCTCACATCATATTTAGATGAATTTGTGATAATTCAAACTTCTGATATTTCAAACTAAATTTTGTGGCTTCCTGGAGTGTGAATCAATGAGTCAACTGTAGGTCACTTGCTATCCTCACCCCCACCCCTCATATTATTTGTCTAAGGTTGTGGATGACAAACCTGAAAGGTCATATGCACCCCCTGTGCATAAAAGTTTCAATGTACCATGTCTTTTGTGTTCACACTCGTCTATAATGTTTTTGACCTTGGTCAATTATTATGAAAGATTTGCTTACCTAATAGCAGGCACAGTTGCTAAATTTTGCACCTATTGAAGCACAAGTTTGTGGCCACTCAGTTCTGGGGCACTGCTAGTAAGCTGAAAAGCTTGAAGGTTGTTAGCGAGTGAAATTGGTTGCACTGACAAAAGGTGCTTTACACAGCTCCCGGAACGCTTGGATGGAGAGGGCATGATGCAGCATCACGACCTGGCCTTTTCCCCAATTTCCCTGGAAGAAGACAGCTTTGATCCTCCTGGTATTGATCACATACCCCGGCGGGATTTTCTGGCCGACTTCTTGCTCTCGCTCGTGGTCCCGGCCTGCGCCACGGCCGTCTTGCTCAGTGCGCTCGTGTGCGTCATGTGCTGCCATCACGAGTGAGTATGACACACCCCATTTTTGTGCAGGGCTCTGCCAAAGTTTGAAAAGTCGGACTGAGTTGAAGATGGGCTGACTTCTGCTGTGCTACCTGACCATGAGAGCAGTGGGATGATCTAAGAGGGCTAGCGTGTTGCAATAACTAACACTCTTGCTCGAAGAAATAGGTATTTAAACACCTGCTTATTTTTAGGGATTATGGGGTGAAATACTAGTTGAATGTGTATTTCCAGACTCCAGAGCTTGCCCTCAAATTGCCTGACGATCTTACATTTTTTTCGTCTGAGTCCCAGATTACTGGAATCGTCCTTCTCATTTTATGATCAATGTGGACATCTTTCTTCTTTAAAATATAGATTAAGGACACTTGGGGTGAGCCAGAATTGCGTATGCTTTCGCTTTTTTTATATAAGAGCTGTAGACATATTTTGTGCACCATAGTGTGCAAACAAGAGCCAAGTAGTATTCATTCAATTTTTTTTTCTCTTGGTTTTGTGTCCCTTGACTACTGGATATACAACAGGTACCCAAACTGGGTAACAGCAAATTTACGTACTGACAAGCTTTCTGACAGAATAAAAGTGGTGGAGGCATATTGACCCAACCATTCTGGCAGCATGAAGTGCAGTGCTTTCTATCTAAAAGGATTGTTCTCTTTTTCCCCCATTGTAGGGAGGACGTTCCGAGGTGAGTATGCCAGTAGCTCGTAGTTGACCCGCTTGGACATCCATTGGTCGATTGCCCAGTGTGCAGCTAGAGCAGCACAGCTCCATCGAACGTGCCACCAACACACTGCGTCAGATGGCCTCCAGACGCAACCTGTCCTCTGCGGCATCGTCTAGGGTCCACTCCCGGGCGGGCAGTCCTCTCGACTCCTCTCTGCCTCGGCCGTAAGTCAACTCATAGTTTGTAGCTGCACGAGCATACCCAGTCTATCTGCGGAATGTACATGAGCGCCATTGAGTCGTAAAACAGAATCTTGCAATAAGCCAATCAATCGAGGTCAGTGAAACTTCACAAAGGTGTCTTTAGGTGGTGCATTTGTCATACCCAGATTGAGTGAGTTCCTGAGAAAAATACGAGAAAAGGAAAAGGTGCCATCTGCGGGTAGTGACGTCCACCGCAGTGATGTGATGGCTGCGCCAATTGCGCCAAACTGCGCCAAGGGGCTAACACTGCTACATCCTGCTACATTTTGCCAAAATATGGGTAATCTGCGCCAAGCCTGCGCCAAAGGGCAAATTTTGGTCGCCTTTCAAAACCGAAACTAAACTAAGTACCGTAACTGAGCATGCATGAGCTAGGCGGCGCAAACGGCCGCCCGACACAAAATACCCTGCATCAATCGTCCATGGTTTTTTGCATGATTTTTTCCGCCATGCCGTCTCTTCTTTCACGCTCTCGTCGTCTCGTAAGCGTAAATCTCGTCTTGCGTTTTTTTTTTATTTTTATTTTTTTTTAATTGATAGATGCCGGCGTGTGTGTGTGCTGCGACGCTAGCGTGCTGGGTACCAGCCATGGCGTGACGCTGTGAAACGAAACTATGTTTCGGCACGGCGGGAGTTACTTTTTGAGCTGAAGCTCTCGCTCCTGAAATCAACGGCCACACGATGTTGCAGATATGGAGCTTCCTAAACTGAAACATAAGGACCGCCGCATGTTCATCAACATTCATGTTCTTGTTTAAAACATACGCTGCTACAAAAATCCCTGTCTATCTCAAAGACTGCTGTGTCGAAGTATTGATTACCTAGGTTTCTCTTGGTGGGCTTTCTTTCGAGAGGGACCCCGGTACGCGAAAAATGTGTCGCGAAGAAAAGTTGAAGTGAGCTAAAGCAAAGAAGGGAATGTCTGCACGCTAAACCCGCAGAGCGCGCTTGTTTGTCTCGAGTTCAGTCGTTGCACAAAGCGACCCTGGCTCGCGATGTCTTGCATCAATGCGCTCAGGTTCTTTTCTTCTGTGTTTAGCTCGTACCTCGCCTGCCGGCCTTGCAAGAAGCGGCGCTGGACTCTTTTTTGTTGCATGCTTTTGCATAGACTTATGGCAACCAGTTGGCAACGGAGCGGAGAGGCATGGTTTCGGTTTCGATCGAACAGCCGTTTCGCTTGTGCGACGAAGCACGTGCACCTGCAAGCCTGCCGGTGTTGCCCTCACGTGCATGCGAACCAACAATGCAAACATAATTGCATGACAGAGGCACCAGCCGGGACGCTTGCAATTCATTGTTTTACATTTAATTACTTTAGACGAAAATCTGGCACGTCGGCAATCAGTAAAAAACGATGGCAAGCGGTTTTTCGGAATTGCTTGGCAACGCCTACAGCACTGTACACTTGTGGGATGTCGCAATGTCTCTTTGGAGACATTGAAATTGGACATTCATTACTATCTTAAGCTAAAGCAAAGCTTGCCCCAGCCTTGCAGAATGTTTCGAAAAGCAAAAAGAAATGTGTCATGTCATTGGCATTTCAGTTACATCTTGAAAGACTCTCAGGTTGCCGAACTTGACCATAATTGGTGTATTTCGGCGAGCAAGATTCCCTTGGTGTGTCCAGCATTTAAAACAAATATTTTTATTTTTATTAGAATATCTGCTTTAAAAGCTACTTTTGCTGCTCCAAAACACTGTTTTGGCTGCTCCAAAGGCCACTTTTTCTGCTCAAAAACACTGTTTTGGCTTCTCCGAAAGGTGCTCCAAAACGGCTTAGGCCAATCACATCACTGCCACCGTCAAGCAGATGGTTTGTTTTCGTTTTTCTCCCCGTGCATCGTAGGAACAACGTATTTTTTTTTCTTGTATTTTCAATGCTGTACCATTTCTGGTACTGCATTGCTCAAGATGTGCGAAATGCTCAAGATTGACCCTTTGTAAACGTGTAACACAAAAAATTGTCATTGCTGCGAGCCTGCACTCTTGCACTATTTTTATATTTCTGAATTTAAAGAGCATCAAATATGATTGAATTTTCTGAATTGCTGTTATTAGAGTTCAGACAGATATGGCGGTGCTGATTTCAAGGAAAGACAAGAAGTTAATCAAAAAATATAATAAGTCTGTTAACAGACTTATTATGGTTATTGGTAAAAATAAAAACGAAAAATTGCAGTTGAGTTTGAAGCTTATTGTTAAAAAAATTTTGTTGATTTTTAGTTAGACAACTTTTTCAATTTTTCTAGACAGTGAATTTTGAAGATGACTCTTTGTAGACAGACTGGGCTATTGACAACCAGGGCTCACTATCTGTGACAGGAAAGGACACGATTCTAAAGTGGTATAATTAAAACAAGTTTAATAACCAAGATATCTGCACATTCGGCGCACACTGTGTGCATTCTCTCTGCCAAAATCTGATCTGAGCTGGCCACGATGCTCTCCTGGCAGTCCCAGCTTTGGGTTGTATGTATTCTTCTACGTCCTTCCTTTCCTTAAAGTTAGATTTAAATGGCCACGGAAAACCTGTGGCACTAGACCAGAGTTCTACATTTCAAAATGTTTTCGAACCTTTTGAACCCCTTGGTTTGATCTTCGAACCTCAGGTTCAAAATAAGTTTCCGACATCTGCCTTGACGACGCAGGAGATTCGCGTTTTACTGTGTGATAAGTGCGCGGGAAACTGCTACAAACTAGCGTATCACGAGAACCAATATTGTGCGTGCAAATCACAGACAAAAAAAAGAAGAATGCGAGAACCTGTTACAAACTTGCATGTCACGGGAGCAGATGCCATAGATCGCGGACACAGCAGATTCGCATTTCACAGTGTAATAAACACGAGGGAACTGCTGCAAACTCGCTTGTCACACGTACAGATACCGTACCTGTGACAAGAAAGAAAGAAAGCCGGAACAGCTTCACGGTTTGAGTACAAAGTGCACTTGTTGCTGGGCCGGATAGGAAGGGGGGAAAAGAAGACTGCCATTTTGTTTGGTGCAAGCAGCGCCGTGTGATTCCCGGTGTGTTGAACGATGCCAAAGCACTGCATTGCATTTGGATGTCGGAAACTGTACCGGAGGGGACGAGTTTTTTTCAGTTTCCTGCGGAGAAATTCGACCTTGATGGAAAAGCAGCATGGGTTTGCGCGGTGAAGGGTGTTGACCCGTCAGGCCCTACATAGGCTTGGGAGGCAAATGAGCATACTCGACTGTATAAACAACTTTATTTTGGGAGAGCCTGATTTTTGCAAATTTCTCAACTTAAATATTACTGCGAAAAATAGATCCCGCAAACATGTTACTCTGTGGTAAAGAATACATAGCAAACTACTCCCAATTGTAAAGTTTTATGCCCACAAAATATTTCCAAAATTTGCGAAAAATTGAGCCCACAAAAATAATGTTGTCACAGGTCAATCACTTTAATCGCACCTAAGAAAAGCACGCTAGAAAGTTGCAGGATTATTACGTTGCCGCTTTATTAGGCAGGAAAACATAGCTGTACGAACATCACCTAAACTTTGTGACGACTGTGTTCGCTGACACGAAACAACGACAAGCTCGATTGCTACGAGCGATGGAAAGATTGCGCTTCCAATAAAGGTAGGAAATAACAGCCTACCAATGCCGCCTATGACTCTTCCGGTGCTTGTTGAGAACCGTGCCGATAATGTGTGCAGCGCCTTCTTCATTGACGGAAGGTAGACGCCCCGGACGAGGCATATCCCAAAGCCATCTGAGATGTTCCATCTAACGTTGCTGACATAACCCTCTTCTTTAAAAACCCATCCTCGGTGGGCTTGTCACAGTGGGTCCGTCTTGTAGTGCAGGTATTGCCACACTTTGTCCCACAAACCGCGGTGGCTTCAGAACCCTGTCATCGGGCTGAAACTGGAAAGCGATGTCCTCGGCCATCCTCGGTTGTCACCGAAAAGTAGCGGAGCCACAGAAACTAGACAGAAAGCCGACGCACTGGAAAACAAACCTAGCAATGGGCAAAGATCAAACCTAATGATGCCCTTGTTTTCCAGCCAAGAAACCCTAAAACCCAGTCACAACCAGGTTTCAATGTCTGCCGATAGGTGGCGCCACATCCGGGGAAAAGGGTGGATTCGCGACGAACATTGTGTGATCGATGTTCGGAGGAAATTGGGGGTGCTCAATGTTTCGGAATTTTTACGACATGGATATTCAGCCAAAAAAGCGGGATGGGCAATCTCTCGGGGGCGGGCGTTCATATGGGATTTTACTAGTAGAAAAACATGAATGCTTCCAGCAGTAAATGTGTGCTGTGAATTGAACAGAATAGCAGACACTGTTCACGAGCTATAATTATTAGAATATTCAAAGTTTCTACGGGACATTGCTGACGAGTGATTTCCCTACACACCACCTAGGGAAAGTGTACACCTCCCTTGTTTTTCTGAAGGCACCCCCTTAATTTGCAACGACTCCTCTATTCTCAATGCCCCCCTCCCCCCCCCCCCCCCCCCCCCCCCCCCCCCTAATTTCAATTCCTGGGGAAACCCTTGTTGCTAACTTAGAATTTTCCATTGTTCCAGGTCGAGGCAAGCCACACTCAAACTACGGGCGGTTCCACCGCCCCCTTACTCCACAGCGGAGGTTGACGTCTAAGTGCCACCCTTTGTGCCGCATATTTAGGAGGTAACAGGGGCAGGTAGTTCTGAGCAGATGTCTGCAGTGATGCAAGGTGCGGTGGCAAGGAGCAGAAGACCAAGCTCGTGGAGGATTATTTGTTGGACCGAGTTGCTGAACTTGTACTGTTCCATCTCCTGCTCTTGCCAAGGGAAGTCACAGTTCTGCCTATAATCGTTGGAAATGTAGGGCCTTTGTTGCCTGCTTACCATTTGCTTTATATAGTTCAACTATGGTTTACTCTGCGCATTGCAAGAGCCAAGATGTGCAGTCTGAGCGTGCTTGCCTGGAGTGCATTCCCCTACGAAATCCAAACTGATCTGTCATGTCACCTCATTGTGTGTTCTGCAGGGATCTTGTTGGCATAAAAGGGCATGTGAAAGGTGCATTAGCCAGTCCACATATCAAGAGATGTGCATGTGTAGAAAAAGGCCAGAATCTACGTAGCATTTAGTCTGATTTGGGCTGTGCTTGACAAGGTAGTCTTCACTGCCTTTATGTACCCACTGCAAGCTGAGGTTTAAACTTCATATGATATTACCATTGGATAGGTAAGGCACATTGGCAACAAAACAGTCTATACTGTGTCTGCATAGACTAACACTGGCACGCAAGGACTACAAAAGCTGGCTCTAAAATGCAACAGCACTTGCAAGGGAGTATTGGGTGCCAGTGGTGCTTACGTCTCTTGTAGCAATTCCTTGCTATGCTTGTGTATAGAGCTCTTCACACTAATTGCAAAGACCTCCCTTGTTCTTCCATTCTCTGGAGCACTGGTTCTCAAATGGGGGTCTGCAGACCCGTTGGGGTCCGTGAAGGCAATCTAGGAGTCTACGAAACTCTTCCTCATCAATCAAGCCCGGCAATAAAAGTTGTATTTTTTCACATTGAGAAGAAACGTTCCAATTTTCGGGCGAGTTTTCTCGTGTGTATGTCAATCAGGGTGTCGAACCGAACTGAACCGAAAACCGGAACCGAACCGGTATTTTTTCTGGAACTGAACCCGAATCCGAACCGTTATATTGTTATCGCGATGAACCCGAACCGGAACTGAACCGGAAAAAAAAATAACGGTTACCGGCTCATGTCAAAACGGTTCGGCCACGCGCTGTTGACAATGAATGTGCTATCAATGCCATTTGTTTTTTAAGTGCCGTCAACTGACACACACCTCGCTTACATATTTTTCTTCTCCACACAGTCTTGGGAATATAAACGCTGCATCCATGAATCTTGACAAACGCTGCATCCATGAATCTTGACATAGGAACCAGTATTGCGCTGGTCGCGGCTTGCACGGAAGAAAGAGAATTGGAAGGCTGTGCAAAAAAATAAAAAATCGCGTAACGGGACTTCATTTTCCTACAATCTCGTAAATCCTAAATGCTGCTGTGTGCTCATTTCATAACACGTTTCTAGAACGCGCGAGTTCTTGAAGCTTGCTTCCATCGGAATGAGAAAAGAAAAGGCTGTGGAGTTTGATAATAATGCATCCGGTTTTGTATAGGCACTTAGAAGCTAACATATTTGTGAGACAGCGAACTCTTCTATTTTAATATTTACCCTATTACGTCCTTCTGGCGTTGCGTTCGGTGAAGTGATTTTCATATTCCGTATCTTGTTTAATGAAAACTTCTTTAATTAAGGGTCTAATTTGAGTTACCGAAGGCTAGTTCAAATAAAGAAAGCTGTATTCTCTCCCCACTGTTCCTTCAATTGCTTACACGCCGAGGTGGCGGGATAGTTAGCGAGTTCTACTTGTAAGTGGGTTTGTAAGGAGGTCGCGGATTTTACAGCTACTGCGTCGGACCCAATTAGATGAAGTCCGAATGCGTAAACGTCGGTGAGGTAACCTTTGAGTGCATATAAAGAAACCATTCCTGGTAGAAATCCCTGAGCCTTACACTACGATGTATCCCGTTTCGTATGTGCTGATTTCAGATGTTTTATTTGTAATTTATTTTGATGTTGCAATTTGTCATTTAAAATTTCTGAACCGGTTCGCGAACCGGTTCAGCGCCCCGAACCGGTTCGCGGATCGAATTAATTGAACCGGAACAAAATAAATTTACCTGAACCTGAACCGTAACCGAACCCGTATTTTTTTCGGTTCGACACACTGATGTCAATGATAGAAGTTTACTTCACACTAGCCCTTAGTTATATCCATTTATTAAATCATTATCATGATTAACCTATACCTTTCCATTCTCCTCACCACAAATGAGGTCCTCCATTATCTCCGCCTATCTACGAGGCGTCCGCGAAACATCAATGATTGAGAACCACTGCTCTGGAGTGTCATTTGTTGCTGCTGTGAGAATATCAAACTTGGTTCTAAAGCTCATCCTCATTTTTATTCTGAGCAATTCCAGAGAAACTCATGCATAGGATGCTTGTCAACATTCTTAGGTTGTACAATATTTCCACTGCTGTTTTGGACAGGACATAAGGAATTATCTTCGCTAGAGAAAAAGAGGAGGGATTCTCGCCAGACAGACGTTCCAAAATAATATTTGATCAAAACTCAGTCCATTCATATAATGTGTTTATTTATAACAGAAGACAGGACAGAAACCTTTGCTATTAAATTTTTGACTTTATCGAAATTTCGATTGGATGCCACGGTTATATTCTTTTTACTGTGCAGAAGCACTCGGCATGTGGATAAAACTTTAGTTTGCTGAAAACTTCATGTTAACAAGACAAACTTTTGTCGTCTTGTATGGAATGGCCCTTGTTCATTTATTGTCAAAGGCCTCCCCCCCCCCCCCCCAGGGGGGAGGGGGGCTCATGGTGTTTCGACCACCCCAAAACCTTCCATTTTGCTGGGGCCTCCTCTCCCCCTCCCCCTCACAGCATTTTGTCATAAGCGGGGTGCCCCTCGAATTAAAATCCTAGCTACGTGCCTGGTCGAAGGAATTCACCTTCACAAGTTGACATAGATTTTTTTTTTTTTAACTGTTTAAAGTGAAGTTTGATTTAGTGCAATGTAATGTAATACATACTTGGCGTACAATCTTCGAAAATAAAATGCCAAGACTACCGCTGCATGTGTGGTGCAATGGATTTTATTTCTCGAGACAAAGAAAGGGAGCCAACAAAGCTATGCAATACATGCCTTGCAGGTAATGTTCATTCTGATTGTCTTAACCACTGACAGTGGTTCCAAGGATATTTGTATCTTGATTCTGCTGTACTGGGTCCAACCATCGCAAATTGATCATACACAACATTCATCTTTGGATATGTATAAAATAAATACGAGCACTTAAATATCACTATTTACAAAACACAGACAAGATAGCATTCAGAGGTACCTGAATATTGCAGGGGTTCAAATGTGCCATTCCCCAAATTGTTCATTTTCTCATACTGCGGTAGTAAAAGAATATGCCTCAACATGGTTCACCTATCACCCATGTTTAGTGGGCCTACTTGATTCCCAACAGATTGTGTATGAAGAAATAGGAAGTTAATGAACTCGACGCGGTTCAGTGGTTGCACTGCGTCCAAATTTAAAGAGTTGAAAAAGTGGCAAAGCATGCAACACTGTGTACAAAAGAACAAAGAATGTGCAGTTAGTTAAGCAACCGGAAAGAATAAACACAAACAGTTGTATCGTCTGTTTGCGTCCCGAATTTGTGTTTATTCTTTCCGGTTGCTTAAGTATTTACCAACACGCTCGTTTTTTTAATGTTTTAATGCAGTTAGTTCCCCTTGTTTGAACGGCACACTACTCGACATCACCATCATCATAAGCTCGGTGACAACTGACAATCGAAGGAAGGATCAACTCGATGCATTTGCATTCTCGCAAATGCATGATTGACGGAAAGCCAAACTCGCAAGCGCCTCGGAGAATTCTTCGCATGCGCCAAAAACCTGGACACCTTTCGACAATCGACAAGTCTTCGGACGAGGAGTGCATCATTTACTGCTGGTAGTCCAGAGCGTTGCCGAAATCGTCCTTGGTGGGTTGGCACCGGGCATCCCAACAGGTCATGCCGGCGTCGCAGGGGCAGAACAGGGTGTATGTGTTGTGACTGGCAAACTCGATTCCATGGGGGTACCACAAGCTGCGGTTCTCGGGTGCGTTGTTCGGGCGGCACGTGTCGCCGATCTGGCCCAGCTTCATGCAGATGGGGATGCTGAAGCGCTGCATGCCTGCAAGCACAACATGGGGCTTGTCAGAGAACAGTCTCCTCACCATGCGCATTTTACTGCCCCAAATGATTGAGCTTGAAGGAATAAAAAGAAAAAAAAGTTTGTAGACGACATGGCAGGCACTTGATTAAAGGTGTGTTGAATATGTTCTGGGGAGTTAAAAATGCAACAAAGAAAATCTGATATATCGCAGGAAAAGACAGCACTATGCAGGGGTATAGTAATTTTTTTTCTTCACTACGCAGGGGAGCTTGGCCGTCGTGGATGAAGGATGCAAAAATACTCAAAAGCCAGGAGGCATCATAATTGAAATAAGAGAACCGACCTGACACAGAAAAAAACAAAAAAAAAAACACAATTTCATTAGACGTTTTGCCTCCCATGCGAGAGGCATCTTCAGTAGTTACAAAGCAAATGCAAGGTTCAACCTTGCATTTGCTTTGCAACCTCAACCCAATGCTATTTATCAGGAATGTTCGTATAAGCTTCGTGGAGAAGGCCGCGGTTTTTTATAACACACGGATGTGCCCCTGCGTTCGAACCACGATTCTAGGAGTTTCCGGGGCCTCCATTTATCCCTCCTTGCCAAGGTCGCCGCGGCCGTAAAGAACAGTGTTCACCCCGCAATAGGTTTTTTTTTTTTTTTTTTTTTTTGCGAGGCAGAACAGCAGGACAAGTTGCTCTTCCTAGATGTCTAGATGTATGTGTATTGAGGACAGGTGAGCCGGGAACCACCTGGTTGAAACGGCTGTGTACCGCAAACCATGTGAAACAATTTTTTGGATATTTTGTCCCATCACAAGACGTCGGTAGTGTGATCGTTTGTACGCAGATCAAATACTGCCATCTAACGAGTTCCGTGGCGCAAATGAGATGACTCGTTTACAGGAAGCATTGAAGAAACGTCACTACTAAAAGCGTTTTGTTGAAGAGGTCAACAACCAAGTGAAAGAATGTGCAACCGAGCGAAATGGAAAGAAATACAAATAGTGTGCATTCCCTATGTCAAAGGGGTCTCCGAATCTCTGAACCGCGCTTTGAGGCCTCTTGGCATTGGAACTGTTTACAAGCCATGCAGAACTATTGGAAATCCCGTTTCCAAACCAAACTCAACCCCGGCGAACGTTCAGAGAGGCGTTATCTACAAGATCCCCTGCAATGACTGCCCGAAGTCCTACATTTGACGATATCGGACAGAAGAGAGAGACCAGACTCAAAGATAGGGTGACCAGACGTCCCGTTTTGGCCGGGACAATCCCGTTTTTGAGGTCCGCTTCAGCCGTCCCGTCTTTTTGTCCCAATCAAGAATCGTGTCCCGTTTTTGCAGGAGTGCATAGTTTCGGCATTGGCGCAAAGCGAGTTGAAGCAAACCGAAACAATGCCTACTCGTTATAAGTATAGTTTACAAAAATAGCCGTAGGTACTTTAACATATTTACCCACAGTAAAATTTGGAAAACTGTTCTTGCCCACAAACACTTTTTCTCTCGCGAAGACGCGTGTGTAGACATACTGAATATAGCACGCATGCAGTATGTTAACGTTTTCAAATAGCAGTTATTGCATTAAATGTTTTCTCCCAATCTCAATCTTTAGTACGCTCCCCCCCCCCCTTCCCCCCCTCCCTGGGCTGGGATGTCCCGTTTTCTACCTTGAGGAATATGGTAACCCTACTCAAAGAACACAAGCGTGACGTCAGGTACGCATCCTACGCGACGCGACTGAAGACAACTTGCGGACCATCTCTTGATTTTGCGCTCGCGACGACCTTTGCGAGGGAGGCCCCAGAAACTTCTAGAATCGTGGTTCGTCGGCAGCTTGGTCGGCAGGGACACGTCCGTGTGTAACAAACACCGCAACTACTCAAGATGCCTCCCCCATAAGAGGCAAAACGCCTGATGAATTTTTTTTTTCTTTTGTGTAAAGTCGGTGTTTTTATTTTAATAATGTGGATGAAGGAGATGCACAATGACGCAGTGAAAGAAAGCCCGGCTGGCTCGGTCGCCACCAAAAGCGTGAAAAAACGTCAACTGAAAAGCGGAGCGCCCTTGTCATCCCCACCGGGGCACCGAGGTGCGCCCCGTCGTCTTCGATCAAGTGCACCGGTGCGCACCGGGCGTCCTCGATCAAAGGAGCGCACCCTCCCGGTGCGGCTTTTCGTTGCCCCAACGCGCACCAAGAAAATGGACGGTGCGCCGGGGTGCAGTCCCATCAGGCATTGCGGCCAGGAGCGGGAATCGAGGAGATGGCGACCTTGCGAAAACGAAGACGCATTGCTGCTGCACTCGATGAAATTCTCAGCTCTTCTGACAGCGAGGACGACGAGCTTCTTACCATCGCCGCGATTACCGCTGATTGCTGCGATGGCAAGCAGCGCCCGAAAGTTATGAACTTCGTGGAAAGCGTTGCGAGGCGTTTCGATTACACCGAGGTACGGCTATTATTTGGTGGTTTTCTTTCTTGAACCAACAGTGATGGACATGTGGAATTGTCACCCGCTTCGTGACCCCATCGCCAATCACGTCCACGATCTTCGTTTGTGTGGGCCGCCAAATCCGCGAGTAAAAAACCGCGTTATGGTACGTTTACACCTGAAAAGAAATCCGCTGCCGCGGGAGCGGATCCGCTGCCGCGGGAGCGGATCCGCTCCCGGCGGCGTCGGCGACGAGCTGGTTGTGTTTACATCTATTTCCTTCGAGCAGTGGCGGCAGCGCCGGCTGCGGCAGCGGTTCCCGTAACGTCTCGTCAAATATGACGAGAAGGCGCGAGAGTTCCCGCCTCGGCTCTCTCTCTCCCGGGCGTTGCTGCTCCCGGAAGAACGCGTACTCGTGACGTAGGCAGCGTCGCGCTGCGCAAGAATGTCACATCCGGTCAGCGAAACGCCTCGTTCGGCGGCAGAAATAGATCCCGGACCTATTCGGCTCGCCGCCGCGTTTTCCGCCCAGCGTTTCGCCCCAGCGGCAAAAGCTGGGCGGATCCGCTGGCGGATCCGCAAGTGTAAACGTACCATTAAGTCCGCACTCCTTTACTCCTACTCCGAAGCTCCCAGTTTCATACTCCGAGCGCAGCAACTAAACTGCGCATGGCATACAGGAGCGCGACACACCGAAACTGTCGACGAGCCACACGACCTCCTTCCGACCTCACGGTTATGACGAACCCGGCATCTCGTGGATACGTGTGGCAGAAGCCGACATTATTTCGAAGATAAATCAATTAGGCCCGTATGGATATGCATGCAGTTCATATAAACCGTTTGTCGACGCAGGAAATAGCTTGGCACGCTCGTTCGATAGCTCAACTCGTTTTCAGGGAAGACGCATGAACAAACCTTTTTCCTCGACGCTGACTGATGTTTCGGCTTTCCAATCGAAGTATCTTTATTCGCTGGGCTAAGCATTGGGAAGTTTTAGTAGACCGTTTCCGCAGCCCTCTAAGCACCCGGATAGCGCTCCGTAACCCGCCACAAGGCCTTGAACTATGCAGACAAAGCTGGCGTCGCGCATGCGCAGCTGCGGCGCTTACTTTACGGATACCGTAGCGGAGGAGAAAAACGATCTACTACAACTCCCTATTATAAGGGGCGGCGGTCCGGCTTTGGTTTTCGCCGTCCCGCAACGCCGTCCGCAACTCACTACGATACCCGAAACTCTACAGCCTTGGGTTTCAAATCAAATCGTTTTTACCTGCTGGATTAAGCACTAATCAATTGAAAAGGAGCAGCGGTCCGGCTACGCCTTTCTTCTCGACAGTCTCAACAACAGTGCAGCCATCTTGTTTGTTTACAAGGCGCCACGGAGCGCGAAGAAGTCACTCGCGCTCCGAGAAAGAATCGGTGCACGGAGAGCGCGCTCGAGTGTCAGGATTTCCGGCGGCACTCCTGTTTAGTGAAAAGAGCGCTTTTGCACTGTCCTGGTTTTAGGGTGATTCCGGTGCGCGTTGATCGAATATGCTAAAGCCCCGTTCACACTCTTGCGACCGAGTACGACCGAGAGAGACCGGACCGGTTTTTAAGCCTCTCGCGATCTCTTAGACCAGCTCCGCGCTGCAGTGCATCCGGTCCTAAGAAGTCGCAAGAGGCTTAAAAACCGGTCTGGTCTCTCTCAGTCGTACTCGGTTGCAAGAGTGTGAACGCGCCTTAATAGTTGTACGCAGATAGAACACAAAGTACCAAAAATTATTCCTGAAAAAAAAAAAAAAAGAAGCTTGGTGGAGGATTGCTTTTTTCCTTTTCTTAACTTTTTTTGTTTCTTTTATTATTTAGACGACCATTTACAGACGGAACTTTAAAGCGTGCCTTAGTCACACGTATTTTGTTGAGGCGAAAGTTTTATCTTTGTCCCACTGGCTTTGGGGTTAAGTCAACTCGCCGCGAGTGATGCGGCCAAGATTATCAGGTGCGGCAATCTTCGATGTCGCAAGATCTAACCTAGAAGTGTCAAGGAAGGCAAGCGCGATAGACATAGCCCCCGATCCAAAAATCGAAATCCAGCACGTACCTAAGACGCAGCACTCCCCGGGCTGGCAGTCCTCGGGTCCACTGCAGGCCTTCTCGAAGCCCTGTGGTTTCTGCGAGCTGGCCTGTGTGTACCACGAGAAGACAGGTTTGAGCTGCTAACACATTTCACAACCGTAAAAAGAAAAAGAAAAGTGTAATGATTGCTTTTTTTTATTATTATTATTTGCAAGATGGGGAATAGCCGCCTCGGTGGCTCCAAGGCGAGAGCGCTGGCCTACGGATCCCCATGTGGCGGGGTCGAATCCCGGCCGAGGTGCCCGCAGTATGACGGAGGCTTATTGCGGAGAAGGCGCCGTGTAACCGAGCTTTCGGTTGCACGTCAAAAGATCCCCAGGTGGTCCAAATTAATCCTCAGTCCTCCGCTGGGGCGTGCCAGATGCCCGTCGTAGGTTTGGCACGTAAAAAAACCCCAAATTTGATTTTATTTGCAAGATGGAACGAAGATTTAGACTCATCGGTACAGGCATTCCAACTGATCTGAAAGCGAGGTTAGGGCCAGTTTGGATCTATATGAGCTAAGTATTTTACGCTAGAAAAGGTGTTTTACGCGAGTAAATATGCAACTTGTATTTATTAATATTTAGGTCACCCCGGGTGGCGTGCGAGGCTGAGTAGAAAGATAATGCGGAGCGCGAGTTCGTCTGCTTCTTTTGCGAGGTTGTGGTGACGTCAGAACGCCGCGCTCTGATTGGCTCTGATAAAAGGAATCGGAACCAATCAGAGCTCGGCGTTCTGACGTCGCCACAACCCCTGCAAAAGAAGCAGACGAACTGGCGCTCCGCATAGAACCCGTACGCACGTTCGCCTGGGAGCCCGCCGCCCGGGATACAAGCTCAAAAATAACAAACACCGAGCTCAATGGGGGTCGACTTCACTATGGGTATGGCTACTGCTGCTGCAGCGAGACCAATCGGCGCTTTTCTGCAGAATCAGCACTGCTATGGGACCCCGAGGAAAGTGCAGATCATTTCGACTTCTGATACTAAAAAAAGAAGAAAAAAAAAATAATTTCACAACTTTGTTTGTGGGCAACGCACCGTGCACGAGTAAGTATTCCTGTAATTCTGAAAGATTGCACAATGCGAAACAGCCTCATGGTCCCAACCCCAATTAGCGACTTTTTTTTTTTTTTTTTTTTTTGGAAACTAAAAAGATTTTTGCAATGGCTTAAAAAAATCACTTTGCCGTTTAATTTGTTTAGCGCTTTTCAAATACACCGAGCGATCATTCCAGCCAAGTTCCGGGAATTTTACGCTTTGTTTTTGTCAATGATAGCGTGCACTTCTTTTTTGTTTCTTTACTCGGCTGTTGTCATCCAAATTGACAGCTCTACAAAAAAAAAAAAAAAAAGGTCAAGTTTTTTTGTTTTTTTTTGTAAATGGAAATGTTCGTGGCGTACAAAGAGCGCATTCCAGCCGCACTCTCCCACCGACGCAAATAAGCTTGTTTCTAAAACGTCTTCAGCACCAGACCGGTTTCCTGTTACAAAAATAAAACAGCAAAAAAAAAAAAAAAATGCTCCAGGAAGAAAGCTACACGCGCCAGGCGCACAAAATCAATTTTGTTGCGTCAAACTCTTGTCTCCGTTGTCTCCGCGCACCAAACATGCGAGTCCAACCACGCGAGTGCAGGAACTTTCCTGTCCGTCCCCAAGAGATATCGAAGACCGCTCTCGCTTACGTCATTTATTTTATTAATTGTTTTTTTTCAAGATTGATAGAAAAACTACGCACGCGGGCGGAACACGAAGCAACGCGCTCGCGTGGTTAAAGAAAAGAAAAAAAAAGAAAAGGTATTGCGAGACCGTAAATATTCTAGATTTTCGTACCCGTACCCTCGGTGCGTATCAGCACCGAACACCGAAGATGTCGCACTCCCGAGCGGAGCACCCGCCGACGCCGGCAGTTTTTACAGACCGGACCGCCCACGCGAAGCGACCTTCCCACGTGCTTCGCGGGGAAGGCTTCATCCCGGGCTCTTCTCGAAGCCACTGATAGCGGGCGTGCTCGAAGGATCGGGTAACGTTCATTGCGCGGTCGTGGCCTTGAAGACAGCGTGTCGATCATATCGGTCGCTTAAAGGCCGACGTAAAACCTCGCTCCCCTGCAGGGAAGATAATCCTGTTAGCGTCTTCCTCCTAAGACTGTGAGGGAAGTCGTGTTGGGGTTTGGTCGTGGCAAGTTCAAAGGTTGAGAGAATATGGGAAATAAGGAAGCGAGAAAAAGTGAAAAGAGCGAAGCGTACGTCGGCCTTTAAATGCATCTGACATCCGACACTCTTCCGATAAATTCGTCCGGACACTTTTCTAGCGCTTGCAGTTTTGTTCAATCCGTTTATATATATATATATATATATATATATATATATATATATATATATATATATTGTCCTATTCTCCTTTATTCACACTGGCTGTGTTCAGCTGCGTTTGCGAAACGGTTGCGGATGCGGTTTACGAGAGACCTCGTTCAGACACACGGAGACGCGATTGGCGGTTTCTCGGCGATCACGCGTGATCTTTTGAGACTTCCATCTGGCAACCTCGTTTTACAATCCAAAATCCAGTTTAATCCACCGTTTAAAGTCAAAATTTAGCTAATTTAATACTGAAGTTTTTTCGTTTTTTTTTTTTTTTTTTTTTTTAGTATGTTTGCACGCATTACGATTTTATGCAGCGAAAAAGGAGACATCGATACGTAAAAGCCGCCTGCGATTTCCCTCGACTTCGCATACAAGGGGAATGCCCAGCTAGGCGCGTCTTGGTGACTCTAGAGCAGGGGTCTCCAACACGTGGCCCGCCGGCAAATGTCGAGCGGTAGAAATGGCATGCGCCGCAGTGATCTCATCGCGCCGATTCCTTTGCGCTCGAAAAGTTGCTTCGCTCTTTTAACGTATTCACGCAATATCTATCTGTGTTCACTTGCCGCCCCCCCCCCCCCCCCTTTTTTTTTTTTTTTGCCTCTTCAGCTTTTGTAAGGTGGAACGATTTCGCTAGGCTGGAAGCGCGAGCTCTTCGTTGAAGAATGCATCTCGATTGCGCTGACTCGATCCAGGAGCAACTTCCAGAGATAAAACTAAAAGCTCTGGATCCTCGTCTTTAAAAAAAAAAAAAAAAAAAATATATATATATATAGAGAGCCATCAAAAGACAAGTAGTTGTTCAGACTGTTGTTATAAAAATCGCCAGGAAAGCAAGAACTGTCAAATTAACCGATTTTTTACATTTCTTTTTAGGAACGTGTTGAGTTTAGGTAATTTCTGAGTGAATTGAGTAACGGGAACGGCAGTGTACTTGTTCTCTTAAAAATGCCAGCACGTTGGCATGTCGGTGTCATTTGAATTCTTGGTATCGCAATAGGTCAGGGCCCAACGTAGTCGTATGCACGAATCAGATCTAAAGATGTCACCGACAAAACTGAGTTTACAAAAAGCATAAAGCATGAGTTCTCTTCGCTTCAAAATTTTCGCGATTCACGAAAGCGGTTGGGAGAAATCGGTCTCGAAGCGGTTGGCACAAACGCGCTCGTACCGCTCGATTGCCGCTTTGCGGTTGAGAATGCGCAGACTTGAAGCGCCCGTGCTGGTGTTTTGTGTTTTGTGTGTGTCTCTCCCTGTTGTGTCCCCGTACTTTTGCGCGGTTACTTCCCTCAATGAATCTCTTGTAGACCCTTCGTCTCAACAAGTCAAGAATGACCAAAGGATGCCTCTCGGCACAGGTGTACGGAAAGGCATTCGAAAATCGAAATATGGGAGTTTCGTCATATATATATATATATATAGTATTGCCGCTCGAAAATCCCAAATATGATATCGTCAAGACCATATTCGCGATTTCCGTACCACAAATGTTTTTTTTTTTTCTGGAAAAACAGTTTTTTTTTTTTTTTTTTAGATTCGATTTTTTGAACGATTTTTTTTTCTTTTTCGCTCGGTGATGTGCGTGAAAAACAAACCGAACCTTCCAAGAGAATAAACGACTAGGTTCAACTCAAGGTGCGCGGTCTACGAAGCTCATATGGCGAGGTTGGCCTATTTCGCTTAGGGAGTCGCATCGTCCACTTTCCAAAGCTTGTAGTCAAAAGGCTCGAGGTACACCTAAGCACTTCTTATGAGTTGTGAATGCGAAAGCATGCATGTCGTTCTTAGCGCCGCGGCCGTTTCTGCTCCGGCCCTGGCACGCAGCGCCATGCATGGGGTGGTGCCAATTGAAACTGACGGGCGTCGGCTTCATATCATTGCCGTTTTTACGTGGATGTTTGCGTGGTTTCAAAGCGGGGATGCCTGAGATCCCGGCTTCGGGAATTTAGCTGCCGTTTGGCGCGGCTGATGACGTCGGCTCGCTCCATGGGACAGTTAATGCTTTCGCATTAATAAAGTGACGCCAAAGCGACCGATATCTCACCATGGCGCACAGCAGCAGGATAGCTCCAACCGAGAACAACATTTTCAGACTTGGGTATCTGGAATGAGACAAAACGAAAACATATAATGAACATACAAAACAAACAAACAAAGAAAGGATATTTCTGACAACACTAAGGAATAGGGGGTGTATCGGGGTACACTCGTTGCCCCATATGTCACGCCCCCAAACAACGATTCGACGTTCAACACCCAGACGACGAACCGACGACACCCACTTTCACGAGCGGCTTGATACTCGACCGATACAACTCATTCAAATAGCTAATGTACTTATTAAAGGCTACAATCAGATAATGAAGGTTTTTTTTTGGTCCTGCTGCAATACCTCAGTGTTTTTTTTTCTTATTCTAGTTTTTGATACGCACATTAGCTATTTAGTACGTTATATCCAACAGCTATCAAGCCGCTCGTAAAAGTTGGTATCGCCAGCTTAAAGTCAGTACACTGAACGTCCAAATGTAGCTTTGGGGGTGTTACATATGGGACAAGGGGTGAACCCCTATACACCCCTATTTCTCAAAGTGAAGATATTTGAAACGTGTATCAACGGGATGGTTCCGAAACCAGCTTCAAACGTTCTTTTTGTGGCGTAATCATAAAATAAAGAGTGAGAGAGAAAGAGAGGCAAAAGATTTTAAAAAGAAAGAAACAAAGTATACATCACGCGTGAGACTCATTCCTCCACTTTCTCTTTCATTGAGAATTGGCGCTTACAGGCAGGGAAGTGTATAACCGCCGGGGAATTCGCCGCAGCCGAGGGTGCCTTATCTTTCCGCAATCCTCCATTGTGTTCCCGTATAAAAAGCGGACTATCGTGCCTTGCATTAGCCCGATTCTCTCCCTGCTCGGCGGAGAGCAATGCGGAACGACTCCGGTCTCGTGCACACTCAGTTCAGCGGCAAGAGATGCGCCTCGCTCATCTCTCATCGGATCCACATTCACGGCGAATATTTTTGTACCAATACGTGCAAACATTCGTCGCGAGCGAACACCCCCTCCCCCCATTTTTTTTTTTTTTCTTTTTCGAGCGCGGGGATTGTATTTGATATAGCGGAGGCTTTTTCAGCGTTGGGTCGTTTGGAGCGGCAAACTAGGGTGCCTTCATGTGCGCTTTGCTTAGGGTGATGACATCTTGCCATTTTGTTCCGAACGCTTACTTTTATTTTGCTTCTGAAGCGCGTGAAAGAGCGTGTCCCTGCGCTGACTGTGCTACGGCGACATTTTGTTCTCGACGATTTCTTTGTATTTTCCCTGTGAGCGCTTGCCGTCGTCATCGGGTACTACAAAAGATGGCATCCGCTTAAACAGAAGGACGTTGAGGCACCCTACGACAGTCAACTCTCCGAGCCTTCAAGATAAACTCGCCGTTACGACCCGGACGTGGCGACTCAGTTACACAACGCGCTGGCGGATCGCCTAACCAGACCGCCAATCTAGATTAGTTCCCAGAATCTAAGGCTCAGCTGACAGCTCCAAAATACATTAAAGGGCCCCAGAATACGTTATTCGTGGACCGCCTGCTCTCGACAGTGATGCGGTTTCAAACGAAGCCTGGAAACAGCTTTTCCTTTCCGAAATCGGGCGCGTCCGTCGACCATTTCACTTTTTCTGGCGCGAGAGTGCAAATGATAACACAAAAAAATATTTCTCTACCTTTTTCTTTTTCTGCAACGGGAGAGCAGGTACGCGCGTAAAAAGAAAATAACGAAAAACAAATAACGAAAATAAAACGGCGCATGCATTATACATGATGCATACCGGAGACCGATGGCACAAGCTAAAAAGACGGGCAGCCACAATAAATTTTGTACAAGTAATTAAACATAACGATTGCTAAAAAAAAAGACGAGTTCATAACAGACCAAAACCAACCAAACTAAGTGCCGCGAGTTACAGCCTGTACCAGACTCCGAACCAGGACTAATGACCGTGATCGGCTACGTGGTCGCAAAGGCCGAGCCCTTCTGCCTCCCCCGCAGGACTCCACACACATGCACACGAGCACCAAGATGCGGAGGGCGGCCTCCAGAGTCCTTGAGCCTCTGACGGCCGCTGCGCGGATTTCGACAAACGGAGCGGCGCGCCGTAAACAATCGGATGACAGGGACGTTGCCTCAAAGAGAAAGGCTTCCAGGGCCACCCACACCCGCAGGCTGCCCCCGACCGCACGGCACAGGAAGAGGAGTCCGGGAGTCAAGGTCGGAGCGACAAGGCCGGGCAGCCCTCAAGGCCGACGACCTCGACGGACAGGCAGCCCACGTCTCGACAGGCGGTCCGGGTGGCCGAAGGCGCCTTCTCCGCGAAGACTCCTTCCCGAGAAGACGGGTGCCTCCCGAGAGGTCGAACACCCCGGAGCGTCAAAGGGATGCCTCCACCCTTTGCCAGGGCGCTCCCTTCTGCGCGGAGAACGCCGGCCCAAGATGGATGGGGCGAAGGTGGAAGGTGCCGGTGTTGGGTCTCTAGAAAGCTCTCCAACAAAAAACCAGTCTCGGTGTCGGCCACTTTCGATTTTGATAGCAGCGTTCGAGACTGGCGCGCCTTCCATGCCGCCTTCTTTCCGGCCTCTCGTTGCTCAATGAGGATCAATGCCACGCGGGAAATGTCGCCGACGGGGGCCACTTTCGGACTTTCACGAGACACGCGACGGCGCGTGGTCACCCCAGGCAAGACTACGCGTACCTCGCTATCCAGGATGTGCGGCCTTCCAAATAAAGAGGCATTCTTGCTCGTAATTGCCTTGGCCTTGCGCGTCTCGCGGCCATTGTTGCGCGCAATGGCTGCTCGCCTGCCTTCACTAATGACCACCCACTTCCACCAGTCATGAGCACCTGAACTTGAGCACACGGGACTCGAGATTGCCGCTCTGGTCGCGCTCTCGGCGTTCTTCGGTACGTCTCGAGAACGGCCACCTTCGGGCTGTGTTCACATGCCAGTCACTCGAAGCGTTTTGAGAACCAAGTGGATGTTAGACAAAGACACACTATCGGATGTAAAATAAACCAACCGACTGTGGAGTCCGCTGCCGCCAAGCGGCCGTTCAGACAGGTTCGCTTTGACGTTTCGTCGCATTCTTTGCTTGCCATAAAAACCCAGCGAGCCGGGCGATTAGTCACATCTCGCAGACTGATTAGCGGCGATGATCTTTCCAAGGGTACACGCTGGTACTCGTTACTTGAAAGAGGTCATGTCTAGTAGCTCTTTCCGGTGGAATCTTGGAGCCTGACGTGGTTTCTCTGGGACAACATTTCATGTGTCTGCCTGAGCCATGTTAACAGTTGCTTCGAACCGTTCTGTTTATAGCGTACCGAATATATTGCACCCAATTACTAAACATGCGCTGCAAGAAAAAAAAAAAAAGGAATGGTGGAATTTGATGCTTTGTGTACTGAATGCCATCCCTGGGGGCTTATGGCACCCCCGGGGTTTTCATTTTTCTGCACAGCCTTGTTCGCCACTCAGGATGAAATGATTTGCAAATATTAATAATAATAATAATAATAATAATAATAATAATAATAATAATAATAATAATAATTCTTATTATTCTTATTCTTATTATTATTATTATTATAGGGATTTCTAGCCTTGCTGTACAGATTAGACAGCTCTTATAAGAACCACCACGGGGGGGGGGAGTGAGTGAGTGAGAAGGAACGAACTTTTTAAAGTGCCGCATGGCAGGCCGTATCAGAGAACACGAAGGGGCTCTGACTCGGCTATGACGAGAGTGAGAGCAGTGAACTTAAGGCGGAACTGCGTACTCCCCACCATACGTTTGGCATCGAGCCGATACTGCATCAAGTTCCATATTTATCGGTGCCCCGGTTCGACGCTCGGTTATCGCAGGCGTTGTTTCTCTACTCCTTGCTCTGGGAATAGAAAACGAGACAGCGCATCTTGGCTGAAACATTTGGTCGCCGATATAATTTGTCAACGACCTTTTCGAATAAAGAAAGTCAAAAGTACATAAACGGCTAAGGTTCCTCAATATTAGTGGCATAAAGCTTTCCGTCTGAACCGAACGTCGTGAGCAGAATGTTCAGCATAAGGATGATGAGAGCGGTACGCGAGAAAACATAATGCATTTAGAGGCACGTGCCTCGTGGGAAAGTAAATAGAATACGAAATATCTAGAGGAATCTTCTCTTCTGGGAGGCCCGGGTATAGTGCACTTGCGATAACGCCATGCCAAAAAGCCTTCCTGGCAGGCCGTGGCGGCACCGCACAAACATGCGTGCATTCCTGGAAAGGTCAAAGCAAGATCCCGGAACTTCGGGTACACTTGAAGACGAGCAGCAGCCGCGCGGTTCTCTCGCTCATCCTGTCCACAATCCCTGGAAGGCCCTCGGGCTGCTTCCAAAGCGCGCAGACAGTGAGCGTTTATACAAACAGGCGATCACGGGCCTACGCTAAGCGAACAACCGCTACACGAATCCGCAACAACCTGATATTCAAACAACCGGGGGTCACGAAGTCACGGTCCCCCAGAAAAGGACGGCTCAAGACTCACCTCTCGAATCTCTGAAGAAGTGGCGCAAGGACGTCGCGGTTCGATGGGCAGAGAATGGGTCGTGGGGGTCTTGGGGTTTCGACTCGGGTTCGGTGGAGAGCTCTGGAGTCCTGGCGTGGAGCACGAGGAAGATGAGTGTCGGTCTGCGCGTATCGCTCGGAAGTTGAACAGAGCCGGCGGTGCTACTAACGCTACGCTGCCTCGAGCTTTTATGCGGGAGAGAGTAGCGGTGGTAGCGGCTCGGCGACGGCGCTGCCGGCGCTGCCGTCGGAGTTGCACGCGGCGCGTCTGCTTGGGGAGGGGCGGGGGAGGCGCGCGTTGCTGGACACGTGCTCGGAAGCGTGGCTACGCCGCGTGCCGCCCATATTTCTGTTCAGAAACCTAGTCACGTGATTGGAAACTGCTTGCCCAAGCCGGACCCACTGTCGCGGCGTCAACGTCACGATGGAACCGCTCCTTATGGGGGCTTGTTTTCCTCTTGCTGTCGGGGACGACAGGACGGTCACTTCCACCGTCTTTCCGACCGGGGCACGTTGAGAAATTTCTCAAGTTGTCACAGTTGCCGTCCCGCGGCACCTCGTCTTGTGCGTCGGTGCTCATCTGGCACATGCACGCAGTACGGGCTCTGGACGATGAAGATGGCGAGTGACGCTTTCAACTGGCTTCCTGGAAAAGAGTTGAGCAAAGAGGACTCGTCGCAACATGTCTGCATTTGACAAGTTGGATAGACCTCTTAGAAAGACGCGTGCTCGACGAAGTTACAAGCTACCCTGCTATGTGTTTTGCAAGGTCGCAAAAAAAAAAAAATGAAAATTTTTTTTTCCGAGGAACAAGTCTTCAAAAGTCTGAAGCAGACACAAGGTCCTAAGTATACAAGTGCCACTAAACGCTGTCCATCAGCGACTTTTAAGCACGTCCTTTTACGAACGCCAAGACACCGTACTTGGAATGCCTCTAGGTCAGCTTCGTAACGGAACTAAGGCCTTCGCCGTGTGACGCCTAAGTCCGATGCGGCGATTTACGGATGCAAAATACGAAGCTGCAAAAACTGGCCACCTGCGCGTGCGGCGTCAAAAAGACCGTTCGACGTTTCACCTTAGTATTGTTTATTACAAATGTTTTAGTCTTAAACATTATCCTCTTTTTTGCATCTTTTTTGTTGAAGTTACGTCATCCCTATGGAATATTCAACGTCACGTGTGTCGCTGTCATTCTCTTTTCACACATGACACACCTTTCGCGTTCCGTGGTTCACATTTATTTATGTTGATTTAGAGTTTGCAATTATTTCTTGATGGTGTCGAGCTATGCATCCGATACGAGCTTCCCAGTGTAACCAAGTGGGTACTGTGATGAGAACTGCCGTGGCGACACAGTCGAAGTGTGACGATTAAGAAAAAGAAAGCTCAGACGCGACATTGTCGAATGCACGTGAACGGGTCTACGTGTTGGCTCGCTCTCTTTGTTACCGAAGAATATTTCCACAACAGTCATACGACTGGGTCGTTACCACCGTGGTCGTTACAGTCGAGTGATTGTCATCATTCGACTAGAAATGAAAAGTGAACAACGTAAAGTTCGTCTTTGACAAAAAGGACTAATGAGAAAATATATACTTTAGCTTCCTGGTCCTCCCAACAATCGTAGGCCACGATAAGTAAGGGAAAATGCTTCAGTGTTTATTTAAGATATCTCATAAAGTCAAGCACACCAGCCTCACATAAAACAAGAAATTAAATCAGACACCACTGGCACGTATTTCTCCGTCAAATTATCAGAAACGATACTATGCCCCTGCATGGTTAATTGGTGCATCTCCCTGTAGTGTATTTGAACGGCACGAACCGTTTCCACCAAGGAAGGAAGATCACGAGGTATTTCACAGGTAATATCAGTGAGTATATGATGCTTGTTTCATACTCGGTCTAGAAGGCTAAGAGATCGACTGAAATGGCGCTATAATTTATCTACGGTAACATACAAATTTAATTGACCGCGACTTTTGGACGGACAAAGACCCGCAACAGATGGAGCCTCACGGTCACTAATGTTGCTGTAACAAGCAAACGGGGGACTCTGAACACTATAATGATCCGCGTGTCCTTCAGAGGTGTAGATGAGTCTACAAATAATTAGAGACAACGTGCGTTAATTCATAGATGTGTGGAGCTGGAACACTACTGCGCAGTTCCAAGTGCGAGAAGTAAAACGGGTGAACGAGGGACGGTCATTCTTCCATGAGAAGGGAACCCCCACATCGTACTTCTTGAATCTTTTTTTTTTTTTCGGTGGTATTTTTTTAATAAAAATATTATTATCGTCCCCCCCCCCCCCCCCCCCCCCCCCCTAAAGGAAAAACAAAATATAGTTCTTGACTGTCGGAAGTGACCTTCTAACTGCGACGGTGTCAGCATACGCGTGTCTTCATCGGAATTCGTTGCTGAATGAGCAGCGTGCCCGAACGGAGCCAGTAAAGTTGTTGACGTCTTGGAGCGCGCTCTCTAACCGTCAGCGCATTCAACGGTGGACGGGTCCGCGGACAATAAACGGAACGTTATGCTGCGGGTTGTCCCCGTGCACGAGTCCAACGAACACTGCCCTTTCATTGCGCAGCAAAAACCACGCGCAAATGGTCCGCTCCTAACGTGCACAGTGCGAGCTAAACCATGCGAAGCCGTTTCCGCGAGGTGACGCAAGAGCCCTCGATCCCATCCTGGTACCATGGCAAATACTCCAAAATTAATCCTTTTTTTTTTTCTTTGAGACAACCAGTCTCAAAGTGGGAATGGTTCGGCTGTCTTCTCGGATTCGTTCACCTTTTAACACATCCTCTCTGTGCTGCGAAATATCGGCCGCGCCAAAGAGGACTCGCCCTGTTAAACGAGTGCAGAGTAGGTACAGGCGTCGGGTCCAATCACGAGCCAGTTAGGTACCACGGGATGTATTGCCCTGGCGTGCGTAACAGCTAGTGCGTGCTTCTCGAGCACATGCGTGCACGCATGCCGGAGCAATATGTGGTTTCTGACCGGCTCGGGATTGTACCTGGCCGCTGTACTTTTAGCTCAAATCCACCGTGTGGTGAGGCGAAGTATACGGTTTGGGTAGTTTGATGGCATTGCAGACCCAGCCGAGTGTTTCGTTCCCCAGCGGCGCCTTCCCGATGCACGAAAAGAGCTTTCGGGAGGCGGCACAACGTATGCAATATATTCCCCGGATAACGCATGAAGTAAGGAGCCATGAGGTGGCAGGAACCGTCTTGTGCACTCCTGCGTGCACCTCCTGTGAACGAAAGTTATGGCAGCGTCACGCATGCGCCGAACGCTTAGTGAGATCGGTCTTTTACGAAAAAGCCGAAAGAAAACCAATGTTAGCGTTTGCTAACATTGGTTAGCAAACGCTAACCAATGTTAGTTGCATCGTTTGCAACGAGTGCAAACGATGCACTTGCAAACGCTGACAACTCGAGTCCACTTAGAGCACAAAACACCATCAGCAAATAGGGTGTTTACAAAATACGTTTGAACGGTTCGAACGTGGTAACTTCGGAGTCAGTCGGAGTCAGTTCTTTGTCTAGCTCGTGCCCCGCGCCGGCCGTTAGCCCCTGCCGGAAGCGGCGGACACCGGGAGAAGAAAATCGAGCTCGCCTAGTTCGGCGGCGAACAGCCCGTGGCCCGAGTGAACCCCGAGAGCCCGACCTACATGCGTAGCTGCGAGCAACTCGTTTGTCCCGGAAAATATTCTGCGCCATCTATGAGGCGGAAAAAAATCTGCGTCACAATTTCATTACTATTAAAAAGTGTAAAAATCCTATGGGGGGGGGGGGGGGGGGGGGGGGGGGGGGTCAGGAATAGGCAAATTGACAGCACAGAGGCGGACGGTAGATTTGAAGGAAAAATTTCTAATACATTTTCGTACAACCGACGCAGAAATTCCCATGGGCCGGAGCGATCGAGAGGTGCTACCCTGTAACATGCTTCGCGGTGCCTGTTTAAACAGCCGGCGTGTAGCGTCTCCGTCTATGCGACGTACAGGAAGAGTAAAAAAAAAAAAAAAAGAAAAAGACGTACAGGAAGCAACCGGAGCGACTTTGCAAACAGATCAGCCTCTACAACCTTGGCGGTAACATGATGAGGTAGGGCGCTGCAGAACCTGAACCTGCGCCGCCTATGAGTGCCAATAGATCCGCCGCCGTGGATTTCCGCACAACGCGTTGAAAATAAAGATACTTAAAAAACAACAACAACAGCAAAAATAATTCCGATTGACTGAAATTGTCTGTATTGGGCGTTTTCAGATGGGATCGAACGACCATGTTAGGTCGACATTTTTTATTTTTACCAAAATATACATTTTACTTGTTGTGCAACCGCAAAAACATATTGGAACTTTTTTTTGCGGAAAATAAATTTTATCTTGAGGAACAAAAATCACAAAGTCGCTATCGGTATACGCGCACGTTTTTGCGACTTGCGTGAAACTGTCCCTTTATATATATATATATATATATATATATATATATATATATATAAAAAAACTGTTTTCGCCTTAGGTTTAATTTTTGTGTGTGCAGATATTGTACATAAAATAAAAGGAGGTAAACATGTATTACCGATTACGAAGCAATTCAGAGCTTCATGGATCCGGATCCTAAAAGACTGGAAATCCAACATTTTTAACATGATTTGGACGTGTTTGTTCAATATTCGCTTAAATTGTCATTTAAATTAAAAACAATAACCTTTCTAAAAAACAAAAAAACAAAAAAACACTGAAATGTAGACAGGTTACAAATTTTTCAGTAATTGGAAAATCAGTTTAAAATGAAGGCCATTTGAATTTTTTTTCTACTTTTCACAGATCAAGGCTCATAATCTGTCCTATCAGGCCCTTCAAAGATGATTTGCAATCTTTTTTTTTTTATTTTACAGGGCGCAAAATACGCAGAATTGCCGTAACGGAAGTACAGAAAGGTAGGACGTTGCCGATTTGAAACGAGGGCAAGAAAGGGGCCGAAAAATGTAGGAAGTCTGTAGAGAAAGCACTGTGACAAAAGTTCGTGAAAATTAAGAATTCATACGAAAGATTAGAGGTGATTAAACACGAGGAAGATACATAGAAAATGGGAACGGACATTGTTGTCCGTCCCCCCTGTCTATGTATCTTCCTCAAGTTTAATTACTGTTACCAGCACGCTCGTTTTGTGCTTATTACAGGTGAGTTTGAAGCACAAGCCACCAATTTAAATACAGATTTCTCAGATCAATGAATTTCGGAGCCTACCCTTCGTAGG